CATTTGGATGTCCAAATTAGGCAACTACCTTCAGCCTGGTCAGTGGTTTTCTTACTTTCTGCCACAAGTCAAATAAGCAACCGGTCACCTATTTTGCAGGCAGTCACAATGAGTGGCTGTGCTAGTCGTGTTCAGTACTAGTGTCTGACTTGTCCAGATAATCAGCTTGTTCTTCCCAGCTGCCTCCTTGCTACTTTACTTCCCTTGCATCCAGATAAGCAACCGGTCACCTATTTTTCAGACAGTTGCAATGAGTAGCTGTGTCTACTACATCTTTTGGTAATCTGCTGTTTTTGCTAATCAACTGCCTATCATCTTCAATCCAGATAAGCAACCAGTCACTTATTTTCTCTGCTCTCTGTGGCTGTGCATTTCCTTATATGGAGGTTGCATTCAGTGGCTGTGTTGGTTGCATTCACTCACTGAGAGGTTGCATGCAGTGGCTGTGTAGGTTTCATTCAGTGGCTGTGTAGGTTTCATTCAGTGGCTGTGAGGTTTCATTCAGTGGCTGTGTAGGTTTCATTCAGTGGCTGTGAGGTTTCATTCAGTGGCTGTGAGGTTTCATTCAGTGGCTGTGCAGGTTTCATGCAGGAAACCTTCCATATAAGGCAGGGATGCATGTGTGCATTCCTAGATGCATGCACGCATTCCTAGATGCATGTGTGCATTCCTAGATGCATGTGCGCATTCCTAGATGCATGCACTGATGCTACACTCTTCTCTAGATGCATGCATGCATTCCTAGATGCATGTGCACATTCCTAGATGCATGCATGCACACATTCCTAGATGCATGCACCCTTTTCCTAGATGCATGCACTGGTGCTACACTCTTCTCTAGATGCATGTGCACATTCCTAGATGCATGCACCAATGCATGCACCAATGCTACACTGTTCTCTAGATGCATGTGCACTTTCCTAGATGCATGCACGCATTCCTAGATGCATGTGCACATTCCTAGATGCATGCACCCTTTCCTAGATGCATGCACGCATTCCTAGATGCATGCACCCTTTCCTAGATGCATGCATGCATTCCTAGATGCATGTGCACATTCCTAGATGCATGCACCCTTTCCTAGATGCATGCACGCATTCCTAGATGCATGTGCACATTCCTAGATGCATGCACCAATGCTACACTCTTCTCTAGATGCATGTACACTTTCCTAGATGCATGTGCACTTTCCTAGATGCATGCACGCTTTCCTAGATGCATGCACGCTTTCCTAGATGCATGCACGGATGCATGCACGCTTTCCTAGATGCATGCACGGATGCATGCACGCTTTCCTAGATGCATGCACGGATGCTACACTCTTCGCTAGATGCATGCACCCTTTCCTAGATGCATGCGGACCCTGGGGCAGGGTCCGGAAAGCATATTATTAAGATTATTAGGGAGATGCTTTCCCAGAAGCAGGGGTTGGGACAAACTGGACTAACCACTTTCTATCTAGGCACAATGACCAGCTGGGAAGGTACTGGAGCAGCCCACTCAAGGCTAAACATGGACATGCAGTGAACAAGAACACAGATGAGGCATGGTTCAGGTTACTGCAGGACACAATCACCAAACATGGGATCAAGCCAGACTGTATCTGGGCTGCAGACAAGACAGGGTTTCAACCCAGAACAGGGGTGAAAGAGCATGTCTTCAGGGCTGCTAATCAAAAGATTCAGCACCAGCAGCATGATGGGAATAGAGAAAACATTACTGTGATGGTGGCAATCTGTGCAGATGGAAGTAGTATTGTGCCTACCATCATCTACAAGGGACAAGGTTTCTCAACCAATTGGCATCAAAATAATGATCTGAATGCTTCATGAGTGATTGAATGTGCTTCAAGGATCAATGATCAATGGCTCACCATTTGAAGCATTGCACACTTGCCAAAAGGCTGGACAGATGGTGAAATTGGCCATCTGTGGATCCAGGACTTTGACAATAAAACACATGTGAAGGCAGGTGGACATTCTTGCTTGTTGCTTGTAGATGGGCATAACTCACACTACACAAAAGCATTCTTGGAATATGCAAGAAACCACAACATCCACATACTTTGCTACCCAGCCCATGGCACACATGCATACCAGGGGCTTGATGTTGTCATCTTTGGACCACTCAAACATGCCTGGTTGCAGGAGTGCAATACATTCAAAACATCTACATGACAGGCTGTATCAAAGGAGAACTTTATCTCTATTTATGCTAACACACATCAGAAAACACTTACCAAAGAGACAATTCAAGCTGCATTCCAGAAAACTGGTGTTTACCCACTGGACCCAAATGTGATAACTGCTGAGATGATGGCACCTAGCCTGGAGACATCATATGATGCAGAGGGATGCTTGCCACTCACCCTACCCAGCCCAGTTCATGCAGTGTCACTGGTGATGTGTCAGTATCACAACTTACAAGGAGAAGAAATGGGTAACTCCCCTGAAGTTGCTGCTGGCCCATCATGCTCACAGGTCACACTGGCCTGGCATTCCATTGCAAAGGAGGCCACTGAGGCACTGGCTTCCACTTCAGCAGCATTTCTTGTTGAAAGGACACCAATGAACTTGTCACATCAGGTCCCAACCTATCTCCCACCTCCTCTAACTCCCACACAAAAATGGAAATCTGCACTGTTGGATGAAGAACCTTCTAATGAGAAGGAACACTTACCAGGATGCTTTGTCAGCAGCTTATGCCCATGAGGCAAAGTACAAGAGTGCACTCATTGGATCCCAGACAACACTTGTCTTACAGTCAATGTATGTTGACCAGGTAACAAAAGAGCTGGAAAATAATGAGGAGAAGCAAAAGAAGAAAAAGAAAGGTCAGCTTAATGGGGATGGCCTTCCAAAGTTACTTACTGGTGATGAGTTTTACAACCAGGTTGTGGACCATCATAAGTCCATTGCAGAGCAGGATGCTGCTTGCAAAGCACAGCAAAAACAAAGGGATGAACAAAATGAATTGTTGGTGGCATGGAGAGAAGAAGAAGCAGCTCGCCGAGAGTGTAACAAGGCCCTTCGGAAGACATATCACGAAGAGTTGCAGCTCTGGGAGCTTGAGAGAGATCAGGCAAAAGCAGAAAATCGCCAACCTCATTGGGCAAAACCAAAGCACAGGAAGCTCGAGCGGCCAGCTCCAAAGCCCGTCCTCAGTAGCGCAGACACAGAGCAGGTGGGCGAAAACGACGACAATGGCGAAAACGAGGAGGACGCACGGTCGGATGATGATTGATAATATTCCGATAACCGCTGATGCCCGCTATACCATATTTGGGGTGTCTCAAATCACGGTGTGACCGCTGATAAGCAATTTAATTTCTGAGGCTTCACCACTGCATAACTACAGTTACGATCCTAAAGAAACCTTTATCCAGACATTCTCTACTATTTTAATAGCCCTGTCATCCATTCTGATCTACTTATAATTGTGTTGTGTTGTAAAATGGGCATTTTTGATATTGGTGTCTCAAATCTAGGTTGATGACTGTACACATATTTAAACCTCGAAAACTGCCAAAATGAAGCCAAAACGAGGGATATCAAAGCAAACTGCCGTTTTCGGCCTTACCTGGTCAACAAAAACAAAATGAAAACAGCGTCGAAAACGCACGAAAACGCGCTGTGAATTCCCCAATGCAAACACTCGAACCGTGGACTTCTCGACTACCACAGGGCGGTGTATTCAGTTCATCGATCAAGCATGTTGCAGCAATGCAGACCTCATGTGTTCAATAGTATTTCATACCACCTAGCCTCGTTGCCTGCACGTTCCAATTAACATCCCCCGCCACGTGTGATGGAAATGTTTCGGTGCAGGGGGTGAGTGAAGTGCCAACTGTCCGTGTCTGTCATTTGCTCTCGCAGAAAGTTACTACCACAGTGAGTCTCTCTGGCACATCGATTTACAAGTCTACTAATTCCACGTATTTCTGTGCACGATGGCCCTGTCTCATCTTCACTCGCCCAAACTTCCCTGAACCCTACTGACGAAAAGATGTCGACGCCTGGGAGCCCGCATCAACAAGGAGGTGCGAGTCGGGTTTTCGTCATGTTTCCCAGATACCTAAAGCTCTATCACATGACGCTTGTCAGACAAGAAATCGGAGAACGGTGCGGCTGCTGTTAGGGAAGAGAATAGAAAGGATACTCCAGTTAAGACGATCTGCTCTGCAGCATCCTCTCGGGCATCCTTTGCAACTGCCAAGTCGACTGGTGCTGTGGAAGGTTTGGATATTGGAAGTGACGAGACCAAGATCTTCAGTCGCAAGGCCGAAGAATCTCAAGGAGGTGCGAGTTGGATGTTGGTTATCTTCCCAAGGGACTTAAATTTTCACTACACATGCAACCATCAGATTTAGCGCTGGGGAACGCCACGGCTGTTATTTGGGAAGGGAACGCAAAGGATATTACAAATGAGTAAGCTTTGTAGCATCTTCTCAGTCATTTCTTTTAATTACCAGATCAACCAGCCCTAGGAAGGGTTCGTGTGCGGGATGCGGCGAGATAAAGGTCGATAATCATAGGGTTGAAGAATCCCAGGCAGGTGCGGTTGGATTTTGATCCCATTTCTGAGAGCCTAAATTTCTACCACGCATGCTGCTGTCAGAGGTGATGCCGGGGAACCTTATGGGGTTTATTACAGATGGGAACACAGAGGATAGGATACAGGCGGCCCCTGGTGCTCACCCAAAACAGCTCGTTGCTGGACCTGCGCTACCCTCAGCAGCGGACAATACGCGTGCGCCGCCCGCTCCAGCTATGGCTGACGAGAACAGCGATAATAAACAGGCGCAAGCCGAACCAACAGGTATTCGATCAGGATCGACACGGTCGCAACCTCAGAACCAATCATCGGCGTTGCCGCTGGGCCCGCCCGAAGAAGAATTCACGAATCTTGACCTGGAAACAAGAACTAGGGATATTATAATTGCGTGAGTAAGATAACTTGTTTTGTGGCATCTTCTTAGGCAGCCTTCAATTTCCAGGTTAATGGGGCCAACCGGTGCGGGGAAAAGTTCGGTGAGCTCCTCACGAAATGTATTTTCAACATAACCTGATCAGTCGCAGTTCATAGCCAATGCCACGAAGTGCGAGGGTCAGGGGGTGGGACATGAGTTAACTTCTTGTACAAGCGAGATCAATGTCACCAAATACGAGGTTGAAGGTTCCAACGTGGTTCTGGTAGACACACCTGGGTTTGATGATACGAGGAAATCTGACTTGGACATCCTGAAACTGATTTCCGATTGGCTGAACACTGAGTAAGTATTCCTCATACTCCGGTTTGTATTATGAACGATGCACATCCGATCAGGTACCAAACTACACGACCCATGCTTTCGGCCATGCTTTACTTTCATCGCATATCAGACAACCGTATGGCTGGAACGCCACTGAAGAACCTTCGAGTCTTTGAAAAGTTGTGTGGGAAAAATGCGATGTCCAAGGTTATCTTGGTCACTACGATGTGGGATGAGGTGGACACCGAGGTTGGCGATGAGAGGCTGAAGGAGCTGAAGGATAATTATTGGAAGATGATGATCTCGCGAGGGTCTACGACGTTCGAGTGTAAGGACGTTCGAGGGTCACCCATGAATTTACTCCAACAGATCGTACGGCGAAAGAAGGAGCAAGAGTTGATGGGACAAGATGAAGAGGGTGAAGGCGGGGTCCAGTTGCAGGAGGAAATTTCCAATATGAAGTTAGAGCTACAGGAAACTGCTGCCGGGCAGCAGTTGTGTTCTCGTCTAGAAGAACTCGCCAGGAAGCGGATGGAAACACTTCGAAGAATTCGGGATGAGACCAAGGGAGCGGACCAGAAGACTGCAGAAGACCTCTGGAGAGAATATGCCGAAGTAAAGGCCCAACTAGACTCTACTTTGACTCAAGCACGCCAGTTGAGGATGACGCTCAGACAGCGGATTAAATCGATCAAAAATGGCTTTCACTTTCGAGGACTGAGAAGTAAGTGGCACCATCCCTATTCATCAGCAAAGTTACATACCATTTAATTTGGCTGACATGACTGATTTAGTCTGGCGCAAACTGTAGTTAGTCCCCCAGACCGTCAGACGAGGACACTTTCTTTTCATAGCCATACTCAAGTCATACTGTATATAGGGAAGTCATAGCAGAGCACAAATGTGAGGTTCTGAGAATAGCACTGTGCTGCCTCCGTTGCGACTCCCGCTCAAGTGTATACAACATGTGCCGGGAGGTCTGTGATCTCAGACCTCAGTCGTGCTAACGCCATGAAATTGCTTTACCATTAGCCAAGGCATAGCAGCAAGACACCATGCCTGCTTCTTTCTGTCCACGTATGTCCTCTCCCCCTCAGATACCCAGGCAGGCCATCAGGAAATTAACAAAATACTATTTGAGCTCATTGAGTTTATTTGGACTCATTGGACTTACTAACTTCTCCTGATGACACCAGTGAAGAGAGATGTCAAAAAAGGTAAATAAGTCTGAAAATTCAAACTACATAAGTAGGGTAACATCACAGGAATCAAAAAAAATCAAGACAGTTCGACATGAGCAAAACACGACTCGGCAGAAGAACATAAGGTGAGCAGTTAGGGCCATGAGGGGAATTTTATTCTCTCGAAACAGTTTCTTGAATGCAGCATTTGGTGGGCTATCAATGCATCAGCGTCGGAATAAGACCAACTAGAATTCGAAGACACACCTCGCGTGTCTCTCCAGTCCCTGGGATGCTTGGACGACATGCTGGTGGCGACACGTCGGAAGCATTGGAGTAAGACAGGTTCAACACGTCCAAGACGATGCTCATCCGGTTCAAAGAGTCCACGCTGGGCTGCAGAAGCAATCTGGAGTTGGGCGTAGCATGCCGCAGCATAGCATATGATGACTGTATGACCATTAAATTTGTGGGTGAAAAAACAAACGAAACTTTCCGATGCCTCACAGCGGGGGCAAATGCAGACCGATACTCGAGTCCAAACCATACACATCGTTGACTTCGCCGAGTACTGTACCTGTCGCCACTTCAGACTGACCCTACCGACAGACGGCACCAAAGTTACACTAGCCAGTCCTTGTGTGCGTGGGACACAACTTCGGCGCAGGGGGTGGCATGGCATCTGAGCTGACGGAGTCACAGACACAGGCGGCCACAGTGCATAAGCTGGCGTGGAGCCACTCTGGTTCCAACGCACTGCACATCCTCCTATATACTTGCCAGGCCCAGAGACACATCATGGATGCCCTCGAACGACGACATCTACGTACCTCGTTGCACTCTGCCACAAATGGATTGCGTGCTGCGTCAGCAGTTTGAAATACGGAGTCCTCCGCAGAGGGCCCGTCTTACTACATATATGTATGTTGATGGTGGCAGTGAGAAGGAGCGACTATGTTCGAGAACTGTAATTCTCACCGTTCAACTCACTCCCTCGATGGCTCCAGCAAATCCGGGAAAAGTAACGAGACGAAGTTACGGTCAGAACGCGACGCACGAAGGACAAGGAAGACACCTGAGGTTGTCCCTCCATATCAGCCGAGGCGCGAGGCGGAACAGAATTCTCAGTCCACACGTGAGAAAGCGAGGCCCTTGCCTCTTCTCAAGCTCTTCGACTCTCCTCCACCTCCAGCAAGCCCGTTGGCTTTGCGGTGACCTCAGCGAGTTCTTTGACTTTTTGCACCCACCCTCCTCTCCCTCTTAGGTTTGTGCCAAGCCGGTACTGCCCCGCCCTTTGCCAGACGCGACATGCTCAACACTTGGTGTATTTTTGGCTCCCCTTGACCTAATATTCGGATCCCGTCCCGCCGTCACAGCTTAGCCCCGGCATACCCTCTGGGTTCCGCCCAAAGCCTCTCTCTACACACATCACCTACCTACACCCCCTATACCTACCCTCGCAGCCTACTAACCTCGCTCATTTTTCCCCTCTCTCACATTTCAGTCGAGCATTGAATGGCATAGAACAATTTTAGGAGCAGAACCTAGCGCATTCCAGTCATTTGACCGCTAACGGTTACTTCTGATCGTCAGGTATGTAAGTTACTAGGTACTGTAATTACGATGTCTGAACTGTGCACCCCTTACTAATTGCCATTACTTAACTGCCATGCGTCAAGAGTCGCCCCCGTCGTAGTGAAAGAGTAGATATTCACGTGCTTCTCCCGCAACACTAATTCCCGCTCTTTAGAAACATTTGGACCCTGCATTCTTCACAGTTTGGGAGTCTACTTCTGTGACTTCCACTCGTCTCTTAGTCTCTTCCCGTGATGCGTGCATGCACGGTACACGTATCCATTCCTATTTTGAATAATAGGACAAGGAAACATTGAGTACCCGCTTCCAACCCGGTAATGCCACTGTCTTACCTGTGTGAAGCGCTCACAAGATCAGCGGGTATATCCTATCGTGCCGCATCTACGGCCGTAGCAAGACTCAACGGAGTCCGACTCTTGCATATGTAGGAGGTACACTAGTCTGCAGTGACGGAGGCTCGCCCAACCCTATACAGAAAAAACCGGCAGTCGTCAAGTATCGCTGAATGCTGTATACCCTTGAATCAGACATGCAATGAGTTTCCTCATCCTGAGTCCGTTGGCATCAAAACGTGTAGCCCAGGCTATTTGACCCCTGTCCTGTACACAATAAATATCTCCGATCAGCAATGCCTTCTCTCAGCGTCTATCCAGATACCGAAATTGGGATAGTCGTTCCATACCGCAGGATCGATTCTTGGACACGCTGAAAAGGTCAGGAATGCTCTGTCAGCAATATCAGTATATGAATCGAAACCCTTCTCCAGCTCGCCATGCCTCCTGTACCATTAATTGACTGAGTGGTAACAGGCAACACTTTTGGTACGCGAAGTCACACTATTCAAGCCCAGCCCAATATCCCATTCCCATCCGACCTCACAACTCGTGCGAAATCCTCAGTTGCTGTTCACTGGATGGGTCTGCTCGATCGGTTTCGCGGTTCTAAAAAGACTACCGCCATTTTACCGACGGACATCGTAGTTTTGTGAGTACACTGACGCTATCTTCGGTGCCGCAATAGAACTAAGAGTGGAACTAGCATCGTAGGTCCCTCTGGTTCAGGAAAGAGTCGGGTAAAATCGACTTTTATCCTGTTCTATGCCATCACTTACTCCGCATTCATCTGTACTTCACTTCAGTTTATGAGCATTCTTTTGCAAAACACAAACGTTCACGTTCGAGTTAGCAAAGGTCAGAATCCCGGCACCACAGAGGTTCATGCGGAACGGTGTCGTTTTGACGGAATGCAGAGTGACATCGTCATCGTAGACACACCATCTTTTTACACCTACCTGGATCCAGATGGGGAAGATGTAGTGAAAAGGTGGATGGATTCAAAGTAAGACATGCCACCCGATACCATGCAGTGAATAACCTATCTGGCTAGCTATACGAAGCCGTGCAAAGCGGCTGCAGTGCTGTACATGCATAACCTTGCATTCAATGCAGGCGATGCAAATTTGAAGGTTTCGAAGCATCTTGGTGCTTTCCGGCGTGCGTGCCGTCGAAATCTCATTCCTAGTGTCTATCACGTCATCCCAACTTTGTCCTACGGGGCAAGGTTGTCAAATGAGAGGATCGAAACTTCAGTGACTCAACTTCGAGGTCAAGCGAATGATGAAGGTGCACAATTTTGTAGCACGTCGCCTGCCGGAAAACCCTTTGATGGGAGACCCGAGACGGCGTGGGACGTCGTACAGGGACTCCTAGCCAGTTGTATCTAAAATAGCTGTGTACATGATCTACAACAAAGGTCAATATCACCGTCAGCTAAGCCGACAATCATAATTATGCGGTCATGTAGCATTGCGTGCGCATGAGGGTCCAGAGGAAATGGGTAGAAATATTACACCCGCCCATACCAACCCACTAGTCGGAAGCACGCAATGCAGGTGAAGCGGGCTGTACGCGTTCTCTGGGAACGTCAGAACGGCAGTTGTCGTACTAGATAACCACAAGGGGGCCACTGCCGTAAAATCAAACACCAGGGTACCTACAATCTCCAAGCCCCGCTTTAGAGCCCCCAGACCGTTATCCACACTACGAAGGCGGTGTTTCGCAGATGGTATCGACTGTGGAAGTCACCAGCTACATATAAGCAACACGAGTAGGACTTGACATCGCATACGAGCTGTATCGAATTTGTGCGTTGGGAAGCCGTCAATTGAAGGACATGCCGATTTGCATTGACGCCCGGCCCCTGGATAATTCCCTGCACGTTGCTCATTTCCCTGAGTTCACAAGTTGGTCACCAACTTCGTACAATTTACGATCATCTTACTTGCAAATATGTCAACTGCTGCCTTCATACCTGCCGATACCTTCGTCTCTTCTGCATGGTCAATCACCACATTGATAAGCACCACGGTAGCAGTTTCCAACACTTGGAAAAGCTCCAAGAGACCGTGCACCAGCGCAAGAATCGAAGGTGAAAGTTGGGCTTATCGAAAGCAACGAAGACGAGCTCCGAAGGGGACATCTACTATGATGCAGAGACGGGCTAGGTAACTTCTTGGTACCCTTCCTGAACCGCTTAAGAATCCCCTTGAAGCCAGACGTGATGCCACTGAGGCTGTCTAGGACAGTTCTTCCTGCCGCCGTCCTGTGAAGTGGTACGTGTTCATCTACCATTTCCCATCAGATTTGAAGCGGGCGGTATAGAAAAGGAATGGATAATTCCCCAAACAGATTCTGTGATACCTTCGAAGCGGTGAGTGGTTGATTCTAAGGCGATCATGGCCCGCCAAAAGTCGGAATGCAGTTCTTGTTCGCGTGCTAAGTCGACATCTTCCCGATACTTCATCCTAAATGACATTCTTGAAGTTATCCTTCCTGCATAACTCCTTGAACATTGTGTAAGCCCTTAGTGGAATTCCTCCGACCCTGCCGTCTGAAATCCAGTACAAGTATGGGAGGCCACTCAGTTTGATGTTTTCTCATAGCTGAAAGGCTGTCATAACCAGGGTCGTTCGAAGTCAAACAAACTGCTTACGTCGATTTCAACCGATACGAATTTGCTTAAGGATCTAGCCATCTGTCATAGAAGTATCGTCGAATCTGGGTGTATCAACCAAAACAGTGTTGCGGACACCATGAAAGTGGGGATATCGCACAGCACGCATTTCCTTAGTTATTCCATGGCCGGCACTCACATCGAATCTTCCAAACACGCGGTCGATGAACTAGGTACGTTCAGTCGAGGAGAAATTGCAGACATGCATGTAAATTGTGCTTTTCCCTGCGCCAGTAGGGCCCATGACACTGGCAACACGTATTAGAGCTGTATACCCATATAGGCTGACGCACAGGACGATAACATCATTATCGTTAATCAAAGCTTCCCCAGCAGGAGACGTGGGAGGTGCAGTTTGTTCATTCGCATTGTCATCGAACCTGCTTTCGAGGTCGACAGTGCTGTCACCTCTACGTGTGTCGGGAAGTGTGTTCAGCCTGTTCGCCGCCGGCCATGCGTGGGCGCCACGACTACTTCTCTGCAGCGGTGTATCACGATCCCTCTCGTACATCTCCCATTCGGATGTACTGCTCGAAAGGCTTGAGATGGTGCCGGGGAGCATGGGAGAGGCTCGCCGTCGGCCGGTACTTTGATGGAGAGGAAAGCGGTGGAAGACTACCGGGCCTATTTCCGCTATTAGCCAAGGAAAAACGTGCAAGAGGACCGGATTTACCCTGGACAGTGGCATCAGGAAAACGGAGGTCAACGCCGTAATACAACAAAGACTAGAACATAACATACACTGTACTTGACGTCGCCTCGAGGAAGCACGACAACGGGCTTTGACAGGCATAGAAGGGTAGCTACCACCATCGCTCCGCAAACACGAGGGCGCCAAGGCACTAATCTTCAGTCGGGATAGCTCCACAACGAAAGGAACTTGATCAATCGACTTGAGGTGATGGATGTCGTAGATATGGAAGCGCCTATGATACAGGTAGAACATGTGGAAGACTCGATGCAGGTGTACCCTATGTGTGCGGACAGGGTTTAAGAATACTACACATACATACTTCAAGCTTGCGGATGTCATCTTACCTGCAGGATGGCTTCCCAACCCATAATCATTGCGTATGCCGTGTTTCCAAATGTCATTGTTATCAACTACACTCCGACCCAGATTGATGGGCCCTGCAGGGTCGGCGAAAACCAACATGAGTGGAAGAAACGTCGTAGTGGGTCGTTGGCTGAGGGACACATAATTCATCAACTAGCTCACTAGAACCAAAGAGGAAAGGGCAACGCACCAACTCAAGTCGCATACTCAGGGAGTTAGGGAGTTTACAGTCAACCTGTCCAAAGACCGGCAATACTTGCTCGTAGATACCCCGGGATTTGACGACACTTATCGATCAGACCGGGATATACTCCACACGACTGTTGAGTGGCTAGAGAAAAAGTGAGTGCTGAGCCTGTCAGATCCGCCACTCACCGACGCCAAAACAGATACCGCGGAAACGTCAAACTGAGAGGCATTATCTATACAGGCCGCATAACTGGTAGTCGGATGTCTGGGTCTGTGTGAAAGAACCTTGACATGTTCGCTCGGTTGTGCGGGGACAACGCGGCCCGTGGTGTGCGGTTAGTGACCACTATGTGGGACAAAACAAAAAACAAGGACATTGCAGAAAGCAGGGTGTCGCAGTTGGAGAAGAGCTTCTGGAAGCCGCTAATCAACGCAGGAGCTCGCCATAAACGGTTTGAAGAAAACTCTTCGACATGCGCATGGGGGATCATCTAGGACCTGATGGGGGAGGGAAAGGCCCTTCTGCTTCAGGAAGAGCTGGTGGATGCAGCAAGAAAATTGAACGAGACGACTGCTGGACAAGCCCTCTACACGCAATTCCAGAAGCTCTAGCATGAACAAAGGGAAACAATCAAGCAACTTCAGGCAGAAGCCAAGGCGCAGAAAGATCCGGAGTTGTTGAGGCAACTCGAGGCGGAGCTAACGGCGCTTAGAAGCCGAGCTGCAGAAGACATGGGATGAGGCGGGCAAACTGAAGATTCCCTTCTTCAGACGCCTAGCACTCCTCTTTTCCAAACCGTCGGTCCTGCTTGGTTGATCATCACTGACACAAGACTCATGCAGGTCCATAATGCAAGATCGATGCGAAGTCCTTGCCATCCCAGTGAATTTGGGTGTCCTCTATGTGAATCTGTTACATCGAGAAATACTGCATCTCCGCAATGTAGAAGTATTCCTTTTCTGTGCATGTCTCAATGGTTGAGAGGCGCCTAGTGGGAGGCGAATGGTTGAAAGGATGTTCATGCACGTGAGCGATGTCAGTACAAGCGTAAAGTGGAACACTGACAAATGAACTAGATATAAGCGCCGAATTTCTTCGTCAGAAACCTTGTTTACAAATTTGTAAGCATGAAGTTAGTATTGACTGATTACAGTGTGACTATATAGTAAATATAGTAAAAAGCTCACACGGCACGAAAAACGCGACCACCACAGCCACAATTTCCTCCCCCCAGTGACCTCGTAAACAAGGTAATTCAGGATGTAAAGGGTCTCCGAACCTAAATATAAACCTCCAACAACGCATGTACTCCATGAGGTAAAACAAAGCAATCTAACTCCAATGCTTACTGCATTCCATTGTCTGTTCATACGCACCAGTTGCTGACAGCACCTGCATTTGGACTACCCGTATGTTGTGCCGATGGTAACGACAAAGAGGGAGCTGATCCAGTAACAGACACAAGTTCAAAGAGGAAATGGAAGACAATGACGGGGTTAGTGTGAGTGGAACATGTGTGTCAGCAGCAGAAGCGCACACCACCTGGATTGATGTGAGGCGAGTGGTGACTCGTTCCGTAGAAGCGTCAGTGGTGGTGATACCCAAACAGATCCTCATAGAGATGCCCAAGCGACATGAACATAGGTCTGCCTCAGCGTGGGTATTGGAGAGGATGAACACGAACCACGACGCCTATGCCTGCGTCAGGTCGTTAAACCCTCATTCGACAGGGAGGCTGTGTTGGTAATGGAAACACAGAAGTACATGTCAATGTCGACGAGAATGCGCGTCCCTGAGCACTCAAGACAGAGACGGATAATGTCTGACGAGCGATAGTGACGTGGACCTTGGCTAATGATTTGTTGATGACGCCAGACCTCTGGATGGTAAACAACACTCAGTCCAAACACCGTAAAGAAGCGCTCACTGAGACTGTCAATACCAACCGCCTCCGGCTCTTCCATGTAGTGAGGTGCAACACTCGCCATCCCTAACACCCGGTGGGTCGAACCCAAAAGGCCAACCCATTTCTTGCGTGGTCTTGCACACGCATTTGTTCCTCCTTTTCTTTGGCCTCGAATACCTCTAGAAACAACAAACTCGACTAGCATCCTCTTCATCGGAGCGACGTATGCCGCAGCCCGTTTCTCAGTGTCCTCTCCAGCTAGCGTATCTTAGCTCCGCAGTCTGCACTGCAAGCTGAGCTTTAGCTACTGTGATACGAGTGCTGAGGGTGCCGAACGAGGAGAGATCCATTCTTAGCATGCCATGGACCTGGCCAAGAGAAGTAGGTCTGGGTAAGTAATGGTTTTAGTGAGTGGCATGTCGTGGTGGTGGTGGTGGTGGTGGTGGTGGTGGTCAGAGTGTCACCGGGCGAAAACAAGAAACTGTCACGGTCGCTTGTGGATACATGGGACTTGTTATCTTGGGTGGCCGTCTTGTATGGTATTCCCACCTCCCATCTCAAGTGTATTGAGGTATGACGATTGGCACAGATACTACACATGTTAGTAAAAGTACTACGCTGGTGTACAAACAGGGACCCCAGAAGCAATATAATTCCCTCTGTCTCACTCATCCCTATGATTTTCACCGCCATATCTCATAATCTCATTTAGTAGTTCCTGCACGACGTCCCATGCCGTCCCGGGCTTTCCGTCAAACGGCATCCCAAGTATTGACGCACCTATACTATCTGCCTGGTACCGCAGTCGTGTCATCGATGTATTGATCTTCTCGGCAGATAACGTTGACCCCAAAGCAACAGTCGGAACAACGCAAACAGCACTGGGAGCATGACCTTGCGGGCATGTGCGTCGGAAAGCACTGAAATGCCTCGAGACCTCCAAATTTGGATCGAGTGGGTTCGACGCAATGTTATGCATGTACAAGATTCCGGCTCCTTTGGGCTGTATATAGCTGGCTCGATAGGTCAGTCCCTACTCTAAGCAACGAAGCTGTAATATATATCTTACTTTGAATCTATCCACTTTTTCACAGTCTTCTCCCCATCTGGGCGTATGTATGTGTAAACGGACGGCGTGTCCACAAGGATTATGTCACCCTGCATTCCTTCAAAGTGGCATCTTTCTGCATAGACCTTTGTAGTGCAGGGCTTCTGGCCTCTGTTGACTGGAACGTGAGTGTTTGCCATCTTCAAAAGAATGCTCAAAAGCTAAGGTAGAATACAGGGGAACGTAGGATGAGAGATAGCTTGAACTAGGATAAGAACTGATATTACCCAACTCTTCCCTGAGCCAGAAGGACCTACAATGCTACTTGCAACCTCAATATTACTGGGTCCTGAAGGTAGTATCAGTGTACTCACAACACTACGACATCCGTCGGAAAAATGGTAGTCGTCTTCCTAGACCAGCGAAATATATCTAACAAACCCATCTGCAGAACGAGAGCTGCTGGGACCCCGTGTGAGGCGAGTGAAAGGTAAGCTAGCTGGGCAGCAGGACGTACTACGGTGGTAAGCTACGCTTAAATTGAGTGATCTTGTCCACGTATCCATACCTTGATTGATGCCAGAGTCTCCTGGCCTTCGCAACGTGTATTACTCTTTCGAGAGTACACCTGGCAGTAATGTGGCCGAAGAAGTGAATCTTAGCATATGGGCAGATAGTTGACTACATGGCGGCATGGTTGCCGCAGTACAACACCCTCGATCCACGTTTTGATGGCGGCCTCAGATAGTAAAATGAGTTGTGCGCGTTCGAAGCGAGGCGACGCTATACTATTGAACAATGATATTTTAATGAAATCCTGAAATTAAACTGTCAGACCTGTTGATCATGCGACGTGGCTAATGAGATAAGTTCAACGTCAAGAATGTATTACGACACACCAGGTAGTATGTACATCTAGCCATCTTCCTCAATCCAATCATGCATGTGGCGGGTGACGTTAGAATCTAGCAATGCGCGCCCTCCTGTCTCGTCGCAATTGACGGTCAAATGCGATACGACGGCTCAGTGACGCTTGAGGACTCGGTTTATCCAGTGGCAGTCATCCCGTTCCAGCCAGCCAACGCGCCATTACTGGGAAAGCGACCCAGCGATGGCGATTGTACTCTTACATGCTACACACACTAGCACATAGTTCCTGTCACACAGCAGTGATCAGTGGACATTGAGGCAAACATGTTACGGCATGGAAGTAAATCAACTTGTGGAGTCATAATCACGGATACGTCGCTGTATTGATGTTGACGCCTTCGTACTGTGTCATTGTTCATGGACCGTCGGAACAAAGTGGGCTGAAATTTATGTTATGATCGACGGAAATGGTCACTTATGCGATGTCCAAAATTGCAAGTCTAGTCAATCGCCCATAGGGACCCTATCTTCTTCATATCTTCCAGGATCATGTTTACCTCGGCGACGTTTTTATCGGCCAGTCTTCGGAACTATGTCCAGCTAGCACGCTGTCATCACAGTAGGCCCAGCAATTTCAAACGAACCTCGTCAAGCTCGGTAGAGCGCTTCTCGTATTTGCCTTTCTTAACACTAGCTCGATGAACGCGCCTTACCTGAATGTGAGCCTTCGAAGGTTGGTCAGCAATACGTAGGATAGTGCAAGGGAAGCTGACTTACTTGGGTATAGGAATTCTGACGGTGCTGGTGTCCGGTCTCCGAGGAACAATTCCAGGTAATTTGGCACTATATACCGCTCGTTCGACAGCTGTCATAATCTACTAAGTTGTCGATGAGGACAAGGACTTCCTTGCACAAAGAAGCACCAACGCACATTTTCGTCGAATACCGTGACAATTGACACTGAACCATCCTTGATACCAACTGTGGCAATTTGCTCTAATTTGTCGGGGTCGTTGCCTTTCCCATAAACCTCCACTCTTACGGGAGCAAGCAAACTAGGCGTTACGCGACCACTTACTTGTGTCTCGAAGGTAGCCACTTCCTTCCGATACCATCCCACCGCGGAAGACATCTTCATTTCTGCTGTTTGGTACTCCGAGCGCGCCTCTCCATGGTTAAGAGTCGCCGCGAGCCGAGGACCGGGTCGAGAGTGGATTTTATCCTGGACCTCGATGCATATGTGCGACCGAGGACTGTGGGCGGAACTGTCTTTAAGCATGAACTGTTCAGACAAAACGCAATGTGTGTTGAACGAGGACAGAGTTGCCGAAAGAGAGCCACAGACATGGACAGCACTGATCAACCAGCAGACACACCTCCGTACACTCTGGTCGGACCTACACTTACATAAACTAACTGCCCCCTGCTTGGTATCGAATACCATCGCGGCAGACAATCCATGTGTCCGTTGAAGCGCGCGGTTGGAACTAGTACCTGGGATTGGAGCCTTACTTTGACGAGATCAAAAGGGTGCTCGAATGTTTTGGAAATCATCCCTGCAATCTGGCCCAAAATGATCGCTGCATCACTAAAAAAGCACCTAAGAGAATATACGCTGCCAAATGGCACTTCTCATGCTGAAATACGTTCGGGCGTATCATCGCAGATGAAGGTACCTTGAAGTCCTTCTATATGCAATGAGGTATCGACGGAGGTTCAGAGGGGATTGAACACCTGGAAATGCCCTGTTGCGTGAACAATATTCTTGGACTACGTATCAGGGTGTCTTGTAGTTACTCGCGGAGTTTGAGTCGAAAAGCGATAAGAGACCCCAGAAAGAGACACAGGTAAGTGTTGGGAGGAAGGTCGCCAAGCTTACCGATATTCATCTCATTTCGCCTCGCGAGGACACACTGATCATGCCACATGTTAACAGTTCTGTGGATAGCAAGAGGCAGGCTACACTGGTGCATTGGGCCAGGAGAATCATACCAAGGTAGAAGTGTGAAAGGGGTTGTGGCCTGGAAGGAGTCTACGGGGTATAGTCTAATCTAACGATTTCCACGACATCACTCCGAATGGACGGGTATCCGTCTGAATACTTGTCGCGTGCGGCCGTTTGCCTCTGTAATGACATCTTGTTGTAACCTGTGTCCGCTCCTCCGGGGTAACCACTCGAAGCACAAAAACCAGTAAAGCACTCCGGCCAGTCCGATCGCCATAGCCATTACGACATGAGACTATGGCGGGTAAAGGTTCAAAATAACACATTGTATACTCGTTCACGCTGCTCACATAATAGGGTAAATGCTCATAGACCTCATACCCACGGGATGGAGGTATTATCGGGACGACCACGAGAAATACGTTGGAGAGGAAAAAGAAGATAACAACATATTTCGGGGCTCGGAATGGAGGATTCCAGTCGTACGGTTTGTATGGTCGGGTATACAAGAGCAACAGGCCGCCCGAAGTCAACAAGTTGAACAGCGCAAGGGGGTAGGAAGTGACTGTTCACAGGTATGAGTCAGGAAAATGAGAAAGAGGAAAGCTGGGGACCATACAATTCACGACGAAGGTATATGCATCTCCAGCTGGTGTCAACAGTATCGTAAGGATAGAAACCAGAGACTGGATGAACAAGCCAAAAAGGGGTGCATCGAACGGTTCGTTACTCGCTAGGAGTTGCGAGCATGGCAGGATACCTTCACGCCCTAGCTCCTGATTCACTAAAGGCCACATGAAAAGACTGTCAAGGAAAAGATGAAACACGCGGACCTCGTCCCTGAGAGAACAAAACTGCCAGAATGTTTCCGAGGATGGATAAACCGATCACTGCACTGAGGACCTTGGCAAATATAAACATTACGATCGCTGGGACTGCGACATACTCACCCGCTCAGTCGCTGGACCAAAAAGATTTCTGAAGAACAGAGCCCTGTGGAATAGACCTTAGCCGTTGTAATACTTACTTAAGATGGTCGGCAGCACATACGCTGCGATAGTTCCACTCTCTAATATATCTCCTTTTGACACCACAGCATAATAAGCAATGTTCACAAGAACATACACCGTTGTCACCAAGAGCATTGCAAGGGGGGCAGCACGCTGGATGGTCTGAATGGGATTCCGGACTTCGGATAGCGCATAGTTGGCGTTCGAATAGCCAATAAAAGACCTATACAACTGCAACGGTGAGCCACAGTCCCCGGCTACCTCACCGTATGCTTACCAGATCACAAGATACACGCCATTAGTGAAAGCGTTGGCGCTCATGCTTGATCCCTCCCAAAATGTTGTCCACCCGAAGTTGCGAGGTTGGTCATACACTTCTCCAACTGAAAATCCAGGCATCCCCACTAAACTAAAGAGACCTGATGCTGAAATCAGCAATAGAACGGCTAGCTTAAATACGCCTAAGGTGTCTTGCAGCTTGATACCGATGGTGGGGAAAACGCCATGGACGAAAAGGCAGAGAATGATACACAGGCAAGCAACGGTACGGACATGAACGGCGGTTTGTTCACAACCCAGTGCGTGCAGCACATCTGCGTAGAATTACATTAGATACCTGACCTTCACTGGAGTACGTCGGGTAGCTTACATCCTCCAAAAGCGACGCTAGCGGCTGGCACCTGACCCTAAGGCAAGAATCAGGTGAGACGTAGACTAGCATCATAATCTACGTACCAAGAGAATTCCATATGACGCATATACGCAGGACATCAGGAATGCAGGACGACGATAAATGTATTCCAAGTAAGTCTTTTCCCCGCCATTCCGGGGTAAACCCTACACAGGACGACTTCAACATAATCGAATCATCCCTCAAAGAGATTGATTACCGTTCCGAACTCAACATATACGGCAGTTCCAGCGGCTGAAACCAAAGCCCCAATAATCCACATCACAAAGGTGAGTCCGACGCTGCCGGAGGACTTGAGAATTACGCTCGGTGCTGCAAAAACACTACGATACACATTAGAAACCACTGATTTTTGGAACAGAGGACGGCGCACCCGGTACCGATGATCCTGTTGAAGATAAGGGAGACAGCATTCAGCAGCCCTGCAACAGGTTATTAGCACTTGAATCAGAAGACTCGTGTACATACCTAACTGCTGTCTACGGGTGTCACTAAAGTCTTTGGTTGGAATGGCTATGTAGAACTCAGCAGGATCAATCTTTAGCATGTACAATCCTTGCACCAACTGGTTGCAGCGTCACGAATGTCGGGAGCGGTGCTTTCATTGCTGTATTCTCTGGGCTCCGAGTATTGAAGCAGAGATTCCGTCTCTTGTAACAATGCTGCTTGCGACATTCCTCCTATCTCTCCTGGGTAAATGCAGGGGTTGTACTGCGTTGTGATGAAATGGCAAACCCATCTTCGGTTCGGATAAGAAGGCTTACAACTTCACACGATAGAACCATACTTATGTAAGAGCTCTACACTTAGTTTCTACAGTGACTTGGAGCTCAGCTACTCATATAAACAAGAAACAAGTCTAGTACGTCGCTGAATGATACGCTGAGGTGATCCGCGTTGTTATGCTCGCATCGCTGAGCGACCTTCCCAGTGCCGAGGTGGTATTATCTTTGGGAGGACCTGGTAACTCAGAGTCTACTTTCAGATGGTTTGGAAGAGGTCGAAATGTGTCCTGTAGATGCTGTGACTGAGTTCGGCATGAAAAACCGGAAAAGAGTGACTCACAAAGGGACCGTCGACGTTTGGCAGGGATGGATCTTGTTTGACGTCCCCTTCGCTGAGAACAGAGAGCGGGAGCACTGACTGCAGAGAGGAAATTAAGGATAGAGGCCCGTCACCCGGGCCCGCAGAAGCCACCCACCTTACTGGACAATGTTCTCAGAGGCCGCCCCACGTGCATGCTTGCTGAGTTAAATGAGCGCACCAGGTTCGCATGCTCACGTTTGAGATCGTGATAATCCGACGATAGCTCGTCGAGACAGTTCTGTATATCTGTATGCCCTCTCCGAAACCGCGCCACCTCCGCTCGGAAATTATCCCTCTCCCGACGAATCTCTCCTAGATCGCTCAACAACCTTGTATTGTCCGCTTGAAGTTGCAGGATGACTTTTTGCTGCCGTGCATGAACGGCTTGTAGTTGGTTTACAAGGCGATTTTGATTCTTCTCCATGTCGTCTTTGGCTTCGAGTGCGGAGCTGTTCGGAATTATCATGGGCAACAGGAGGCATATTTATTGTAAAGGTGACCTTGCACCAACCGGCATCAAGTTCTATCAAACCGATCAGCCTTTTGCGGATTTCCGATGCGAGTGCACTGACCTACGATAAAATCCCGCTCTGAAGGCGGCTCCCGACTCGCGAATCAGTCAGATCAGCCATCATGCATCATGTATCATCTGCATCATGATCAGATGGCAGTACTTGAATGACAGGTCATTGCAATAAGACATTTGTTTGCTTACCATAGCTGTGATATTATGATCTATATGTACTGCATCAAGCCTTGCCTGGGCAGTTCGCATCAATGATCAAGTTCGCAATGGATTCTCCGGTGAAAGCGCCTTAGTGAAACACCCAGTGGCAGGGAGACTTCGAACGGAGAGTACTAGAGCGATAGTTCTAGCCCATGCAGCGTGAACATGATATTATGGCCACGTTGTCGACTCGTGCTTCGTCGGTCCCCGTTCCGCATTCGCCCTTGCGCATGGCCTATCGGCCAATAAATTGGGCGACTGGAATACCAGTCATCATTATTGAACGATGGTCGGGCTGGTCTTTTTCAGTATATTCGCTCTCCTTGCTTCCACTGGTTCTGCGTACGACGTCATTCGAGAGTACTCTGGGAGTACCTTCTTTGATGGATGGGATTTTTACGGCGCCCCCGACAACCTGACACTTGGTATGACAGCTCCTTTTGCTTCGCAATTGGGCTCACTCTCATGTCAAGGCAATGTCACCTGGCTCTCCGAAACAGATGCCATTAGCCAGGGGCTTGCATATGTGAATAACCAAGGCCACGTCATCCTCAAGGTGGACAACACGACCAACGTGACATATGGCCAAGAACGAAACTCCGTTAGTCTACACCTTTTGACATCTCAGCTTGTTCACTGCTCGTTTTAGGTACGAATAACAACTCAAGACGCATATGAACTTGGCAGCTTTGTGGCTCATAGATGTAAACCATATCCCTTACGGTTGTTCGGTGACGGTCATCTCGCATCTGGGAAGCGTCAGCATTCTTATTATTTTCCTAGGTGTGGCCAGCATTTTGGAGCTTCGGTGCGCTAACCACCTGCTGGGTCAAGGGCTTGTTTGACGGATGTACAGGTCCCAAATGGCCCGACGATGGCGAGATCGATATAATAGAAGGCATCAATCTCATGACGTATAATCAGATGGCAATTCACACTACGGCGGGTTGTACACACTCGGGATCGGTTGGTCAGCTCGGCACAAATGGACTAACTACCGATTGTTCCCAGCCGTCGGGGTGCACCGTGATAGAAACCTTGCCAAACAGTTTCCAAAGCGGATTTGCTGCTTCTGGGGGTGGAGTTTGGGCAACAAGATTCGACACTACAGGCATTTAGTGGGTATTTGAATTAATGCGACATCCAACCACTCCTGACTACTTTGAAATCAGTATCTGGTTCTGGAGTGTAGGTTCTCTAGATCTTCGTGATGCAACTTATGGTGATGAGGTGTTCCATGGTCAATGATAGCGACCAGACATTCCACTGTCTATAAGCCAAGCCACGTCTACTTCGTCGCTCGATTTATCAGACTGGGGAACTCCTCACGCAAATTTTTCTTCCTCGACTTGCAATATGATTGCATTTTTCACACCTCAAAATCTCGTGCTCGACATTACTCTGTGTGGTGATTGGTGAGTGCTGTTGCTGGCTCCCCATATTTAGTCTTCTGAAAGTATTTCTGAGATATAGGGCGGGTTTGAGCTGGGATTATGACCCGACATGTGGGAGCTCTGGTCCAACAGGGTTATGTGTAAGAAAAATCTTCCTGGTAGAGGGGTACCACAAACTGACGATGGACCTGTGTCAAGTATAACGACTGTGTTGTTGGTCCAGGAAGCCCGCTTTACGACACTGCCTACTGGGATATTTCATACATTCGTACCTACACGAGCAGTGTTTCTACCCCATCTCCCTCTGGGTCTCCAGCATCCTCATCCTCGTCTGCTACTCGAACTAGCACGACTGCGACTAGCATATCCTCAGCTGCTTCTACAGACACCAACATCGCGGACACTCCACCCTTCCTACAGCCAATAGGGTCAGGCGAACCTCATGTTGCCCCCCGCGTGTCGTGGAGAATGGCGCTTGTTTACGGTCTGATCATAGTTGTATCTTCTGCGCCGTGGTAACTCTGAGCTGAGTTTATGGAACGCTTAGAAGTTCTGAGTACGTCGGACACATTGTATATTTTTCTGTATTCTACCCTGGTGGACCCTGTTTTGTTACCCATGAGTTTCATCTAGTAATACTGGCACGAGGTGCAATGGGCGACCCTGTTATTGCTTAGTTGATGCATGGATCCAAGGTTTTCATGTAACGACATGCACAGAGTCAATAATGCATCGATCAACGTTCGACCCCTCTGACTGTCTACCTGCTAGTTGAGTGACTATCTTCCTTCGCTTCTTGCTTAGACTGCCTGGCGGCGTCGGACGCAAACTAGTTGTTCTGAGCAGGCTCAGATTTGTCTTGTTTTCTTCAGCCTTGCCTCCACTGGGGTGATCGACTAGCAGCCACGTTTGAATTGCTGATCAACGTGCCAGGGTGCAGCAACGTCGAGAGCGTACTCAACATTGCAGGAAGTATTTGCAATTGCTCTCCCAGACAACGCATTTTTTATCAGATGAGGCTGACCCGTAAGTATAGGTGGGTATAGGGTACATGGCCGCAGTGGGTTGGTACGGAGACGTTGCTATTTGATTCATCTCAAGTCTGAGCCTGGTTGATCCACAGCCGCCCGCACTGGATATTATTTGGGGGAATGATGGGGGCACACTTGACTTCGACGCGCACCAGCACTTCCAAGGTGCTTTATGGAGTTTGCAGGCCCAACAGCCTCGCGTTCCCAGCGTGGCCCAAACGCCTATGGAATATCGTAATCTTACCTCAAATTCCTTTGCAGCAACACGTTCCGCGCTCCCTTCATTCCTGGGTAACTAGATACTGCCACAATAACTGCGTGGTATCTAATTCTCCGCCTGAACTTGAGTTGGGCTTAGGGCGAGTATAATGACCCACTCCGCACCGTATATTTCCAGGTTTTAACACTTGCTATTTGTTTCCACATCGCAGTGCTACCCCTACGGCTGCATCTAGGATCTGCGACATCCCGACTACCAACGGGTCATACTAGCCACCGACAACGCTGACGTGGCCGTCCTCATGGCACCCATCCATCGGCTTGTCAGCTTTCTGGCTTTTGATATTATTTGATTTGCTGACCGTGGCCCTACCGAGCAGTTGTACCGCCAGAGTCAGCCTGAAATCCGTGTCCATAGATCCTTTGGGCGTCTCCGCATCGGGTCGAGCATTGATATCCACTCGTCGGATACATCAACGAAGCAAGGCGGAAGGCAAAACACTTCTCTTTCAGCAGAACGTCGATCCCGTGAATCGGATGCGCAGGCTAACCAGATGAAAGACCTTGCTAGTGGAGCGCCTGCAGAAGGAACTGCATTGCAAGCAGAGGCCCTGAAGAGTGGACGGACGGATCACGTGCCCGTTGCATCCACTAATCTGGAACCGCAACCCGAACGATCATCAGAGCCTCACGGACCCCCTGTCCTGTCGTCGAAGGTGCCATTGAGTGACTTCGGTGAAGAAGATGCCATCATCTTGTGGGCAGATTTTTTGTTTTTATATTTATATTAGTGCCTCTTTCATATCTTCACTGCAGGATAACGGGACCAGCGGGATCTGGTAAAAGTTCGGTGAGCCGTTATGGTCCTTTCACTGCGTTTTACCTCAAAGTTGTCTAGTTTATTTCCAAGGTAACTGGTAAGGTCGATGAGGGTGTAGGACACGACTTATCGGCAGGACCCTATACAAAGGAGGTCAGAGCAACCAAATGTGTGGTTGACGGAATTCCCACTATTTTGGTGGATGTCCCAGGCTTTGACGGTGCAACGCCTGCCATCATGATATCGATATTGTGTATGATTTCCAACTGGCTTAGCAATTCGTGAGCACGGTTTTTGTGTGAATCTCGTTCCGCTTCTGAACTCGGGAGCTTGTTCTTGTAGGAACAAGAGCAAGGCCCTTATTTCGGCTGTTTTACTCTTCCATTCCATAGTCGACAACCGCATGCGTTGGGTGCCTCGGGAGTTCTTCGATCGCTGTAGGGAGTGGTTCGGAGATGAACTTGCGCCTCAGGTCAAAATCGACTTGGTCACTACGATGTGGGACGTGGTTGACAAGGCTGGCAACGAGAGATTTGTAGAACTTGAGGGAAATTATTGGAAACCAATGCTCGACGACGGATCTACAATATTCCGTTATTGGAACACTTCAGAGTCGGCTATGGAGTTGCTTCGAGCGGTCGTGTGCAAGAAATCAAAACAAATCCAACCGGCGGGGGTTGAGGTTGCTAGTATTGCTAGAGCACGTCAACCACCTGGGACTGGTGACGACATTCGTTGTGAAGTACCTCGCACTCTACCGAATTGGACCACAGACCCGTCTCCGAGTCGTTGCCATGCTCCTCGTGAGGCCATTGGAACGTCAGGGGCCTTCCTTCTTTCAGAACCAGGTGGGATACGTGATCATAGTATGTCTACTTTACTTCTAAAGAATACACGCTTTTGACGATGGTCTCGTTACCTTGCAGGCGAGTTGGCGATGCCACAAGCACTAGTAGCAGCCAGCGCGCAACCGAAAGTCGACCCAAATGGCACTGCAATACAACCGCCGCAGGAAGCTGTCCATGAAGCCCATGAGGTCCAGCTTAATGAGTTGAGCTCGCAAGACATACTCATTCTGTGCGTGAAATGGCTTAGACCTTAACCGTCTCCCTCACCCATCTCTGGTCAATTATCAGGATAATTGGTCCAGTGGGGTGCGGCAAAAGTTCGGTGAGCCTTAGATGCAGCTGAACGCCTCAACCGGCTTAGACAGGTCTAGTTTATAGGCAAGGCCATTGGGAGTGAGGAAGGCATAGGGCATACCCTATGTGCCGGCTCCCATACAAGAGAAATCCGCGCGACTAGATGCACTATTGGAAACTTCACCAACGCAGTTTTGTTGGACACGCCTGGCTTCGATAATATGAGCACATCCGAGAAGCGGATATTGGACATGGTATACAGGTCACTCACAGAAGTGTAAGGTTTTTCATTACAGGGCGTGTTGTTTCTCACATCAGGCTTTTTAAGACACAAAGACCGGATCTTCCTCTCAGCTATCTTGTTGTTCCATCCTATAACTGACAATCGTTTACGTTGGACACCCTTGAGACACCTCCAACTCTTTCAGAAGTTATGCGGAAAGGAAGCCATGGCTCAGACGGGCCTGGTCACCACGATGTGGGACGAGGTCGACGAGGATGTTGGCAACGAGAGGGTGGCAGCTTTGAGAAGTCACTATTGGAAAGCCATGATTGCACAGGGATCTAGGACATACCGCTTTTGGAACACTCGGGACGCAGCTAGGGGGCTGCTTCAAGAAGTAATAATCAGGAGTCAAGAGCAATATCATTCGATGCTAAGGCAAAAAATATTGGAGTTGAAGACATACAAGGGGACTATTGCCGCACAAAAGTTATGTTCTCGTTTGGAACAGCTGTCCGAAAGGCGGCTCGAAATTACGCGGGAGCTCCACTCAGAGGAAGACGGAGCTGCGAGCCAGAGGTCCAAGGAAGCCCTCGTGAAAGAGTATGCTGAGGTGGGAGCTGAATTGGACACCACGTTGAATCAGGCGCAAGTCCTCAAACACTCACCTACCTTACCACCCCTCCGCAGATTACTCAAGCCGAAGGGTGACTGCATTCGCACTCTTCATAACTTGATGCCTCTGACAACTCTGTTTAGTATCGAATCTTAAATATACGTAGGACGTCAGTTTGGTTCTGTACACGAATAGGTGGCTAGGCGTCAACCTACCGTTGCTGGGTATGGGCCCTTGTGTTCAGCTGCCTCGCTTTTCCCCTTTGTTCTCCCGCGAGCGTGCGGAGGATTGCTGTAGAGCTTTGGCCCGACGATGACACGTTTCCGACTAGATATCGATTGTTTTGACTGCTCCACTCAGTTTCTCATTCTTGTTTCCGCATGTCTAACGGTTAACAACCTTATGCACGATCTCTACAGTATCGAAGGGCTTGTATCTCATAGCGTACTCGTGCCATCTGGAAGAGCCGAGTAGCGTTTAAGAAAGATCCTTGTGTCATTGTCACCAGAGTGCGCACCCCGGTGGGGATGCAGACGCTGTAGTTACCTGACAGTGAACGGAACTGTATTCACAAGGTAGTCTAACACAGGACAGTGGACCATCTACAGCAAGTACGTATGTAATTACGGTGTGCCGATCATAGACGTCGTTCGTTCAGTATCTTGTAGCGCCCTTAAAGCACAAAATACTCTGAGAACACCCTCTCGTACGAGTTCCACATCCTCTGCAACGACTCGTCTCAACACCGGTGATATCCTGTCCGGATGCCAACGAAGGAGTGAATATCGAATCCGTTCTCGCCTCGCCGCACTACACCCACACACATCCGCTGATTCGAACAAGAACTCCCCGATCGCAAGTGTTGTAAGTCCGTCGATACGCTTCTCTGTCGGGAGGTTGCACAGTGGCCAAGAAAAATCGAAGAATGTTAACGGTTCACCGGACTTGCTTACAAACACCGCGCCATTTCGACTCGTATCGTTCCCATCGCTCGACCTTGCGTTGCTCGTCTTCGCGGAGGTTTATCTCAGCAAGCATACGCTCCGTGCGCATCTTGTCTCGTTGCCCTGAAGCGTCCCTGAGGACTCCCCCTGCACGAACCCACTCTACCTCGCTTTGCTCACTCTGATAAACTCCAAGTCTCTCTGCATCAGATTGGTTGTGGTGTGACCCTCGATCGTGATGCGTCTGGATGAGTTCGAGTGTTGTTAGGACATCCGAACCACTGTTAGACACACTAGGCAAACGAATAGATGATAGTTCTAGAGTAGAGTCCGGGTAACCTGGCATTGCAGAAGACGATGGTGGGAACGCGAGGTAGCCTCTTGTCGCCATCCGATGAAGGAGGTTAGTTGTCTCTAGGTTGAATTTGGCCCCTAGAGTGATAAAGTAGTAACCATCACACCGATAAACTGCTTTCTTGGATGTACGAAGATGCTATGTACAAAACAGACCAGGACTGTTACGCGTCCTGGAAAAGAGGCTGGCAATTTTCGTGATCTTGACCTAGTAGATCAGTACTGAAAACTCAGTTCATTTTGACTTTGCTGGATGTTGTGATTATGGTCAGTTGTCGCTGTGGGCCTACAGTACATATCTATGCCATAAGTGGTTTGGATCATCCTCAATGCGTGATAGGCTACCATCCGTCTGTAGCCTCCGAGTCTACCTAATGGACCAGCGAAGCCCTCACCTCCCAGAAGTCAAACCGAAAGAGGTGCTCATCTCACCCACTCACCTCAACCCCCTACGCAGAACTTCCTCCAACCTCCTCCCCAACTCCCCACCTCTCCCCCCACATATATCACCAGCACTAACCAGCGTCTGTTCCTTTTCTCTTTCTTTTTTCAAAATCAACATCCCAGCTTGACGTCGGTGAATACGGAGTGCCGCAGAAGGGGTTGTGGGGCGAGTTGGAGGATCTATGGCCGCTGCAGGCGGTGCGACTGTTGGGTGGCATGAAGTCGCCTGTGGTGGGGTCACGGGTGGAGTGGTCGAACGTGCTGGTTGGGTGGGTGGGGATGACGAGATTACCGTCATGCATGCTTTGGGTTCATTCCCATTTACCATTTTCTTCGACTCCGTATCATCACATCCGCATCGCTTCCTGCTACTCTCCACATCCCCAGAAATCTCCTCATCATCACACTTCGATCCCCTCTCTACCTCACACCAACACCCTTCTACAAACCAATCCTTCTCCGTATCCTCAGGTCCCAAAATACTCTCTACAAGACCTTCCTCCCATCCATCCCATTCAACACAGCGATGGGCGTATCGGAGCCGAGTCCCCCAAGATTCGAAGTGGAGCCACGAGGAGGCTGCTGTGAAGAGCGTGGGTGCATTGGAGGGAGAAGAAGAGTTGGGTATGTGTGGTGAATATGACGGTCGGCGCGCTTTGTACGTGAGAATTCGATACATTTGGTACAACGCCTGCGACCGTAGCCATCTCCGCGACAACCTCCCTAAACAACTTCGCGGTAAACGGGCTCGACTCGACAAATGCTGGTAGATGTGCGCATGCCCAGAGTGGTCGCGTCGTCGTGGATTCCCAATCTATAACACAGGTCTACGTGGTAGTCAGTACGCGTGCGTTGGTATGCGGAAGGCGTCATGGGGAACAAGTATCGTCGTGAAATCAAAACAATTGAAGAAACAAGAGACGAGGCGAACTCACAATCTTCGTGTGGTCCTTCTCGTCCACAAAAATATTCTCCAAACTCAAATCGTGACAGTCTAACCCGAACTCTTCTGTTCCTCCAGCCCTGTCTCCATCCTCATCGCCGCTTTTGCCAGGCGACGCACGGCCATCCTCATCTTCACCAAACAACGTTCGCCCACTTCCCCGGCACGCCCCCAGCCTCTCCATCAGACTCACCCATCTTCTCATCTCCCTCCTCACCTCACCCTCCCTTCTCTTAATATGCGCCACCAAAAAAGTCCCCCTTTGCATCCTCCTATAATCCCGATACATATTCGCACCCACACAATCTTCCTCCTCATCCTCACTTTCCTGCGCATCCCATTCATCGCTCTCGTCACTGTCCGCGTCCTCCGGGAATGCGAGGAGGTGGTGGTGCCGCGAGCTGTGGATCGTGTCCGGGTCGAGGTGCAGGCGGTGAGACGCGGAGCGCCCGTTGGACTCTGCGATGACGCCATTTATTTCGCGATTGGCACAGGATTTGAGGTAGGTAGGAGGTGCTCGGCCAGGGTCCGCGGTCAATTTCGGAGGGGTGGGAGATCAAACCACGGTTGGAACCAAAGAAGGGCCAGGAAATGATTGGACCAACATAGTAGGTGTACTGGATAGGATATAAGGACAAAAATGAAGAGGTCGACATGGAAGCCGTGGGAAACAAAGATGAATTTGCAGATTGTGCGGACGAAGCTGGTAGTATGATAAGTGGCCCTAGTTGATGTATCACGCGATAGGAGAGGCATGAATTGAAAGCCTTTGAGGACAGGGCGGGTCGGCGTGGGTGTCTGTACGGACCGCGTTACCGTAGAGGACGATGACGAACGCGACACAACGACAGTTGACGAAGCTGACGAGGATTGGGATGTCGAGGTATAGGGTGACGGACCGAAATAGAGTGATCCGATGTGGGAGAAACGCTGCGCGAAAAGTGGGAGAATGATAGACGCGAGGTTCGTAAATAGGGACTTGAGTTCTTCGTTTGACATGGCGCAGTATACCTGAGAAAGGGGGATTCCTGTTGCCTTTGTGCACGTATCAAACCCCGATTCGAAGAAGGCGGTGAGGGAGGGGGAAAGACTGACCTTGGACATGAGAATATACTCCGCACCTAGTCTGTTATTCGGATTGGAATCGTAATGATACACGTCTGGAACGGGTATGGACGTTTTGTCGCGAAGGTATTGCATTGTTGCGATTTCAGATTCAGTCTTGAAGCGAGGCATGAACCTGCGTGCGACACGTACAATGAGGAGACGGGTATCGACGAGCGTGATAAGGTATGCCTGCAGGGTCATCAGTAGGACGGTTGGCCCAACGAGTGTTGGTGTGTCAAAATGTGTACCTTGTGAAACGTCCCTAGGGCAGCTCGCCGTCAGATAGTATATAGAACACCACACGAAGTCGACGCACCTGAGCTAAGGAAAGTGATTCGGCCGACTTGAGCATGGGCATATTCCCGAACGATATCTCTGAGAACGCGTCTGTCAATGTGAAATGGTTGGATTGCTGCGTGTGCGGCAGCAGAGTCGGCATCCGCCTCTCTCTGACGATCTGCGAGTTCCTCGTCGTCACTCCAACGAACGGGGGTGTGGCTGGCCGGAGAGGGCGGAAGCGGGACGGTGCCTGGGAGAGGTTGCATTCCTCCTCGTGGATGGGACCGGTAAGGAGGGAAGCCAGGAGCCGACGATAGGAGATGTTTGGATGTATTGATAGGCGGGATGTGACAACACGACAGCGGGCATCGTCGTGCGTTGCCGTCGTTGACAACGTTGAACGTTGACGTCCACTGTCGTCACAAGGCACCCTGACTATATACCGCCTGGGGCTATGGGTCGCCACTCTGTCACCGATCAATGTGTGGTCCTGGATCTTGTCGTCCCAGAAACGGAATGGGCCGCAGATGGCCAGACAAACATCAGCAACCACTCGTTCAAATGTGTCGAGCTCCGTCCGAATCCGCAGACACGACACCGGCACAGGGTACAGGGAGTGCTCTTTCCGCGTCTTGGACGGAGCCCAGCCCGAACTGCGGCCTTGGCGCGGCAATTTGTGTGGAATACCGCAACGTTCCCGTCGGACGCGCACAGTTCTCAGTCAGAGGACACCTCCGGTTGTCTTATGGGTACCCTGGTGTCGACCCTGTCCAGCGCAACTTCCCAAAGCATCGTTCCACTAGCTGATGTCGACCAATCTTGTCTTCACGTGGAGTTTGCGATGGCTGTGTTTCACACTGCGCCAATACATTTTAGGTGCGTTCTTACTGATCGCCGACGAACGCGCTGAGCTTAGCGCTGTAGGAGGGGATTTTTGTCGGACGTAACTTTGGGCTTGTGAATGTCATTACGGCTGATTCTATCTGAATGTGCATGACTGTTACTATGCCCCATGATTATTCCATGATTCATCAAGATCTGTGGACTCAAGTACTCAATTCCCACCGCAGGCCTAAACGAAGATGACAGATGGGTAGGAAGATTACGAATCAATGTGTCTTTATCATGGCCACAGGTTCACATGTACAGGTGGATATATTTATCGTACCAGCTGACTTGAGAGTGCAGCCAGGACCTGGGTACCTCCCCATCCTGCCTCTCAAGGCGCGACTCGGACGTCGGTTTATTTCTAACCAAAAATGAAAGGTCGCAGAAAGAGGAAGAGATGATAACCCACTTTGAACGTCTTGCGAATGTATGCTGCAGCCCGTTTCATGGAAGTTAACTTCAGAGCCTGCATCTGTTGTAATGTCTCATCTAGCTCAGCCTTCAGGCTATCGTATTGTTTCCTTAGATCATCCGCCGTCTTCTGGTCTCCTGCTAGGTTTTTCTGCGCAGTAATCCTCGCGAGTATTTCCGCCCGCTTCTCCGCAATCTGATCCAAACGAGAATACAGCTCCCGTCCTGCATCGGTCTCGCGCAACTCCAAATGCTTATCTGCGATCTCCTTTTGCAAGCGAACCTCGCGTCGCTTTCTCTCAACCAGTTGCGAAAGTAACTGCTTTGACGATTCGAGGGTGTTCCGATAATCGTATGTTGTCGATCCCTGTGCAATCATGAGCTTCCAGTAGTTGTCCTTCAATTCTTCAAGCCTCTCATTGCCAACAGCCTCGTCCACTTCGTCCCACATTGTGGTGACTAGGACAACCTGAGACATCGCCTTCGTTCCACATAACTTCTGAAAAACTCGGAGGTTCTTCAACGGAGTCCCAGCCATGCGGTTATCGCTGATGCGATGAAAGTAAAGAATGCCTGAGAGTAAGGTACCCTTCTTGTACCTGAGCCACTGATGTATCAGAAAAGTGACGGCGGATGTGAGGACGACCTTACGATTTGCTGAGCCAGTCGGAGATCATCTGTAATATCTGTAGATCGGATTTCTTTGTGTCATCGAAACCAGGCGTATCCACCAGAACCACGTCGGATCCCCCAATCATACACCTAGTGGCCTTGATTTCACTTGTATGGGAAGTTAACGAGTGGCCCACTCCTTCGTTAATCCCGGTAGCCTTGGCCACGAACTAGACTGGGTTTAGCCGGGTCGTCTGGGAGAGTTCAAAACGATCTCACCGAACTTTTCCCGGCACCAGTAGGTCCCATTATCCTGAAAGCAAGAAGAAATCAAAAGACATAGGAAACACAGTGCATCTTACTCACGCAATTATAATGTCTCCCGTGGTTAACTCATCTAACTCGACCTCTCGAAGCTCATCGTTGGGCGTGTCGGGTGGCTCCTGGTCGGATGACTCAACCGTCGGCTGCAGATCAGTTGTTTGCTTTGTCGGCGAGTGACTACCACAGCTGGACTCCGTTTCCTTCAGTGATAATTCTTCGCTAGTCGTGCAGGCCGGATCGATTTGTGTTGTGTTATAGTTTTGGCATTCAGGGGTCGCAGCGTCGGGCTCACGAACAAGAGCATTATAGGGTACAGGCAGAAGTCAGAACCTGTGCTCCTGTACTGTCAGTAACCGAGATAACACTACGACATAATGAGGAAACAACCATCGACGACTGGGCGGTTTGACGAAGTACGGGATCTGGCTCATGCGGGCCAGGGATATTGGGTGACGGGGAACCTGTCATTTGAGCTCCAATATTTGTCGTACCATCCGAAGTGCCATTACGACGCAAAGACGAAGCAACCGTCCGTGGCGTCATCGTTTGGCTGGGCACAGTGTGAGATTCACGAGAGCGAGCATCCTTGCGATGTACAGAAGCTGGCACTTGCATCCCACCAGCCTCTGACGTGCCATTCTGATGCGTGGGCGTAACAAAATTTGATGGCTGGGTGGTTAGCCCAGGTACAGCGTTGGGTTCATGAAAGCCGGCGACGTCACGGGGGACAGGAGTAGATTCCTGTGTTGCAGTGTTTTGACGATACAGGGGCGATGGAACTGCTGGTGGTTTGGTGGCCAAACGGGGCCCACTGTCAGGCCCACAGGGGCGAGTATCGAGATTGCCAGAGGTCGAAGCTCCAGTTCTGTAAGCTTTTGGACAGTCAGTGCCAGAGAAACCCTTTGGTATAAACAGGTGGCGAACATTTGATGTCCGAGTTTGGCATGGTATTTCCTCGCGGAGGGGCGATTGAAGCAGATGGCGAATATCCAGTATTCGCGTTTGACACAGGATTACGTGCCAGAGGGTGAGGTGCAGACTGGTTTGCCATCGATTGTGCCTTGTCTATCGCTGATTTACCGCCTGACACATTCCCTGGCCTACGAACTGCTGACGGCAAAGTCCCACTTTCAGTGAGTTTGGTAGGTTTTTGCACATCGTTATGGGTAGGCAACAGAATTGTTGATGGCACTACATCGTTTGAAAGGTTTGCAGAAGATGGCTTCCGGCCAGGCGGGGCCCTGCGGCTTTCCTGCTGGCGGACGGAGAAGCCAAATAGCTAACCAACAAGGTCAAATGTGAGTCAAGGAGACATGGGCTAGAAGAACTCACAAGGCGTTGGAAGGTATCCATTGTTCTGTTGATGATGATCCTCGTCCAAGTACCTAGTAGCAAAATGCAGAATACTGGCTTACAGAGATGCAAGACCTGGCGCAATGAAGAGAACAAGGGTAACAAGGAAGATTCCGGGGGTGGTGGGCTGCTGCGTTGGTGCAATACACCTCATCATGAAATTGTCAAGCTAGGGGCTCCGGAAGAAACTTCAAACGCCATACATAACAACACGTTTCACCACAAGGTGGCCACGACGTTAAGGCGCAAAAAGTACGAAAAGCGCCAGAGGACTAATGTGGGACTAACATGCAGGTGCAACGTGTCGCCATGCAGAGAAACGAGGCAACCGTCATTGTATAGATTGCGCTCCGCAGAAATAAACCTCCGAGCCCTCCGGTTGGCAAGAATCGTTTGCAGACAGAGGTCGACAGAGACCTGTGACTGCATACGTACCAAGACTGGTACGCCAGAATGTAACGCAAACATATTGATTCAATTTCGTATTCTGCGACACGTTGCACACTTGGTGCTTGCGTGAGGCCGCGAGAAGCTCCTTCCAGAGAGGCTGATAGGGCATTTCTATGCCCTATCACCACCTACTTGTCACACAGGAGGGCTGCGGTACCTGAAACCTTGGTATCAGCCGATCACAATGGAATGACCCTACGAAGTCTCCCAAACACCTGACCACTAATACCCTGAACCCATGAACAGACGACCATGAACCCTATCGTAGGGGCGGACAGAAGGACTCTGCCCGCGATAATCAACGATCTCTGCGTCCGACTATCCACACACGGGCAGTGCCTATTGGCGTCATCTTACTCGTCCATGGGAATGACGCGGGGAACGGGACAACAAGTGTTACGATTGAGTTTCACGAGAGAAATACCGCACCAAATTAGCAGTCTCGCGTCAGCAGCCTTTCAGAACTCCGCCCGGAATTTCCACGTTCTTCTGAGGACAGCTGTCTAACCTGCAGATAAAATTCATACTATTGTTCACGATCAGCTTTCGGAGGATGACAATAATGCAGGGCGAATGCACCACTGCCCACAGGATTTGCCAGTGAGATAGGTAAACAGCTGAAGCCGTCATAGTACCGCCGATATCCACCTTTCCGCGTCTATCAGGGTACCAAGATCGGGATACCTACTCCACGCTGCAGGCCACGCTGAATGGGCCAGCCAGAACCCATATTCTGTATTTTCCAAATTTCGGCATATGATAGTTTTGGAAATTGGCACCCTGCTGCACTCATACTTGACCTTCTATCACAATCAGCACGAGGGCTACCCAAAATAGTCCTAAGGTTGCCCCCGTGTAGGCTAAGCCTTGGTGGTAGCCATACGGCTGTATGAACGGAGTCCCGCTATTCAGGCTCAGTGCAACCTCTCTCTCCCAACTTCTATATCTGCGACTCACGAATTGTCGTACACTAGATGGGTCTACTCGACAAGCTTCGCTGGTCTAGAAAGACAACTGACATCTCAGCTACGGATATGGTGGTGTTGTGAGTGTAACGATGTCATCCTGGACGAGGCGTTGACATTGAGAGTGAAATCAGTATCGTGGGTCCTTCTGGCTCAGGAAAGAGTCGGGTAATGCCAGCCCTCAGTAACTTGTTGCTATGCTTATTTTGCATGCGTCTGTTGCTGCTCCAGTTTATGGATATCCTCTTGCAGAACGCAAACGTTCATGCCGTTCGTGCAAATAAAGGCCAGAGACCTGGCACTACAGAAGTTTATGCGGAAAGGTGCCGTTTCGAAGGGATGCAGAGCGACATCGTCCTTGTGGACACGCCATCATTTCACACGTACGAGGACCCGGATGGCGAGGAAACCTTGAAGAAGTGGATGGATTCAAAGTAAGATATGCTATACTGTCCCAGAATGTGGATGACCTATCTGGCCAGGTGCACGAAATGCAAAAGAGCTGGAATGCTATACACACATAACATCGCATCGAACCCACACGACGGAAACTTGGTCATCTCGAGGCATCTCGAGGCCTTCAGACGTACGCTTCCTCGAAATCTCACCATTAACACCGTCCATGTTGTTCCAACGGTGGCTTTTGGAGCAAGATTACCTGCCGAGACGATTGATGCTTTAGTAACACGACTCCAAGGCCAGGCGGACGGTGTAGGCGCAAAAATGTCCAAGACGCCGTTTGACGGAAAACCCGAGACGGCATGGGACGTTGTGCAGGAGCTTCTGAGTAGATGTGGACTTTTGATAGGAAGGTGAAGTTCTTAGCCGGCGTAAAGTCGCCATCGCACGAGTATACATTGCCTTCTGAAACACAAGCTAGTATCGTAGGAATGTTTTCAGTGCTATACACAATACATATCCGCCTCGGTGATGGACAATACTACAAGCCATTGAGTTGATCATAATTTACAGTCTTGGGTTGTGGAGAAAATATGCGATAGTATGCTAGTGGAGGATTCACAAACACCAACCTGTGGTATGCGTGTAGCTAATCTGAAGCGTGGGATATGGCTTTCGTGACGGGTTGTACAGGTTCTCTGGGGACGCCGCAACTGCAACTATCCTAATAGATGACTGTAAGATAACAACCCCAAGACGCAAAGAAAGGGACAGAGTACGCACAATCTCTAAGCTCCGCTTCAATGCTCCTAAGCTATCATCCACGGCGCGGAGGCCCGTTCTCAAGCAGGGCGTCGACTGCAAAAGTTGTCAGTTACGGGAAAAACATGAGGAGGTCGCTTCACGCACGCGGAGGACATCACATACAAGCCGCATCGAATTCGCACAGGCTGAAATAATACGAGCATCTGTTGATTGAAGGACCTGCCGTGCTTCAGATTGCTTCTGTGCAACGTTCTGGACGATTCCTTGCACGTCACTCATTTGCCTAACAGGTAGAACATGGTTATCAACTATTTCCGTATGTGATCCATGATCTTCTCACTTTGCAAAATCTTTGATTGCTGTCTTTATCTCTGCTGGTAACCTGGTCTGTTTTGTATGTTCAGCAACTACGTTAATCAGGAGCGTAGCAGTTTCCAAGACTTGAAAAAGTACGTGGTGCGTTCCCGTCATGGTCTAGGGCAGAACAGTATGGAGTCGTTCTCGACGCGAAGTTAGCGACGAAGACTCACCTTAATTGACAGAGCAATGCTGAGAGATGGAGAAATCACGTCCTTGAGATGAGGTATACGAACAAGTTCTGCCACGCCAAGAGCAGCTTGCAGAACAGGAATTACCCGAACCAAACTACCCCGATAGCCCTCTGTGCTGCAAGTTCCGGAACTGCTAAGGCTTATGATCCCCGACCCAACAGACCGACTGTTGGAGGAGGTATCGGAGGAGGTAGTAAATGAACTTCTCGAAAGCAACGAAGGTGATCTTTGAAGACGCTTGCTATCTTGTGGAACCGGGCTACGAGACCTCTTTGTACCATTCTTGAGCCGCTTGAAAATTCCCTTGACACCCGACATGAGGTCAGTGAGAGTCGCCATGACGGCTCTTCCTGCCGCTGTCCTGTGAAGTGGCACATGGTTATCAACCATTTCTCGCTGGATTTGAAGTGGACGACGCTGAACGGGTGGTGCCACGGAAAGGCAACTAATAATTTTCCAAGCAGATTCCACTGTCCCGTCGAAGCGATGAATGGTTGATCCCAAGTTGATCATGGACCGCCAGAAGTCGGACTGCAGTTCGTTTTCGCGTGCTGAGCCAACCTCTTCAGTGACTTCATCCCACATCGTAGTAACGAGGACGACATTCTTGAAGTTCTCCTTTCCACATAATTCCCTGAACATATTGTAGTTCCTTAACGGTGTCCCTGATACCCTATTATCTGAAATTCGGTGCAAATACAACACGCCACTCAGTTTGATGTTCTTTTTGTAGCTGAAGCATTGTCAGAATCGAAACTGCTCAAAAATCAAGTTGACTGGCTTACGTCGCATTCAACCAATGCGCAATTTGCCTAAGAATCTGGGCATCCGTCATGAACGTATCGTCGAACCCAGGAGTATCAACTAAAACAATGTTGCGGATGCCATCGGAATGAGGATATCGGACCGGGCGCATTTCCTTTGTATACGACATCAAATCATGACCAGCGTTCGCAGCGGGTCTTCCGACCGCGCAATCGACGAACTGGGTTCATTCAATCTGAGTGAGCTTGTGGGTACGCGTGGAATACTCACAGTGCTCTTCCCGGCGCCAGTAGGACCCATGACACTGGCATCGAGCATTAGCGTTAATCATCGATATGGGAAGTAATGGCGACGCACGCGATAATGATATCATTCTCATCAATCGCGATTTCGCCGAGCGGAGACGTCGGGATTGCAGTTAGATCACTCGCACTATCACTAAACTGGCGTTCGAGGGCGGCAGTGCTGTTTACCCAGGCTTGGACATCCTGGTTACCCCTTGGTGGTGTATCGCGAACGTTCCATTCAGGTATATCACTCAAAGGACTTGAGATATAGTTGATATCCCCAAGAGCCGCAAACGGGGTAGATGAAGAGGAGGCGTCGTCGGTATTCCGTAATGGAGAGCGGGGTAGGGAAATAGTCTATGTCCGCTATTATCCAAGAGAGTGCATGCAAGATTTCTGGATTTACCTTGGGCTTGGACGGCGACATCAGGAAAACGGAGAACGCCGCAAAGGGGAGATTGCAACAAGGACTGGAGCATGGAATGCACGGTATTTGACGTCGCATTTAGGAGGCACGTCCACGAGGTATGACACGCATTGAAGGGCAGATACCACCATTGCTCCGCAAACATGAGGACGGACAACGTTCTCTTCGGACATTCGAATTCCCAGGATCGAGCGCCAAAGCGCTAATCTTCAGTGGAGAATAGTCATAGTCCTACAAATGAAAGGAGCTTCAAGTGATCGATCGAAATAACTCGCGATTGGAAGGGGTAGATTTGGGAGTATAAATGATGGTGATAAAACATGCGGACAGCTTGATGCAGGTGTACTGGCACGTGTCCGGACAGTATTATACATACCTGAACGCCTGAACGTTGAACCCTGCTCTGCCCTGCCCACAGTGAAACCCTCTGACGCACAGAATGTCCTCCAAACCTGTTATCATCGCGTACGTCCTCCCTGCGGATCCTGTTTGTTTTAACTACACTGTCCCAGATTGATGGGTCCTACGGGATCAGGGAAATCCAACGTAAGTAAAGGCATGGACTCTTCTGATTCGTTGGCTAAGGAACCCGTAGTTCATCAACCAACTCACGGGAAGAAAAGAGGACAATTCAGCACATGGGCTCAAATCGGATACGCAAGGCATTAGAGAATTTACAGTCAATCTTTCCAACAACCGACTATACGTGTTCGTGGACACCCCGGGGTTCGATGACACTTATCGATCAGACCGGGATATACTGCGTACGATTGCTGAGTGGCTAGAGAAGAAGTGAGCGACCGAGTTTGTCAGATTAACCACTCATCAACACGCAAACAGATACCGCAACGAGGTCAAACTGACCGGCATCATCTACACGCATCGCATAACAGATAATCGGATGTCGGGATCAGTATGCAAGAACCTTGACATGTTCAGCCGGTTGTGTGGAGACAAGGCTGCCGAGCGTGTGCGATTGGTGACCACTATGTGGGACAAGGCGAAAGATAAGAATCTCGCAAAGAGCAGAGTGTCGCAACTAGAGACAAATTTCTGGGAGCCGCTACTTGAAGCAGGGGCTCGCCATGAACAATTCGAGAACTCTTCAGATTCCGCGTGGAAAATTGTTCGAGGTTTGATGGGGGAAGGGGAGGCCGTTTTGCTTCAGGAGGAACTGGTGGATGTGGAAAGGAAGCTAAACGAGACGACTGCCGGGAAAGCCCTCTACTCGCAATTTCAGAAGCTCTTGCATGAACAAAAGGAAACAATCAAACAGCTGCAGGAGGAAGCCAAGGCGCAGAAAGATCCAGAGTTGGTGAAGCAGCTCGAGGCGGAGCAACGGCGCTTGGAAGCTGAACTGCAGAAGACGTGGGATGACATGGACAAACTGAAGATCCCCTTCTTCAGGCGCTTAGCACTGCTCTTTTCTAAAAAGCCACAATCTGTGAGTCTCTCGTTTGGTCGTTCCTTACCGACACAGGACTCATGCAGCTCAACAGCGTAAGATCGAACTAAGCCTGCCAGGTAACTAAGCTGCTCCCAAAGTTTTGACCTGTGCTGTGTGCGCCCCCCAATTGTTGATTCTTCACAACTAGTTTTCCTACTCTTCCTGTATACATTCGGTATGACAATTCCGACAGACTTACTTTTATGTAACGGGTGAGAGAGACTTGGTCGAGTCAGATGTCCCAATCCCCTGAACACACATCTCACGCCATTCTGTCCGATACCCGTGATCCGAGACTTGCGACGATATCCGATAAAATCATGCCTTATCAGCCTGTTGACTCCGTTCACATCGGTTGGCAGATTCCATCGAGAGGAACCGTGCCAATCGCATTCAATAAATTAGCAGCAATGCCACCAGGGTCAACCCAACCGGTAGTACTCGTACCAGCTCGTATCGCATTTCACGATAAGTATTGGTTGTTCTCAGAAAGACTCGTATTGTCCCCGATGTCACCGGGAGATGAAAACGGGACCTGCGAAGAGGATGTACCTTCCATCCACTTTTTAATGGAGTGTTCCGTCATTAGCCAGCCTGTGACGGCGTGGAGGACAGCCGCACCCAACTCCAACAGGGACATCAAGAACATGCCCAAGGGGAGGTTACAACGAGGACAACAGCATGGAATGCGTTTGGCTTCGTGTTCAAGATGCACGACATGAGGAATTTACTTGCGTCACATCATTGGAAAGCAGGTCATCGATTCATCACCTTTTCCCGAGAAATGCGGACGGTACCTATCATTTCGAATTCAGCAGCACAAGGATTCGCTTGGATAAAAGTCATATTATGGCAACAAGTAGCCTGATCGATTGGAATGCTAGCAGAGTGATATGACTGGGGGGCGCAGATTAGAATGAACTCAAATCACGGAGAACATGCAGAGAACACGGTGAGCCAGTGGGCATACACGTGCTCTGGGTCGGTTTTCAGCCAACACCACTTGTGTGGGGTACGTTCCTCACGCCCCGCACTACTGACTTCGAAATTTCCCTCCAGACGCACAGAATGTCTTTCCAACCCGCAATCATTGCGTACGTTCTGTCTGCTCTCATTATTCGTCGGTAACGAGTACACCGCGTCCCAGAGTGATGGGTCCTACAGGATCAGGGAAAACCAACGTCAGTGGGTAAATTGTCGCTCCCCGGCCATTGGCTTGGCTGACAAGTTGCACATAGTTCATCAACAAACTCACGGGAGGCCAGGAGGACAAAGCAGCGCACCGGCTAAAATCACATACGCAGGGCATTAGGGAGTTCACAGTCAACTTGCCCAGTAACCGACAATGTGTGCTCGTGGACACCCCAGGATTTGATGACACTTATCGATCAGACCGAGATATACTCCGTACAATCGCTGAGTGGCTAGAGAAGAAGTGAGCGACTGAGTTTGTCAGATTCATCACTGACCAACACGAGAACAGATACCGCAAAGAGGTCAAACTCACAGGTATTATCTACACGCATCGCATAACGGACAACCGGATGTCGGGGTCAGTGGCCAAGAATCTTGACCTGTTCGCCCGTTTGTGTGGAGATAAAGCCGCTGGTAGGGTGCGATTAGTGACCACTATGTGGGACAGTGCGAAAAACATGGACACCGCCGACGCTAGGGTATCACAACTGGAGGAGAACTTCTGGAAGCCACTAATTGATGCCGGGGCTCACCATAAACGATTCAGGAACTCTCTGGAGTCTGCGTGGGATATCATCAGCGATTTGATGGGAGAAGGAGAGGCTGTTTTACTACAGGAAGAACTTGTAGATGCGGAAAGGAAGCTGAACGAGACAGCCGCTGGCAGAGCTTTGTACACGCAATTCCAGAGGCTTCTCCATGAACAAAAGGAAACTATCAAGCACCTCTCGGAAGAAGCCAAAGCCCAGCAAGACCCGGTGTTGGTTAGGGAGCTCGAGACACAATACCAGCGCTTGGAAGCTGAACTTCAAAGGACATGGGAAGAGATGGAGAAACTGAAAATCCCATTCTTGAGACGCATAGCCTTGTTGTTTTCTAAAAGAACCCGTTCTGTGAGTATTTCACTCGGTTGCCCTGACGTTCATAGAACTCATCGAGGGCCACAGCGCAAAGTTGAACTGTCCCTGCCATAGTGCGGGGCTTGAATGCCTTTTGTCTTACTCTGTTACCAATGCACTTAGTCTCAAGGACTACCGTAACGCAGGGCCTTATGGTCACCTATGTTTCTCCTTGATGATTACGTTCTAAACCTTTTCTCTCAGGAATAATGTAATTTATGAAATCTCTACTAATGAAGAAAAATCAGTGTGATGTTCGGGATATCGGTTTTCGCGTAATTTTTGGTCCTGGAGCAGTCTCGGACCCATCATGAAGTGCAGACAGAGAGTCGATGGATGATGGAATTCCCAAGCACAGCGTCCAAGCTCGGATAGGTCAGAATGAGATGGATTTATACACGTTGACGTGGGGAGCATATCCTCACGTCCAAGACATATATTCATACTCTTTTTCGGAACGGGATCTGACACTTTCTGGTTGAAGAAATACGTGAGATAGTAAAGTCATATAATGTATCTCTCTTCTCCGGGCGAACCGTCGAGCCAAAGGTAGGCCTGACTCAAACAATCTCCAGTGTCTGGAGTTCACTGTTGATAATACTAACCAAATCCCGGACTTGAGCGGTGATTAGGCAATCGCACGAGATTCTCTCGTACTCGTTATGAAGCAATGCCTTCAGAAGAAGTGCATGGAATGGCTGCTTGAGCTGTTCTAGCAACCTCCCTATAGCATCCTTGTGTGCTAACGGACCCAGCCAATTCGGATGCCAAGGACGAATGAGAACGTATGGAAAATCCGTACCCTCACCCTCCCGAAGACTGACTGACGATTTGAGTTGGAGAGGCATCAGGCCGGACGCATGGATTTCGTAAACGTGGTGCGAAGATTCGAATGTTATCAGTTTGACTCTTGTGACCGAATGAACAATAGAGGGTAAGAAAAGTCTGCGTCCGATGAATCGCGGACGCGGTAACTTGGCAAGGGCACTGTGCAAATTACATGCACTTTGGGGATCTACGCTATCGCACATGGCGAGGTTGCTCGGAACCGACTGCTTGCAGGGCACCGTCCGGTATGGCGTGAGGTTTGCAGGGAGACAACTGTGGAACGACGATGCTTCTCCGACCCAGTCCAAAACCGAAATGTCTCCGGAGTGCGAAATGATCTCCGCCAAGAGACGTCCAAGGGCACATTCTGCAGATTCCCCATAGAGGACTGGTAAGTGGACCCTGAAAATTCCGAAAAGCGAGTAGGCAACGTCTTCTGGCCGAGTGGTACGACGTGCCGATGCCCATTGGAGCCTCGATCGTGCATCCTCCATACCTGGTCGGAAGTCCTTAAGATGCCGTTCTTCTATTCCTGCTGCCTTCTGGAGCTCTTTGAGCACTAGCTCATCCATTTTGTGATTCGACGATCCGCAATCCATGTACAGCGACCAGTCCTGCAAATAAAACAAGACGTTCGGAGAAGCCAATAATTCCTGAAGAGTCCAACCGCGTCGGAACCAGACACTACTGGGAAATGACGCTGCATTGCATACGTCTGAGAGATGGACGATTGTCAAGGCCGACTGACGATACCAAGAGAACATAGATCCAATTGTCTCTTGCAATTCAGCACTACTATCTTTATCAATGCAGCAAGTGTCGCTCCACGCCCACAGGAAACTGCGCCTGAGCACGAGAATGCAAAATTTTTGGAGTTTTGCGACACCGTCTGTATGAGGCAAGTCATAGATACTTGCACCTTTGATGTCGCATAGCAACGGTTCTCCACTTTTCCAAACATAGGACAACGTAGCGTACTGGAAAAATTCTGCGACCGTTTTCCAGACGAGTTCTTCAAGATCCTGTCCAAAGTCCGTGCCAGGTGGCAATGAGAGTAGTTTTTTGTATTGGGAACTGCACTCAAAACGTGATATCTGCGCGTCTCGTGCACATAGGACTCCAGTTTGTGTGTGCAGCAACCGTAGTGGAATGGTTTTCACAGTTTCGTTGACAATGTTCCTGATTAGTTGCTTGACATCAGAGGAACATGTGCTCGAAGCCATTGTCCCTGAGGTATGAACCAGCGTGTCATTTTTTTCGATTTTCAGCTCGATACACGTCGCAAGAAACTCTTGAATTGGCGCGGATTGTTCTGGGGGAGAGATTGCCAGCGCATTATTTGTGAGTGTAATAGCTTCATCCAGTTCCGCCATCACACCCAGTTTCTGATACTTTTCGAGAAGACACTCCGCAAGGGCGACTAGAGACGTGCATTGAAAAGAGGGCTCTGGGGGAACACATTCCCACGCAGCTCGTCGGAGAGAAATGATTTTTTCTAAATCGCCTAGGGTGCCCTCCGGTTTGAATCGTTGGTCTAAACAATCCGCGAGGTTGACAAGAGATTGAAAGCTACCTCCAAATCCTGGAGGTGCGAATTGAAACGGAACACGTCGACGACTGATAATCTTGGTCGAATTCATCACGGCATCCTGCATTCCGAATTGCTGGTACAGGAGCTTCAGGAGGTTGATGAGAGGCACGATCCATTTCGGGTATCCTGAGGGATTGAGTGTTTGTGCTCCACGACGGAAAGCGTGGTTTCCAGCCAAATATTCCACGTCACCCTCACGCCAAAAGCGACGGCACAGGCATTTCGCCCGGTTGATGAAAGACGACAGCAGTCCTCGACGTGAGGGGAAAATGCGTCCTGGCGCGTTGTGCCTGCAGTGGATGGTGGCCTCCGAATCTTCTACCGCATCAAATTGCCCGTCTAGAACGTTCGAGAGGTTGGCAAGATACACAGGGCGCTCTTGCTGCTCTGGGGAAGTGGGGCGTCCGCAGGTAATCGTGTTGTCTAAATCCGCTTGATTTCTGTTTCCCTTGAACCGTTCAGGCAGATCAGTGGGGTTGACGACAGGTGAATGATGGCCGGAGTGTTCCAAGGGAGTGTTCCTCAACCTAATTGTAACGTGCTTCTCCAGCGTCCCTTTCTTCACCTCCGGAATTGCCTTGTTTTCTTTCTCGAGAGCAGCAAGATGCTCTTTCTCCGGAGCTGCTTTCTCCTTCTCCTGGGACTAGTGACCCTTTCGTTCCAAGATGTTCAAAAGGCCCTGTACAATGTCCCACGCCTGCCCGAGTCTTCCGTCAAACACGGACCCAAACATTGATGCACCTGCGTCTTCTGCTTGACGCTGAAGTTGTGCCAGCGACGTACTGATCTCCTCAGCTGACAGGTTTGTTCCAGAAGATATAGTCGGCACAACATGAACGGTGCTAGTGGGCCCGAAAGCGCGGAGATGTCTGGAGACATCCGAGCTTACATCGTGTTGGCTTGATGTGATCTTATGAATGTACAGGATTCCAGCCGCTTCCGGCTTCGTACAACTGTCCAGACAGGTTATTCACTGCGCAGGAGCGGAGCAGTATGTCTTACTTCGAACCCGTCCACTGTGACATGCTTTCCTCCGCATCTGCGCTTTCGTATGTGTAGAAGGATGACGGGTCCACAAGAACTATGTTGTTCTGCTTTCCTTCGAGACGACACCTTAACACGTCGACCATCGGGGTGCAGGGTCTCCGGCCGCCATTCATCCGAAAATGCACCTTCACATTTTGCAAAAGGGCGTTCAGAAACTGGTGTTAAGAATGCCAGACAAACCTAGAGTCAGTGACAGCATTACACAAGCCAGGGAGTGATGTTACCTCACTCTTTCCCGAGTTAGTCGGATCCACAATGCTGATTGCACTCTCAGTGCTACTGCATCATCGAGGATGGCATCCGTGCACTCACAACACTATGACATCCATGGACAATAGAATGGTCGTCTCTCCAGACTTGGAAAACTTATTGAATAGACCCATCTGGTGACTGGGACTTGCAGTCAGTTGGATGAGAGTTAGGAGGGAACTGAGACTGGCCTCACCTTGAGTGGTTGCTGGTTCAGCATCATGTACCATGGTCAGCTCTTATTAGAGGAAAGACTTGCGCGTTGCTGTGTGGAGGGAAAGAACGTCTTTCTGCATTGCGGGAGGGTTGGTACTCATATCAACCCGTACTTTGACGGATACAAACGTTCCAGGTGGCATCAACCAACACGCCCAAACGTCAAATTAATGGATGGTGGGCTGGGACTTCCGTACAGAGGTCCGACAAGGATCCGATAGCTATTAGAAATGAAAGCCGGTGGACACCTCTTGTTGCTGACCGCATTGAAATGCAATCTAACTTGACACGCTTGTTGCCATGCGAGAATGTGAAGGAGTCCGGGAGAAGGGATACATTTGCTGTGGCACCCAACCCAATCCAATTGCCAGCATCCGCACTCCAGCTGGCACGGCCCCCGGAGATTCACTCGCTTGCGTCGAATAGCTCTGGCTTCTCCCACCCCAAACTCGACGACGTTCGCAACGCTGTGCGTCTGGACAAGAGAACGAACCAGCCGCAACTTGTCGGTTTGCAATAGGACAAGATGGCATAGTTGACTCGGCGCTTGGCACAGTGTATGCACAGATCCACTAGCCTCCCAAGCGAGATTGCCTCCCTTCCAGTAAGCTTCCAATATCATATGGGTTGGATGAAGAGTCTATAAATTAACGTTACCATATCCACACCTTAACCACATACGTGAGTCCCCGGCATTCAACTTTGAGTGCATCGGTAAACACGGAGCCAGCGAAGAGAGCTGTGGAGTCTGCAGGCGGGATCGTCGGGGATAGTGATGGAGCTCTTGATGGCTTCCCCTTCCGCTCCTCTTTCTTCCCTGGCTCTGGAAACCCCTTCATCTCTGGGGGCCCTACCCACCGCATATTTCCCACCTCACGCCGACGCCCCTTTTCTTTATCTATAGTCCAAATGAAATTCCAACCCCTCCCGAGACACTCGGAACAGAGGCAGTGACTTCCTCTGCAATGATTATATCGCGATGCCGTTTTCTAGGTGCTGCTCCGGCGGTTTACCGTTGTCGTCCAGAACGGGGTGGTGTCAACAACGGGGAAAGTTGCGTCTATTCTAATCGGTCGAAGTGTTTCGTTGCGGGATTCTAATGCATTTTCCGTCGGCAGTAGACAATCCCAAACACAATTTGCAGCAGTACATGACATCACATAGAAGCTGGTGTCCATGTGTTTTGCGAAAGAATGCTTGCAGATCCCTCCATGTGCTCTGAACCCGACCCAGTCTAAAATGGAGACGTCTCCTGACTGTAAAATGATTTCTGCCAAGAGAGGTCCAAGTACTTTGTCCGCAGTCTCCCCGTGCAGAACTGGCAAGTGAAGATCGGAAATTCCAAATAACGAGTAGGCAACATCTTCCGGCCAGGTGGTATGATGAGCCGACACCCATTAGAGCCTCGACCATGCATCATCCGTCCCAGGACGGAAGTCCTGAAGGCGTCATTCTCCTATCTCTGTTTCCCTTTCGGGCTCTTTGGCACGGTATCATCTGTTCTGTGACCCGAAGATTCACGGCTCATGTACGGCGACCAGCCCTGTGTAAAGAACAAGACCCCGCAGGGAGCCAACAATTCCTGCAGGTTCCAACCCCGTTCGGGCCAGATACTAAATACTATCAGCGAGTGATGCTGAGTTGGAAACGTCGGAAAGATGGATGATTGTAACTGCCGACCGACGATAACATGCAAACATACATCCAATAGCTTCTTGTAGTTCCGCATCAACGTCGCGCAGTAGTGGCTCGTCGTCTCCCCATTTATAAGATAAGGAGGCAAATTGGAAGAGGGCAGTGACCACTTCGTGTACGTTGCTAACCATCGCTTGTGGAGGCCGTAGAAAGCAGCCGGACGTACTCACAGCTATCCCTGAGAGAAGATAACTGGGCAACGCGATTACACGGCACACCGGTGTGTTCAGCAATTGCAAAGGTATTATGATTAGAATCTGTGGTAGAAATATTTTTCATACAAAAGCTCCCAACCTTATAAGAAACATGCCTCCAACTAACGATTGGGGAATAATATCCATCGGAATCCTTCGTACAACGATCGAAAGGTAGTCTCCACTTCCCTATCGCCTTCCAAGACCTCACCCCTCGCTCTCTCTACCACTGCGTCAGCACCGGCGACCTAGTCAGGTGGAGACCGACTGACTGTCAGCCTCGACGGCAGTTCGCCTATCTCGCTTCTCCTTTAGAGCACGTTCCATCTCCTCAAACGCAGACAGAATAACATCCTTTTGCTTCATTGTTATCGATGATTGGGTTGTAGTCGCACGGATGTTCGGGGGCCATTTGCTCTCAGGGATCGATAGTGCAGCGAGAGAAGCCTTTAGCGTCGCGACGGACTCTTTGTACGCATCAAGGGAATCCTTGTACAAGTCGTACACGCATACGGCACATCCCGACATGCAACACTCTATGCAGCTCAGCTATTAGCACTTTGAATCACGGACGTCCGCATCTTCACGCACCGTCATCTGCAGGAGGCTTCGGTTCTTCCGGTATAAACGAACCCTGCAATGGTATTTGCTGATGCACCGCTTCCAGATGATCTGTGCAAAGTGTGTAACTCAGAAGTGCTAGCAGAATCCCTGGAGATATCGTATGTCGCCTCTTGCGAGTACGTTTTTACCCCGAATACTGTTTTCGAGTCTGCGGTATCGCTCCGTGAGATTTTGACCGCCCCTCTGAGGTCGCCTTAAGCGCCCTCGGGTAACTTGAGGAATCGGAAGGGGGCCACATCGCTTGAAGTAAATCTGGCACTGGAAGGAAATCGGCAGCGAAAGAGACATAGGTCTCGTGGAAGCTAGTTTGAGGGATATAGCCATATTGTTTGGTGAGCATGTAAGAGTCGCGATTTGGTGAGATTAGTCAGCGTGAGTCAAGAGGAACTGTGCTGTTTTCCGATTCTGCTTCTTCGCCGTTTGCAAGTTTGTGTATCCTTTCATGATGAACGGTTCAACCAATGCACAGCCTGTCCTCCTTTTGATCCCCCGAAAGCCTTGCGCTGTTACGGTTGCACATTGCGCAACCAAACCCACATGAGGGTGGGATGACGTAATAACTCACGATATTCCGCCACAACTGCCAAACACCACTAAACATCCACACAAACTGCGAAGGTCAAACCTTGCACACTGTAGTCGACAGCGTCCACGCCTCCCGGGTCAAGCTTTTTTTTCCAAAGTGAGTGTGCCCACCCAATTCACCTTGTGCTCCAGCGATGCTCCAGGGCGATTTTGATTGCATCGGGGCGGACCTGTGCGTTGGATGATGGCGGTTGACTTCGGATGAGGGTGACCTGACGGTGATAATATGCGTGCTGACGACGCTTACGGTCGTGTTGTGTAGATGGGACTCCAAGAATACCAGGTCGTCGGGCGTCATTTGCCCACCGAGTCAGATCCCACTCCAAAAATCTACCGCATGCGCATCTTCGCTCCCAACGAAGTCGTTGCCAAATCCCGATTCTGGTACTTCCTGAGGTACGACTCATCCACGGCTCCGGCATCTGTCTTATCGACTTGGAATTGATACGCTTTTTGTGATCCGTTAGGCAGCTAAAGAAAGTCAAGAAGGCGAGCGGTGAAATCATCGGCGTCAACGTCGTGTGTATTCGAGCTGAATCATCTCCAAATCGCTCTGACCGCTCTTTGTTCTCCTCTCTTGGTCATTATAGATATATGAGAAAAAGCCGTTGAAGGTCAAGAACTTTGGTATTTGGCTCCGCTACGACTCCCGCTCGGGCACACACAACATGTACAAGGAGTTCCGCGAACTCAGCCGTGCCGATGCCGTTAAATCGCTTTACCAAGACATGGCAGCAAGACACCGTGCCCGATTCCGGTCCATCCATGTACGTCTTCCCCTCTTGGACACACCCACTCATCCACTAACGGGGCACGGACACTCACGCGGATCTCGCATACATAGATCCTTCGCGTCGTCGAGCTCAAGAAGGCAGACGATGTCCGTCGTCCATACATCAAACAGTTCCTCGAGCCGAAGCTTAGATTCCCCCTTCCCCACCGCGTCGCCAAGTCTGCCTCTACATTCGTCTCCCGCCGCCCTTCGACGTTCTAAGTTGTGTAACAGCGGAGATGTTTTCCTGACGTCGCGAAGCAGTGATGTTCCCTACAGGCCGTGTATTCATTTCTTTACATCTTCAGACATGATGGCTATGCAATATGCAATGCATGCGTCCAGATTTTCAAGTGTGATTCCATGCGACGGAGAATATGGCATACTGTACGTCAGAGCTAATGCACAACCAGGCACCGCATGAAGAAGACCGGAAGTGTAACACGAACCCGTTAGGTCCACTTGGCTCTGGATGTCGTCGCACGAAGTTATTTCCGTTTACCCATTCCTGTAGTACATGCCGACCGACCGACCAGATTCGCGCCAAGCGAGGATGGAAAAGAGGCGCGACGAACAAACTTTGCTCGGCTCCAGACAGGTTTTACCTCCGACAAGATCTACAGCTTGGGGGACCCCTTGAACTGCAACCACCATCGTAGTCGGATTTTCCCGTACTGCAACAGGGAGGCAATGTGGTGCACATGGCATAAAAATGCTCACAGAACACCACTGCCCCCCTTAGAACGATGATTGCTAGCCATTGGACTTGTCGAAAGACATGAGCACTGTTTGCAGCAATAGCAAACACCGACTCAAACATCGATGCACCTGCATCTTCTGCCTGACGCTGAAGTTGTGCCAGCGAGGTATTAATCTCCTCAGCTGACAGGTTCGCTCCAGAAGATATAGTCGGCACGACATGAACGGTGCTAGGGTGCCCGAAGGCGTGGAGATGTCTCGAGACCTCCGAGCTTGCATCGTGTTGGTTCGATGTGATGTGATGCATGTACAGGATTCTAGCCGCTTCATAGGGCTTCGTATAGCTGCCCAAAATCCAGATAGGTTATTCACCATGCAGGAGCGGAAGCAGTACAGTATATCTCTTACGTCAAACCCATCCACTGTTTCATGGTTTCCTCTGCATCTGGGCGTTCGTAGATGCTAAAAGGATGGCGTGTCCACAAGAACTATGTCGTTCTGCATTCCTTCGAGACGGAACCTCACCACGTTAACCATCGTGGTGCGGGGTCTCCGGCCGTCGTTCGCCCGGAAATGAACCTTCCCACATTTGCAAAAGAGCATCCAGAAACTAGTGTTAAGAGTGCCAGACAAATGTAGAGTAAGTGACAGCATTACACAAGACAGGGACTTATGTTACTCGACTCTTTCCCGAGTTAGCCGGACCTATAATGCTGATTACACTCAGTGTTACTGTGCCATCGAGGATGGCATCCGTACACTCACAACACTATGACGTCCGTGGGTAATAAAGTGGCCGTCTCTTCAGACTTGCGAAACCTGTTGAATAGACCCATCTGACGACTGGGCGTTAGAAGGAAAGTAAGATTGGCCTGGACTTCAGTGGTGTAGTCTCACCTGCACCCTGGTATCCAAATTCAGTGGTTTCCGGTTCAGCCTCATGTACCCTGTTGAGCTCTTATTTAGAGGGAAGACCGGCGTTGCTGTGCGAAGGGAAATAGCACCTTCCTGCGTTGCAGGAGGGTTGGCAACTCAGTATCTTGATGATACGAAGGAGTTCTATAAGGTGGCGTCAACCAACGCCTCCAAACAGTCAATGAATCGTGTAATATCAATGGGTGGCAGGCTGGGCTCCGTGCAGGATAGCTTTTGGATATGGCGCTTGTTGGTCCTCGCCCGTCAAAAATGCAATCCAACAAGTCAGTTATACTACTGGGTATGTACTTACCGTTGACACGAGCGCTTGATGACCTGCGAGATTGTGAATGTCAATGAATGGAGAAGGGATACCTTCAGGGTAAGTTGCCTCCCACTGGTTTGCTGTGGTTCCCAACCCCATCCGATGCATCGGCACTAGTGTCCATGGGCACCTCCCAGCTCGGGATCATCGGAGATTTTTTGTGGGTATGGACTCGTTTGTGTCGAATAATTCTGGCTTCTCCAACCCCAAACTTGACAGTGTTCACGACCTGTACGCCCGCACAAGAAAACGGGCCGCAATTTGTTGGCTTGCAATGAGACAAGATGACATTAATTGTTGACTTGGTCAGGCATGTGTACGACACACGCATACACAGATCCTACCGATCGGGCTCCTAGCGCCTCCAGCGAAATTACATCCGTTCTCTACGCAGATGTCGTCATGCTATTTGTTATAACTCCAGCCCTTCCACCAACCATGTTGGGACGGTCCTTAAAGGTCTCCTATATCCCACAGTGAGTCCTCTTGGTCAAGTCGGCTCGTTACAGTTTCCCAGCGGGCCCATAGGTCCTGCCTTCCAATGGTGTATGCGGCATGTATCGCAAGGGTCTATATACTAGTTAACGTCGCCACTGCTCATCCACACCTTAACCATATACGCGAGTCCCCTAACCGCCTTGATATTCAAGTTTAAGTCGTCAGTAAACATGGAGGGGGCGAAGAAAGCTGTAGGGTGTATATGCCATAGTGGAGTTCTCCATGGCTGCTTCTCTCTTTTCCAACTCTAGAAACCTCCTCATCACTGAGGGCCCACCCACCGCATGATCCCACCTCACGCCAATGCCCTTCAACAATTAGCTCCCTTTCCTTATCCGCAGCTCGAAATGAAATTCCAACCTCTCCCGGGACACTCGAAACGGAGACTGCGACCATGATTATATCGCGACGTCGTTCTCTATGCGCGTCTCTGGCGATTTACTTCAACCGTTGCCATCCAGAACGGGGTGGTGTCAACGAGGAAGGTTACGTCCATCCTAAATGTTTCGTTATGGGATTCCAGTGCATTTTTCGTCGGTAGCGGATAGCCAACACGATTTGCAGCAACGCATGACATCACATAAAAGTTGGCGTCCACGGAATTTGCGAAAGAATACTTCGCACATGTCTCTGTGTGCTCTGTACGGATACCTCGCTGACATCAAGGAAGCCCCTCTGCGTTTCAGGCTATTTCGTTTGCCGAGGACGAAGACATGTGCCGAAACCCGTGTCAAGACCAATGTCAGTATGACTTCGCGAGGCCTCATCCAATGCGTGAATCTCATAAACGTAACGAGAGGGATTACTTGGATATCCAAACATTTTGACCACCATGATTCTGTAGACGATACCAGGCAACACAAGCTACGACTGAGAAGCCGCGGGTTGGGGGAACAAGTTGACAGGGCACTGTACACTTCCTGCGCGCTCTGGAGATCAATGCCATCCAGTGGCACGGTCTGGTACCCCGTGAGGTCGCCAGAGAAGCACCTGTGGAACAACGATGCATTTCCAACCTGAGACATCTTCCCACTGAAATGATCCTGTTGCCAAGAGAAGTCCAAGACCATATCTGCAAACACCGTGTAGAGGCATATGTAGTTTATACGATATCTAACATCTGGAGTTCACTATCAACGATGCTAGTCAGATCCCGGACGCAAGCAACAATCATACAATCAGCGGCGATCCTCTTGTACTGTTTACCACGCAATTTCATTAGTAAAAATGCATTGAATGGCTGCCCAAGTTGCTCTAGCAACTTCCAGGGTGCATCGATGTCGTCTCCCGCTAGCAGATCAAGCAATTTGGGATGCCAAGGACGAACAAGAATATATGATAATCTGGCACCAGTACCCTCCCGGAGGCTGACCGACAGCCTGAGCTCCAGAGGGATCAGACCCGATGCATGGATCTCGTACACATAGGGCGGGGTTTTTGATGCTCCTGTTAATTTGACCTACATTTATCTGATGAATGATGGAAGGCAACAGGAGAACGTGATTGATGAATCGAGGGAATGGTAATTCGGCAAGGGCAGTACACAGTTTCCGTGCATTCTCCAGATTCACTCCCTCGCGAGTAGGAGGGCCGCTCTGAGAAGAATGCACGCGGGGCATTGTCCGGTACGGCGAGAGGCTGGCGGGGAGGCAGCTGTGGAATGACGACGCCTGTCCGACCCAGTCTAAAATCGAAACGTCTCCCGACTGCGAAGTGATTTCTGTCAAGAGGCGCCCAAGAGCTTTGTCCGCAGACTCCCCATACAGCACTGGCAAGTGAAGATCGAAGATTCCAAAAAGCGAGTAGGCGACATCTTCTGGCCGGGTGGTACGACGAGTCGACGCCCATTGGAGCCTCGACCGTGCATCGTCAGTCCCTGGGCGGAAGTTCTGAAGATGCCATTCTCGTATCCCTGTTGCCTTTTCGAGCTCTTTGAGCACGGTAACGTCTGTTTTATGATCCGAAGATTCACGGTTCGTGTACGGCGACCAGTCCCGTGTAAAGAAAATGACCCTGCGGGGAGCCAACAGTTCCTGGAGGGTCCAACCCCGTTCGAACCAAATACTTTCAGTGAGTGACGCTGAGTTGGAAACGTCGGAAAGATGGATGATTGTAACGGCCGACCGACGATACCATGCAAACATACATCCAATAGCCTCTTGCAATTCCGCACTGCTTTCTTTATCAATGCAGCACGTATCGCTCCATGCCCACGCACAATCATGTTTGAGAGCAAGAAGACAAAATTTTTGGAGTTTTGCAAGGCCAGTTTTGCCAACCAAGTCATAGACACTTGCACCTTCAACGTCGCGTAGTAGAGGCTCGTCGTCCCCCCACTTGTGAGATAAGGAGGCAAATTGAAAGAAGGCAGTCACCACTTCGCGGATCCACGCCTCCAGTTGCTGGCGATCACGTGTGGAGGCCGCAGAAAGCAACTGGATATACTCGCGGCTGTCCCCGAAATGAGATAACTGGGCAACGCGATTACACAACACTCCGGTGCGCGTGTTCAACAGTCGCAAAGGAATAGTCTTCGTGACATCGTTGACAACACTCCAGATCATTTGTTTGATATTGGACGAGTGGGTGCTTGAGTTAATGGCTCCCGTTACATGAACTGGCGAAATCCAATTGTGGATTTTCAGATCGATACAGCTCGCAAGACAATCACGGGATTTCTGGTAATGTTCTGGAGGACAAGTCGCCAACGCAGCACGAGCGTGTACGATGGCTTCATCCAACTCGGCTTGCGCACCCATTTTCTGGTAGTTTTCACGAAGACAGGCTGCAAGGTTGATTAGAAACATGCATTGATCAGAAGGTGCGGAGGGAGTGCATTCCAATGCACTTCGTCGGAGAGAGATAATCTCCTCTAAGTCGGTCAGGGTGTCATCTCGGAGTCCTTTGATCTGCTGATCCAAGGAACTTGCAAGGTTGACGAGAGACGCAAAGCGCTCGGGATGCCCCGGGGGAGTGAGTTCCAATGCAGCACGTCGGAGGGTAATAATATCCATCAAAAACTCCACATCACCCTCCCTTGTGAATTGCTGGTCCAGACAATCTGCGAGGTTGACAAGAGACTCGAGGCGTTCCGGATGCCCTGGGGGCGCGAGTTTCAACGCAGCACGTTGGTGGGTGATGGCTTCCATCAAATCTTCCATGGAGCCGTCTCTCCTAAATCGCTGATCCAGACATTTTGAAAGATTGGAGAGAGACCGGATGCGATCTGGATGACCTGGGGGAGTGAGTTCCAGCGCAGCACGTCGGAGGGTGATGATTTCCGTCAAGTGTTCCGCGCCACCCTCCCTCTTGAATAGCTGGTCTAGACAATTCCCAAGGTTGATCAGACACGCGAGGTGTTCTGGGTGCCCTGGGAGTGTGAGCCCCAACGCATCACGCCGGTGGGTGATAATCTCGGTCAAATCTTCCATGGAATCATTCCTCTGGAATCGCTCCTCCAAGCAATCTGCCAGGTTGACAAGGGATGCAAGGTGTTCAGGATGACCAGGGTGAGTGAGCTCCAAGACAGCACGTCGAAGGGTGACGGTTTCCGTCAAGTCTTCCATACCACCCTTCTTCCTGAATCTCCCGTCCAGGAGTTTGGCGAAGATGTCGAGATGCGCGAGGCGTTCTGCGTGCCCCGGAGGAGTGAGTTTCAATGCTGCACGCCGGAGGGTGATTACGTCATTGAAATCTGCTTCGTCCTCGTCCTTCTGGAACCGCCCATGCAGGACGTCAGCGAGACTGACGAGAGCTGAGCAGTCGTCTTGGTATGTTAACGGAGCGCCCTCCAATGCAGCTCGCCTGAGGACGACTTTGCGTAATGCCAACCAGTCCCCCTCCTCCCCTTCCATTTCGTTTACAAGTCCCTGCATAATCTCCCACGCAGTTTCGGGATTTCCATCAAACAGTGTCTTAGACATCGACACGCCTATATTATCTGCTTGACGTTGGAGTTGTGTTACCAAAGTTGTAGTCCCCTCTGTCGAGAGGTTTGCGCCATAAACCATGGTCGGAACGACGTGAATGGCACTAGGAGCGAAATTTCGGGGGCACGTACGCCCAAAGGCTTCAAGATGCTTCGATAGCTCCAAGTTGGCATTAAATGGGTCCGATGCGGCGTTATGCGTGTACAAAATTCCAACTGCTTTGCACGGCTCCACGTAACTAGCCAGATAGGTTATTCACCCGCATAAAGGAAAACAGCATGGCTTACTTCGAAATCATCCACTTTTTCAGAGTTTGCTCTCCATCTGTGCTTTTGAGGGTGTAAAAAGATGGTGTATCTACAAGAACGATGTCGCCCTGCATTCCTCTGAAACGGCACCTTTCCGTATAAACCTCTGCGGTGCCGGACTCTTGGCCCTCATTGACCAGAACCGGAACGTGAGTGTTCGCAATTTGCAGAAGAGTGCTCAGAAGCTTGAATGGAACAAACGAATGCAAGGTAAGCGATAGTATGGAGCGGGATACGAATTAGTTTTACCCAGCTCTTCCCCGAGCGAGAAGGGCCTACGACGCTGGATGCACTCTCAATGCTACTGCATCGCCGGAGATATGTCAGTGCACTCACAACACTATAGTATCCGTCGGCAAAATATCGGTCGTCCTAGGTTGTAATCGCGCAGAGTGATGCCTGCTATGCCTCGAAGTGGTCCGGTCCCAATAACCTAGGATAATAGGTGTACGTGAGTTGACTGAAAGTCAGAGGGAAAGTGAGACTCGCCTGAACCTCTGGATGAGAACTTTGGCGACAGAAGCATAACTACAGCTTGTCCCAGGGCGCTGCCTGTCGCTGCGGGCTTACTTCTCAATATAAGTGTTAGAGGTTCCGTGTTGAAACGGGTAACGGATGATGCATTGCCGACCTTTATCGCGACAAACAAGCTAGACTCCGATGAGTCGCGGATGCTGTTGGCTGACAGGAGGGCTGTGCATGCAGGATATGAAATGGGCGGCCCGGGATTTGATGGCGGACTCAGATATCTAGAGCCTCTGGGTGGTAAAATAGATTTCGCATGCCCGAAGTGGTAAAACTCGGACTACGTATGTCCCGGAGTGTTCCTGGAGCAGCCTTCACTTCCTTATCGCCTTCCAAAACCTCACCCTTCGCTCTCTCTACCCGCAGCACCGGAACCGACGACCTAGTCAGGGGAACAGTAACTGTCAGCCTCGGCGGCAGCTCACTTGTCTCGCTTCTCCTTTAGAGCACGTTCCATCTCCTCAAATACAGACAGCACGACGTCTTTTTGCTTCATCGCTATCGATGATTGGGATGAAGTCGTACGGATACTTAGAGGCCGTTTGCTCTCAGGGATCGATAGTACAGCGAGAGAAGCCCTTAGCGTTGCGACGGACTCTTTGTACGCGTTAAGAGATTTCTCGTACAAGTCATACACGCATACGGCGCATCCCGACATGCAGCACTCCATGCAACCCAGCTATTAGCACACTAAATCGCGGACGTCCGCATCTTCACGCACCGTCATCTGCAGGAGGCTTCGGCTCTTCCGGCATAACGAATCCTGCAGTGGTATTTGCTGATGCACCGCTTCCGGATGATTTGTGCGAAGTTTGTAACTCAGAAGTGCTAGCAGAATCCCTGGAGATATCGTATGTCGCTCTTGCGAGTACGTTTTTACCCCGAATACTGTTTTCGAGTCTGCGGTATCGCTCCGTGAGATTTTGACCGCCCCTCTGAGGTCGCCTTAAGCGCCCTTGGGTAACTTGAGGAATCGAAGGGGGCACATCGCTTGAAGTAAATCTGGCACTGGAAGGAAATCGGCAGCGAAAGAGACATAAATCTCGTGGAGCTAGTTTGAGGGATATACCATGTTGTTTGGTGAACATGTAAGCCCAGTGAAAATCGGAGCTAGCTAGACCTGGCCCCATCTATGGAGCAACTATGATTTGTATGTATTGGTATGTGTGACTATGTGACTACAGTGTCCCTAGTTACACATAAGTGGTGCTCAAGGCAGCTTTGGAAGTGCTCTGGAAGTGCTCTGGAAGTGGCAAATTTGAGAGCAATGCCATGACAGAGTTTGAAAATTATGCCTCCCTATTGATGACACCCTCGACAGTCTGCTCACCTACAGTCACTCTTATCAAAACCCATGGCTTCATCAAGTGGACAAGCTCGTCGAGGAAGGCCTTCTGTAACTGTGACTACTGGTGGTGGATTGTCCTCATAAGTACCTGGGAGTGGGAGTAAAGGGAAGGGCCCAGCATCCAACAAGCAGCTGGCAGCTGACTCCTTGATGGAAAGTACCCAGCTGAAAAACATCAATTGGGATACTCCTCATACTGAAATACTTGTCCAGTGGCTTCTTAGCCATCCTGCTAACTGCAGGATTCTTTTCAGTGACAAAAACTCAGGCAACTTACCCCCATCATTATCATCTACTTTGACTGAGAGACCAGTGGGCCACAACAAGAAGGAGGTCCAAGTGATGATCGCCCAAGCCATTTTCAAGGATGACAGTGTCTACAAGGACATGTACACAGTGAGTGCTACCAAGTTTCAAGTCAGTGTGGGCAACTGTCTCAATATGTGAGTCTCCAATCATCTGATAAACCCAGGATTCACTAATGATCATCTAGGTTGAAAGTGAGCTATCAAAAGTGCCATGCATGATTCAAACAGTCAGGGGAAGGCATCATACCTGGCCATCCAAAATTTGCCAACCTTCATGGTATGTTACATGACCGATGTACAAGAATGCAGGGGCTTATGTGTACATACAGATGTCATTCTCAACAGTTTTCCTTGGTATGATGACTTATATTCCATTTGGCAGGGGAACCCATTGTTTGACCCTGAGCCCTTCAACTCCAAGCCAAACAAAAACCATGCAGAGGGCTTCTTAGCAGTTGTCCAAAACAAGATGCTTGGTATGAAGAATGTTTCAGGTTCCAGGGCTGAGACTGCAGGTGATTGCATGGGTGTGGGGGGGACAGCAGGGGAACTCAAGGAAGCTGAGGAGGATGTGCCATCTCAAGCTGGTGGTGAAGTCACTAATGAGGGCGAAGAAGATGGTGGAGCTGGGTTTGATGAGGCAATGCTGGGGTTTGGGGATGAGCAGACTGGTGGTGGTGAGTACCCTGACATCAACATGGACTCTGCATCTATGCAGGGTGATGAGGTATGTTCATGTTCATTCAGAGCAATGTTAATGAAATTTTACTGATAAGTTATTGCTAGTTACAATGGCCTTCAATGCCAAGTGACACTCATTTTCCCCTCTAGGTTCTCCCTCCTGTGAAGGGGTCATACACCCTCATCAGATAGCTGAATTGCCTTCTCTCAGTCTTCACCATATCTTTGCCCTCCTCCTTCATCTGCAAGTATTGCCTCTATGACAACATCTGACTCCTCTGGTAGCTCTTCCCAAAAACCTAGCCAGTCCCTCTGGGACTCATCATCAAAGACAAGTTCGATGAAGCCAAGTTCAACACTAACTAAACATGGCAAGTCTCAGCTTCAAGACCAGGTCATCAACTTGAAGTCACAAAGCTGAGTCACTAGTGGCTTCTTCTTCTTCTGGGAAGACTAAACACTATATGATCAAGATGGAATATCTTCATAGGAAGGAGGAATTGATGAAAGAGCAGGTGGAAATGGTGACTAAGATGGGAATTGGAGTTGGAGGTGCAAAGAAACTTGACATCCAGCTGATGAAGGCCCAGGAAATCACCTTCAATAGTGAGGCAGAGACACTTTGCCTCAAAATTGAGCTTGTGAAACTCATGAAGGCCAATTTGGATGCAACCCCTCCCACTGCATAGGTTTATCTTGTTGTGGCCAAGTTTTTACCCACACTTCCCCACTGTATCCATCTCCAGCACATTCCCACTATGTACTCATGTCATATTCATGTTTCCCCTATTCTCTCACAAGATGTACATATGGTGAATGTATTTTTTTCATCTTGCTAATACTACCATCTCCCACAACTGCCATTAATGGGTTAATTCCTGTCCAAGATGTTGAAACAACTGATCCAATAGCTTTGCTCAAAATTGCTGACCAATAGTCTCCACAGCCTCCACCACAGCAATTCCATCCCCATCATCAAGGCCACTTCCTTCATTGACTGCCCAGTCAGTTGAACACTCAATTGTATCATCCATTTCCTCCTCAAACCAGATGATCATGTTGTGTAGGATGATGCAACAAAGCACCCAGTAAACCATGACTTTCATATCTTTTTCTGTCCAGATTTTCAGGTGCACTTCACAGAGGCTTTGAAAGCACCCTTTCAAGGCAGTAAATGCATGTTCAACTCATACATGGATCTTCCAAAGCTGTCAGCCCATGTACTGTGGCAAAACTAGGTGTGTACCTTTGAAAGGTACTTGTTATACACATTCTGATCTTGAGATAATCTCCCACCTTTAGGTGTTTTGAAGGGGACAACACACCATGTCTCTGATGGGTATGCACTGTCTGCCCACATCCAATGATCACATGGAATCAACTGCATAGGGTTTGAAGCAATGCAAGTCCCCTGGAAGGCCCATGCATCATGGATGCTTCCCAGATGTCCAAGTCTGTAGTCCACAACAAGAAGATTGTGTGGCAAAACAATAAGCTATCTCAGTAAGTTTCTTCTGCTGTTCACACTCAGCATTTGAGTACACACCTGGCAGTTCAATGAGTACCTAGATTTTCTATCATAGAATGTTTCCCTGAAGATATGTGGTTTCTCAAAGAGGGGAATACTTGAACCATCAGCAGTGAACATGCCATTCCTCCAGGCTGAACAGGTGTGTGACTCAGTGAAAACCTGCACTCTTTCCATCTCCTGCGAGTCTTCAGATGGAATATTGATGAATCTATTGTGCTCATCCAGTATAGCTACCATCACATGGTTCATACAATTGACAACTGAGCCAATGCTAACACCAGCCCACTGCGCTACATCCTCAGGTGACACTGCATTTCCATAATGCCCTGCACAGAAAAGGAAGATCACCAACTGGACTGTGACTGCCAGCTGATGGTTTTTGGAATTGCTTTGGAATATCATGTGTCCACTAATCTGATCCAGAATGCAATCAAAAATTGGTGGGTCTACATGAAGGTGCTTTTGAAACAGGTGGGGCCAATGATCTGTGAAATGTTTGAGGAGGCACAGCTGAGATGCCCACATCATTGGCATCTCAGGTCTCTCAAGGATATGTGCATGCTCTACTTCATCTCTGAGAGCCATGATTGCATTTAGCAACTGAGCATAATGCCCATCACGCTCAGCTGTGGATTCTGTGTCATTGGAGGCACTGGATTCAAAATCTGACAGGATTGGAGTGACTGGCAATGGTGGAGTGATGAAGAAGAGAGTTGTGGGGGAGCTGGAGCCTGAACTCAGCAACATTGACATAGATTCTGAGCTGCTACTGTCAACTCCACGTTGTGCATTTTCAAGCCTTGCTATCACAACATGAAGGCTAGTCTTGTCCAGCTGTTTGAGCAGATCTTGGCAGACAGATTTCCAGGGCATCTGGTAGCTCTTGGATGATGGGTAGATGTTTATCGATCATGTACAGTGCATTAATATGAGTTTGATATGTTATCTGACATGTATCTTCCAGGATAAGTAACTACCATGTATTGCTAGTCAAGCAGTGCCACAGGGCATGGCATGTTGGAGTCAAATTTTATAGCAGCAGTGGCCTGTCAGAGTGCGATTCCAGAGCACTTCCAAAGCCACCTTGAGTGCCACTATAGCATGTGATATTGTTCAATTGTGTTTCAACAACTTTGCCATTGCACTATTCTGTATGATGCAATCCATTCCATGCTACATGATTCAGTCAATATGTACAAGCTGCTAAATCCACTGTAAGACATCATCATACCAGCCTCCTCACACTACAGCCATGGCACCAGACCCATCTCAACTCTGGTGTGTTTGCCAGAAGTATTGCAAGGGTTCATACTGCCAACTTAACACACTGAATACCTGGCACTGCCACCTGCATGAGGCAGAGGCAGATGAGGTTGACACAATATGGCTGGCTTCGAGATCCAATGCTTTTTGTGAGTTTCTTCACACTGCAGCTGGTTTGTCTACCAGCTCTTCTAAGAGGCAGGCAGATGGGAACATTCCCAGTGAAACTGCTGCTGCAAAGCATCCATGTGGATCACTGGTAAGGATACTTGGCTTATAGCACTTATTCTAGTTACAGGGATTACCTAGATACCCAGAGAGGATTCCACTGAAGGTATGTCAGTGATGCACTGTACAATGTAAATCTGAGTGAGATGGCCCAACAGCACAATCACAACCACACAAAACAGCAGCTTTAGATGCTGGTGATCATCTGGACACTGGCAGCAATCATAGCTTTGTGGATCAAGAGAACAGTATGCAGCCATATTAATTATTACCTAGTAGACCCAGCCAACAAAGGCCAGCCAGCAGATCCAGTTGATGGCGGCCCACCAGCAGATCCACCTGATGACAACCAATCAGCGACTCCAGTTGGCATTGGCCCACCAGCAGACCCAGTTGACAATGACCAGCAAGCAGGTCCACCCAACAACAACTGACCACTTCCAACAACCCCCAACCCTCTGTCTGGCCTCAACCTGGATGAGCTTGCACACATGGCATGCTTGCCCAAACTCCAGCAGAGTATGGCCTTCATCCAAGCAATCTGAAATGCATCACTTGACAATGGCATTGCTCTCACAGGAGAAGACCTTGACTGACTTCACAACCTGCCTAAAGAACCCCTCCAAGTAGATGACCAGTACACTGAACTTGCACTTTCCATGTTCATTGCCCTAGAACACTCTTCTGAAAGTACATATGAGAAGATTTGCCAGGCTATTCAGAAGTGTTTCCCTGATGTAGGGCTCCCAAGCTTCCACCAAATGAAATGTCTCCTTGCCAATCTCAGTGGCATCACTTCTGTAGCCAATCATATGTGTATCAACTCTTGCACCACATATGTAGGTCCTCTGTCCAACCTCAAGATATGCCCAGAATGCTCCAAGCCATGCTATGACCAAGTCAAGCTCCACAGAAGCAATGGCAGGATCAAGCATCCTTGTGCCATTTTCCATATGATCCCAATTGCACCACAACTTCAGTCACTCTGGTGACATCCTGAGAGTGCTCAGAAGATGTGCTACTGGCACAGATGAACTCAACAGATATTCCAGGAGCTCCAGAAGAGTGACATCAGACATGCCTCCATGAAGTGCAGGCAAGGACATGCATGCTCCAGGTGAGGGTGCATGTGGAAGATTATGGTACTACTAATTTTCCTTAGGCATGTCTCTCAGGCTAGTTGGAAGTACAGTTGACCAGGGCAATGCAAGCATACTTCCTCCAGCATCCTTAATCAAGAACCCACTGTAAGTGTACATTTGTTACTATATGCTTACTAACTTCGTTGCAGATTATTGGTGTCCTGCACACCATCTGTTGTTGACAACAGTCCCCCACAGCAAAACACAATGCTAGACAAAGGTGTCACTCCAGCATCTGGATTGAATGATGGCATCAACAGAGAACATGAAGATAATACAGGTAGACTGTCTGCTTTTATGGAACTGGGCTAACAATTACTCTGGGCACAGAAGCAAGTGCACTCACAGCACAAGTGTCTATGCAGACAGGGCTTGGACAAGCACCACAACTGAAGGGAGTGATGAAGAAGACATGGCATCCTCCATCAAACAAAAGTGCAAGGTGAGTAGCACCTTTAGGATGCATGACCATTAATTAATGAAATATTCTGCCAGAACTCTTTGCATGCATTGCTACCAGAAGCAAATTGGCAGCTCACTAGAAGAATTCAACTCATATTTTGACACATTGTCTGTGGACCAAAAGGCAGTAAGTTTTGATTATCTAGTATGGGGTATGTGCCTACTAATCTATACATATAGAAATACAAGGATGAGGTGACCAAACTAGTAAGTGGCTTGTACTCAATGGTCACAATCTAATGAGGATCCTGTAGGTCTCAAGTGGTGTATGGAGCAATGGGACAGCAGATGTTATCACAAAGTTTTTGGATGGTGAAATGTATTAAGCAAGGCCACAAGACTGCCATCCTGGTTTGGTGGGTCGTGCATGCATGTTCCAATGGGTATTGGCTCTGGTTTGCATGGATGGAAGGGAGGAATGGGGAGCATGTTTATTGGCAGGCTGTGGTGTGGTGGCAGCAGCAGCAGCAGCGCAAGGGTGGGTAGGTGGGTGTTTATACATTGTATACATATACACATGAATGCATAGCTGCTGTTGCAATCACAAGATCTCAAAATTGCATAGAACAGGCTACTTTGACATAGGCCAGCATAGCAAATTGAACAGAAATGAAGAGTGAGAGAGAACCTATGTAGGACCTATGGAAAAGCTATGGAATAGCAAGGCATAGTACAAAGTACTTTGACATAGCTAAATCAGCTATGGAGACACCCATTTCCTATGTGAGGCCATTCCCATCTATGGCATAGGTATGACTATGTGTACATTGCTACAGATAGCTCCGATTTTCACTGGGCACCAGCATCCAACACAGATCTGCCCTGATGCAATCAAAATCACCCAGGAGCATCACTGGAGCATGAGGTGAATTGGGTGGGCATACTCACTTTGGAAAAAAAAAAGCTTGATCCAGGAGGCATGGACTGCTGTTGAACTATGGTGTGCAAGGTTTGACCTTTGCAGTTTGTGTGGATGTTTGGTGGTGTTTGGCAGTTGTGGCAGAATATCATGATTTATTATGTCATCCCACCCACATGTGGGTTTGGTTGCACAATGTGCAACTGTAACAGTGCAAGGCTTTGGGGGATCAAAAGGAGGACAGGCTGTGCATTGGTTGAACTGTTCATCATGAAAGGATACACAAACTTGCAAACAGTGAAGAAGCAGAATTAGAAAACAGCACACAGTTCCTCTTGACTCATGCTGACTAATCTCACCAAATCACAGCTCTTACATCCCAGTGAAAATCAGAGCTATCTGTAGCAATGTACACATGTAGTCATACCTATGCCATAGATGGGAATGGCCTCACATAGGAAATGGGTGTCTCCATAGCTGATTTAGCTATGTCAAAGTACTTTGTACTATGCCTTGCTATTCCATAGCTTTTCCATAGGTCCTACATAGGTTCTCTCTCACTCTTCATTTCTGTTCAATTTGCTATGCTGGCCTATGTCAAAGTAGCCTGTTCTATGCAATTTTGAGATCTTGTGATTGCAACAGCAGCTATGCATTCATGTGTATATGTATACAATGTATAAACACCCACCTACCCACCCTTGCTGCTGCTGCTGCTGCTGCCACCACACCACAGCCTGCCAATAAACATGCTCCCCATTCCTCCCTTCCATCCATGCAAACCAGAGCCGATACCCATTGGAACATGCATGCACAACCCACCAAACCAGGATGGCAGTCTTGTGGCCTTGCTTAATACATTTCACCATCCAAAAACTTTGTGATAACATCTGCTGTCCCATTGCTCCATACACCACTTGAGACCTACAGGATCCTCATTAGATTGTGACCATTGAGTGCAAGCCACTTACTAGTTTGGTCGCCTCATCCTTGTATTTCTATATGTATAGATTAGTAGGCACATGCCCCATACTAGATAATCAAAACTTACTGCCTTTTGGTCCACAGACAATGTGTCAAAATATGAGTTGAATTCTTTTAGTGAGCTGCCAATTTGCTTCTGGTAGCAATGCATGCAAAGAGTTCTGGCAGAATATTTCATTAATTAATGGTCATGCATCCTAAAGGTGCTACTCACCTTGCACTTTTGTTTGATGGAGGATGCCATGTCTTCTTCATCACTCCCTTTGGTTGTGGTGCTTGTCCAAGCCCTGTCTGCATAGACACTTGTGCTGTGAGTGCACTTGCTTCTGTGCCCAGAGTAATTGTTAGCCCAGTTCCATAAAAGCAGACAGTCTACCTGTATTATCTTCATGTTCTCTGTTGATGCCATCATTCAATCCAGATGCTGGAGTGACACCTTTGTCTAGCATTGTGTTTTGCTGTGGGGGACTGTTGTCAACAACAGATGGTGTGCAGGACACCAATAATCTGCAATGAAGTTAGTAAGCATATAGTAACAAATGTACACTTACAGTGGGTTCTTGATTAAGGATGCTGGAGGAAGTATGCTTGCATTGCCCTGGTCAACTGTACTTCCAACTAGCCTGAGAGACATGCCTAAGGAAAATTAGTAGTACCATAATCTTCCACATGCACCCTCACCTGGAGCATGCATGTCCTTGCCTGCACTTCATGGAGGCATGTCTGATGTCACTCTTCTGGAGCTCCTGGAATATCTGTTGAGTTCATTTGTGCCAGTAGCACATCTTCTGAGCACTCTCAGGATGTCACCAGAGTGACTGAAGTTGTGGTGCAATTGGGATCATATGGAAAATGGCACAAGGATGCTTGATCCTGCCATTGCTTCTGTGGAGCTTGACTTGGTCATAGCATGGCTTGGAGCATTCTGGGCATATCTCGAGGTTGGACAGAGGACCTACATATGCAGTGCAAGAGTTGATACACATATGATTGGCTACAGAAGTGATGCCGCTGAGATTGGCAAGGAGACATTTCATTTGGTGGAAGCTTGGGAGCCCTACATCAGGGAAACACTTCTGAATAGCCTGGTGAATCTTCTCATATGTACTTTCAGAAGAGTGTTCTAGGGCAATGAACATGGAAAGTGCAAGTTCAGTGTACTGGTCATCTACTTGGAGGGGTTCTTTAGGCAGGTTGTGAAGTCAGTCAAGGTCTTCTCCTGTGAGAGCAATGCCATTGTCAAGTGATGCATTTCGGATTGCTTGGATGAAGGCCATACTCTGCTGGAGTTTGGGCAAGTGTGCATGTGTGCAAGCTCATCCAGGTTGAGGCCAGACAGAGGGTTGGGGGTTGTTGGAAGTGGTCAGTTGTTGTTGGGTGGATCTGCTTGCTGGTCATTGTCAACTGGGTCTGCTGGTGGGCCAATGCCAACTGGAGTTGCTGATTGGTTGTCATCAGGTGGATCTGCTGGCTGGCCTTTGTTGGCTGGGTCTACTAGGTAATAATTAATATGGCTGCATACTGTTCTCTTGATCCACAAAGCTATGATTGCTGCCAGTGTCCAGATGATCACCAGCATCTAAAGCTGCTGTTTTGTGTGGTTGTGATTGTGCTGTTGGGCCATCTCACTCAGATTTACATTGTACAGTGCATCACTGACATACCTTCAGTGGAATCCTCTCTGGGTATCTAGGTAATCCCTGTAACTAGAATAAGTGCTATAAGCCAAGTATCCTTACCAGTGATCCACATGGATGCTTTGCAGCAGCAGTTTCACTGGGAATGTTCCCATCTGCCTGCCTCTTAGAAGAGCTGGTAGACAAACCAGCTGCAGTGTGAAGAAACTCACAAAAAGCATTGGATCTCGAAGCCAGCCATATTGTGTCAACCTCATCTGCCTCTGCCTCATGCAGGTGGCAGTGCCAGGTATTCAGTGTGTTAAGTTGGCAGTATGAACCCTTGCAATACTTCTGGCAAACACACCAGAGTTGAGATGGGTCTGGTGCCATGGCTGTAGTGTGAGGAGGCCAGTATGATGATGTCTTACAGTGGATTTAGCAGCTTGTACACATTGACTGAATCATGTAGCATGGAATGGATTGCATCATACAGAATAGTGCAATGGCAAAGTTGTTGAAACACAATTGAACAATATCACATGCTATGTGTAACTAGGGACACTGTAGTCACATAGTCACACATACCAATACATACAAATCATAGTTGCTCCATAGATGGGGCCAGGTCTAGCTAGCTCCGATTTTCACTGGGGCTAGTGGTTGACCTCGGATGAGGATGACTTGACGGTGATAATATGCGTGCTGACGATGCTTATGGTCGTGTTGTGTAGATGGGACTCCAAGAATACCAGGTCGTCGGGTGTCATTTGCCCACCGAGTCAGATCCCACTCCAAAAATCTACCGCATGCGCATCTTCGCCCCCAACGAAGTCGTTGCCAAATCCCGATTCTGGTACTTCCTGAGGTACGACTCATCCATGCTCCGGCATCTGTCTTATCGACTTGGAATTGATACGCTTTTTGTGATCCGTTAGGCAGCTAAAGAAAGTCAAGAAGGCGAGCGGTGAAATCATCGGCGTCAACGTCGTGTGTATTCGAGCTGAATCATCTCCAAATCGCTCTGACCGCTCTTTATTCTCCTCTCTTGGTCATTATAGATATATGAGAAAAAGCCGTTGAAGGTCAAGAACTTTGGTATTTGGCTCCGCTACGACTCCCGCTCGGGCACACACAACATGTACAAGGAGTTCCGCGAACTCAGCCGTGCCGATGCCGTTAAATCGCTTTACCAAGACATGGCAGCAAGACACCGTGCCCGATTCCGGTCCATCCATGTGCGTCTTCCCCACTTGGACACACCCACTCATCCACTAACGGGGCACGGACACTCACGCGATCTCGCATACATAGATCCTTCGCGTCGTCGAGCTCAAGAAGGCAGACGATGTCCGTCGTCCATACATCAAACAGCTCCTCGAGCCGAAGCTCAGATTCCCCCTTCCCCACCGCGTCGCCAAGTCTGCCTCTACATTCGTCTCCCGCCGCCCTTCGACGTTCTAAGTTGTGTAACAGCGGAGATGTTTTCCTGACGTCGCGAAGCAGTGATGTTCCCCACAGGCCGTGTATTCATTTCTTTACATCTTCAGACATGATGGCTATGCAATATGCAATGCATGCGTCCAGATTTTCAAGTGTGATTCCATGCGATGGAGAATATGGCATACTGTACGTCAGAGCTAATGCACAACCAGGCACCGCATGAAGAAGACCGGAAGTGTAACACGAACCCGTTAGTTCCACTTGGCTCTGGATGTCGTCGCACGAAGTTATTTCCAATTACCCATTCCTGTAGTACATGCCGACCGACCGACCAGATTCGCGCCAAGCGAGGATGGAAAAGAGGCGCGACGAACAAACTTTGCTCGGCTCCAGACAGGTTTTACCTCCGACAAGATCTACAGCTTGGGGGACCCCTTGAACTGCAACCACCATCGTAGTCGGATTTTCCCGTACTGCAACAGGGAGGCAATGTGGTGCACATGGCATAAAAATGCTCACAGAACACCACTGCCCCCCTTAGAACGATGATTACTAGCCATTGGACTTGTCGAAAGACATGAGCATTGCTTGCAGCAATAGCAACCTCACCCACCACATCAGGTGACCTACGGCGAAAATTCTCCAGCTCGACGATGTTCAACATCCCTTAACACCCTCATCCGAATGTACCCTTGGTCGATATACATCCAGTTCTATGCTATAGCCAGTGCATGTTCTTGCAAGACTGCTCGCAAGCTTGCACCCCCCACCTGAGGCTTTTTAGTGAGATAACGTCTACCAGGCGCTCTATGGCGGGTCCACCACTGGTAGGTTCACGGAGTCCCACACGCCCCCGTCCACCCGACGGTTCTTCCAGGCCTCCGATATAGTGATTATACATGGCTAGAGACGTCAGTTCAACTGATGCTACATAGTATTACCATTTGTCAAAAAAGGGGGATCTACAACCCCCTAGAGCCTGTTCCTGCGACACCGATTACACACCAACATCTCACACCCAGCACATCTCTAACCTCACGCAACCGATTAAAAGGTAACAAAAATGAGAGGAAAAAGATGCCACGACGATCATCAACCTCGAATTTTTTTTAAAAAAATTACCCACTCACGTAGAGATATAACGACAATACATGGTGACAAATCTGACACCTTCCTCTTCCAGAACGATATTCCCAGTTCAAATGTTGGCAATCATGATCAACCTGCAAACGTGCGGCCATCTCGCGAATCATGCGTTGTCGGATGGCGTCGATGTTCATAGAACCTGTGTCCGCACCCCGGCGGTGGCCCGTCTGCCTCTTAGAGTCGCGGACTGTTCTATCTGGTGCCACGAGTGGAGCCGCTGGTCGGACCGCGGGGGCTCGCGGTTGGACTGCTGGTACAGGCTGAGTTCTGAGCAATACGACCGGGAAAATCGGAGGCTTACGGGGTTCGAACCAAGCGGGCTCAGGAAGAGGGCCCAAACCACGAAGAAAAGGATGGAAGTACTGGCCCCCACCGAGTTGCGCATCGACTCTCTGCTGTGCGACAGCAAGCAGTTGACGCCCATCCCACTGGGGGCAGTTACACGTTTTCCACCTCGCTTCACACAAGTAACAAAACTCGGTCCTGCACCGACACGTCATATGAAAACACCCTATTTCGAGCTCGATCAGCTGTGAACAGCCTGGACACCGCACCCAGCCCTCTGCACGCCCGAGCTCGAGAACTCGCTCGGCACCTTGATCATGCCGACATGTATGTGTAGCTTCGTTGTATTGTCCTCGGCAGTTTGCGCACGTTCGGGTTCCGCAGTGGGGTGCGGGACAATCGTAGACTGTTGTTCCAGATGTGGTTTGGGTGAGAGGACCTAAGAAACGACTACACGTTTGTCGAGCACAGTAGACCCGACTGAGCGTTCCAAATTCTTTGCTCTTCTCTCGGAATTCTGTCACCAGAGCACGTGAGAGGTGAGACTGGACTTCATCGAAAGGAATGTTTTGTCTACAGCAGCGAGGGGGAAATAGGCTCTCGTCATGTGTGGCAGTTCGGAGGAGGTCGGTGATACATGGTATGTCGTAGTAGTGACCGCAAGGAGCTCGAAATTCGGATCCGTGAATTGCATCCTGGCAAATCACGCAGATATGGCCCGTTGGTCTATGAGTAGTGGATATCAACACGCATCAGAACGGGTCCGTAAATGCCATAGAAGATATATCTAACCGTGCAGCTGCTGTTTCCTGCCGCGTGTTGGGCAGAGGCGCTGTGGATGAAATTGGCTCTTCTGGTGGGTTGGGCAAGGGCGCTATGGATGAAATTGGCTCCCAGGGTGGATTGGACAAGGGCGCTGTGGATGAGACTGTCTCTTCTGGTGGGTTGGGCAAGGGCGCTATGGATGAAATTGGCTCCCGGGGTGGATTGGACAAGGGCGCTGTGGATGGAATTGGCTCCTGAGATGGATTGGGCAAGGGCGCTGTGGATGAAATTGGCTCCTGGAATGGATTGGGCAAGGGCGCTGTTGATGAAGGTGGTCTCCGCCGCATGTCAGGTACAAGTGCTGCCGATGGTAGCTCCTGCCACATGCTAAGCACAGGCGCAGCTAGCATCGTCATAGTTGTGGTCATTGGAAGGGCGCGAAATAATCCGTTGAACATGGAGATGAGCCATTCGCTCCATGTCTGGGTTTCATGGACACTGGCAATTTCGACGAGGTTAACTGACGATCATCTCCTGATGACAGTACCTACATGTTACTCTCAGGCCTGGTCGAGTCAACTGGCGTCCGAGCTGGGGCGTGCTGAGGCCTACCCATAAAAGAGACGGTCCCAATTGAGACTGTTACTTATCCCGTATGTGCGTACTCACCGCGAAGGATTCCACAGATGGATGGTTGCATGCTCTTCACGATGTGCCCCAGGCGTCATAAGTTCGTCCTCGAGATGAATGTCTGTCGACCCTCGATGACGAGGTTGGGACGGCGCTGACATGGGTGAGTACAAGAGGGAAATGGAGAGACTGGGTGTGTGTTAATAACTGGGCATCAGTGGTTCAAGATAGACCGGACCCGGACGCGCAGCTGCAAGTGTCTCACGTGGCCTCGTATTGAAGCTTAGATACCCTCCCCGTCCGACACTCCGTTGTCACATCCAAGAGGTCCGCCACCAATACCACGATGGACAGCAAGGCCAGAAAAAAAGAGACTCTCTGTATTATCAACGAAAAGAGGCAGTGCAAGGCAAGTGGATCTGCAGCGGAGGCAAGCGCCAAAGGAACCCACGACAAGAACACCGAAAAGTGGACCGCTCTGTATCTGCCATCGTATACAGGAGAAAGGACAACGAGGCGTAGCACGCGTTGACGGGCAGGTAGCACTATTACTCCGCAAACACGAGGACGGACATCAATGTCTTAGAATCCAGATTCCAAGGGCCAACCCCAAAGCGCTGATCCTCAGTAGGGGATAGTGCTGGGATAGCCTCACAAATTTGATGGATCAAAATAGGACAGTCGGAATCCTGACACAATTCAAGGGCCTAGATTTGAAGCCTGTGTGATATAGATGACGGTGAGGTAGACCATGCAGACGGTTTGACGCAGGTGTATCCACACGTGCCTGTACAGTATTTGAAAACACTAGCATACACACCTGAACCCTGCGAACTCTTCCTCGCCCCCCTGAAATCACCATTCTGACGCATGAGATGACTTCCAAGCCCGCGATTATCGCGTATGTCTTCCCTCTATGAATTCTGCTCGTTGTTAACTACACTGTCTCAGGGTGATGGGTCCTACCGGATCAGGGAAAACCAACGTGAGCGAAGGAACGATCCCTTGTGATTCGTTGGCTAAGAGACACATAGTTTATCAACCGGCTCATGGGAAGGGGCGAGGATGGTGCAGCACATGGACTCAAGTCCCATACGCAAGCCGTTAGAGAGCATATAGTCAACCTATCCAATAACCAACAATATGTGTTGGTGGACACCCCGGGATTCGATGACACTTATCGATCAGACCGAGACATACTAAAGACAATTGCTGACTGGCTAGAGAGGAAGTGAGCGACCGAGTTTGTCAGATTAACCACTCACCAACACGTGAACAGATACCGCAATGATGTCAAACTCACAGGTATTATCTACACGCATCGCATAACAGACAACCGGATGTCCGGATCAGTGTGTAAAAACCTTGACATGTTCGGCGGGTTGTGTGGAGACACGGCGGCCGAGCGCGTGCGATTGGTGACCACTATGTGGGACAAGGCGAAAGATAAGAATATCGCAGAGAACCGAGTGTCGCAACTAGAGACAAACTTCTGGAAGCCGCTAATTGATGCTGGGGCTCGCCATGAACGATTCAACAACTCTTCGGGTTCCGCGTGGAAAATTGTTCGAGGTTTGACGGGGGGTGGGGAGGCCGTTTTGCTTCAGGAGGAGCTGGTGGATGTGGAAATGAAGCTAAACGAGACGACTGCCGGGAAAGCCCTCTACTTGCAATTCCAGAGGCTCCTACATGAACAAAAGGAAACAATCAAACAGCTGCAGGAAGAAGCCAAGGCGCAGAAAGATTCGGAGTTGATGAAGCAGCTCCAGGCGGAGCAACGGCGCTTGGAAGCTCAGTTGCAAATGATGTTGGGTAATGTGGACGAACTGAAGATCCCATTCGCAAGGCGTGCAGCCCTCCTATTCACTAAAAGAACCCAGGCCCTACCTGTGAGTGTTTGACAGGCCATCTGGCCCTTCCACGCTCACGCAAAACCACTTAAAGCGTGAGATCAAGCTGAACCTTGTTGGAAAACTAGAAATTGCAGAAAACGATTTTGTAATTTTGTAAGTGGCCAAATACTACAGTTGCTTCCAACGTCGGGTTGAGCCGACTGACTGGCCAGTGTAATCGGCCCAACCGGGGCTGGCAAGAGCTGGGTAATGATGTTCTGTTTCACAAGGGAACTTTGCTAATCAATTTCCAGTTTACGGGGAAACTGTTCAAGAATCATGACTTCCAGGTTGCAAGCACGAGCCCCAGACGTCTCGGGACAAACTCAAAGAAAGTCAAAGCCGTGAGGTGCAACGTCAGTGCCGGCTTGGACAACATCGTAGTTGTGGACATGCCATCGTTTCATACCGACCGTAATAATTTCGATGCTGAGAGTATGGTGACCAAATGGTTGAAGTCGACGTGAGTGGAATCAACGCCCCTTCATGATAACATCCAAGTATTATTGCAGGTTCATCAAAAAATGTCGCCCTGGAATTATCTTTCTCCACTCACTCGACTCCGATCTGCCACATGATGGTATGCTGATGTCGCGACATCTCGAAACGTTTGCGAAGGCGTTTCCTAACAAGTTCGCGGTTCCGTCTCATGTTTATGTAGTGCCGACTAGCAAGCCGGCCTCTACTCTTCCCAGTGAAACGCTGAGCCAACGATTGTCGCAGCTAGAAACTATCGTGGGTGGGTTAAACGGTAACGGAAACCACAGATGGCATTCATCAATGTTCCCTGGAATTTTCAAAGGCCAACCAGAAATAGCGTGGAGTGCTGTACTACTGCTCTTCAAAGGTATAGCCGAGACTGAGGTACATCACTTTTAACTGCGCTCGATCAATCTGGCAAATAACTGTATTTTCATTCCTACGTAGGCAAAAGAATTCCCCGCCTTCCCGAAACCTACACTAAAACGCACTCCCCCGAATTTCCTGCCCGGTTATATAATCCTGAGAGACGTAGCCGATTTCCTTTTCGAAGAATTCAGGAAGGAAGGAACTAGCGGTGATTTGGACGCGATGATCACGCTCGGGCGAACTGCACTAGAATTCATACCGTCGGAACACCCGCGACGCCATTCGATCCTCATCAACCTTGCCGATCTGCTGTATAAGCGGTTTCAGAAGGAAGATACGGCGGTGGATTTGGACGAAATAATTACGCTGAGGCAAGCTGCGTCGGACCTCATGCCCCCAGACGACACAGAGACACTAGCAGTTCTTCTTGAACTCGATAATTGCTTCTATCAACGTTTCGGGAGAAAGAATGCTTTGGTGGATCTGGAAGATATCATATCTCTTCGCCGCGTTGTGCTGGAATATACTCCTCCTCAGAACCGATGCAAGCCTCTTCTCAGCCTCGCTGATTCCCTCTATGAAACATACCAAGCACTGGGTTCGGTGAACGACATAGAAGAGGCCCTTAGCCTCGTGCGTACTGCCTCACAGCTTAACCCTCCAGGGCACCCTGATTTTGCGTTATCTCAAGAACATCTTGCACGTTACCTCAAAGCGAAGGTTAGAAAAGGGGCTGCGCTTGCGCACGTGAGGGGAGTGGAGGCCGGTCCTTCAAGTTCCAGTTCCTCTGATGTTGAGCAATTAATCGACAAGGCTGTCTCCGAATATCTTGAAAACATTCCGCTACGACTGTTACATACACCGACCGGCTTCTTGTGCAACCGGGATGCGCAGTTGTCCAAATTCAAGGATAGCCCTCAATACAAGCAGATCCTGTTGTCAGCGTCTTCACTCAACAGGCTGCAACTCCAAACGGAAATCAATAATGTGGTCACAAATTTCTTTCGAATTGCTATGCTATCTCACAGGTGGGGGAGTGGCGAGCCATTACTACGCAACGTTGACGGTAAAAACATCTATAACTTGGGCTGCACGGGCGGCCTGGCGAAGCTACAAAGCTTTTGCGTTCATGCTCTTAAATATAATTTGCAGTGGGCGTGGAGCGATACATGCTGCATCGACAAAGACAGCAGTGCTGAGTTGCAAGAGGCGATTGGGTCTATGTTTTCATGGTATCGTCGGTCGTCCTTGACGCTTGTTCACCTCTTCGACATCTCCGACGCTGGTTCACTTGTCGACAGTGTCTGGTTCAAACGAGGCTGGACCCTCCAAGAATTGTTGGCTTCACAAACTATCTTGTTCTATACACGCGGGTGGTCGCTCTACATGAACTGTGACGTCGGAGATCACAAAGCAGATCCCGCCGTGCTTGGAGAGCTTCAGAAGGCAACGGGAATAGCAGAAAAGCATCTTCGGGACTTCTCTCCTGGCACGGATGACGCGCGATCCAGACTCCACTGGGCATCAGGCCGCAGCACCACTCGGGTAGAAGATGTTGCCTACTCTCTTCTCGGAATCTTTGACATTCACTTACCCATCCTCTACGGTGAATCCGCAGAGTATGCACTCGGACGTCTCCTGGCAGAGATCATATCGCGTTCGGGAGACGTTTCGGTTCTAGATTGGGTCGGGAAGGCATCCTCATTCAATAGTTGTTTCCCTGCCAACCTCGTGCCATACCAGACGGTACCCCACATCCAACTGATCCCCAGCGACCCTGCTAGACGCGATAACCTGGATCTTGAAAAGGCACATAAATTGTACAGTAGCCTTGCAAGACTACCGCGTGCTGGAGTTGTCAATAGGAGGCTTACATTACCCTCTGCCGTCCACCAAGTTACGGCGGTCAAATTGCGAAGTCCCTCGATTAGCCCCTCATGCTACCCATACGAGATTCATGCATCGCACCTGCTGCCCCTCGAGGTCACACTGTCGGTTACCCTTGACGAGGGTGTCGATAGATACATTCTTGTACGTCCTTGGCATCTACAAGAGCTCCCAACGCAGACCGGTAGCGATGACGATGCTGTGTGGGAGCTGCTGGAACAGCTTAAGCAGCCATTCAACGCACTTCTACTCAAGAGGTTACTTCACAACGAGTACAGGAGAATTGCAGGCGACTGTGCGATTACTGCTTGTGTTCAGGATCTGGCCGGTGTCTTAGACAGTGAAGTGTTGGTCTTGGGGATTGTATAGGTCGTGCCTAGCACTCATGTGTCCACATTTTTTATCGAGAGAAATACGATGCTCTGACTCTGTATGGAACGTTTACGACTGCGTGCAACCACGTTACGGTACTAGCTGCGAGCTAGTGTAAGCGCAATAGTCGTCGCACTGAACATTGACAGCCGAAGATTTCGAGACTGGGTGACGTTCGTAGGTACGACCGACTTGCCTAATGAACGTTGCTGACGTGACACTGACGGTTTTTGACCACACCTCATAGTATGTAAATTGAAACGGAACACCGGGTCAGTAGCACTCGTCCACCCCTCCGACGTCTCTGGTACTGGTTTGCTTGTCGATAGCATCTGGTTCAAACGAAGCCGGACACTCTAGGAATTATTGGCTTCACTTTCTTGTTCTGCAGGCAGGACTGATCGCTTTACACGAATTTCCTCAAGTCACAAGACAGACCCTTCCTTGCTTGAGGGGCTCCGGAATGCAACGGGAGTAACCAAACAGCACCTCACGGGTTTCCATCCAGGCATGGATAACGCGCGACCTAGACTTCAATGGGCATCAAGCCGTTGCACCACACGACCAGATGTCGCCTACTCACTTTTTTTGGAATTTTCAAGGTTCACTTACCAGTCCTCTATGGCGAACCTGTGGAAAATGCGCTCGGACGTCTCCTGGCAGAGTTCATCTCACGTTCTGGAGACGTTTCGGTCCTGGATTGGGTTGGGGAGGCATCATCATTCAACAGTTGTTTCTCTGCTAACCTCGTGCCATACCAGGCGGTACCCTACCTCCATCTGGTCTCCAACGACTCTGCCAGACGCGATGACCTGGATCTTGAAAAGGCACAGAAATTGTACAGTAACTTTGCAAGATCACCACGGACTGGATTTGTCAGCAGCAAGGTTGTGTTGCCCTCCACCGCGCATCCACTGCAGCCACAGCAGTCAGATTGCAAGGGTCCTCGACTAGTCCCTCATGCTACACATACGAAATTCATGCATCGCGCCTTCTGCCCCTCGAGGCCACACTGTCGGTCAACCTTAACGAGGGTGTCGATGGATACATTCTTGTTCGTCCTTGGCACCCACGAGCGCTCCAAACGCCGACCGGTAGCGATGACGATGCTGTATGGGAGCTACTGGAACAGCTGAAGCAGCCATTCAACACACTTCTACTCAAAAAGTTGCCTCACAATGAGTACATGAGACTTGCGGGCGATTGTATGATTACGGCCTGTCCCCAGGATCTGAGCAGTATCTTAGATACTGAAGTGCTGATACGTAAGATTGTGTAGGTCGTACTCGTGATGGAAGGCTTTCTCACTGAAAGTAACCCGCGTCACCGAGCGCCACTTCATGTTTTGTCCTAGCATGCGTGTTCCCATTTTATACCTGTGCACGGAGGGTGTTGTACATAGGTACTACGGGCATGCAAAGTCGGACCCCTCATTTCTGTATACATTGTTCGCGTGTTATTCGCAAGTATGGGCAATCATTAATCAGCATTCATTTCGTTGCGTCGTCGAAGACTATACAATGTGCAACGCAACCCGAAATTGAATGGGGGGAACAGCGAAGAAAGCGGCTTATACCTAATTTTACAAACGAACAATGCAAGAAAATATTTGTGATTGTGACGAGGCGAATGGCATTGCTTAACGCCCCCGAATTTCCCTCTAATCACCTGGCATGGTTTTACATGCCAACGACAAGAAAAAAAGGCACTTTGCCCTTAAAGCCTGTTCCTGCGACATTGATTACACACCAACATCTCACACCCAACACACCTCTAACTCCCAAAATTGATCGAGAGAGACATGTAAGGGAGGGAAAGAAAAGACATCACAACGACCATAATTGAGGAAAGAGCACACAACGGTCAGTAGTATTCCCCGCCCACAAAAACAATACACTCACAAACAAATACAACGGTAACGCACGATGGCAATGTTCACAACTCCCTCCTCCCTGACGGAATTTCCACTTTGTATGTTGACAGTCGTGATCTACGCGGAGACGTTCGGCCATTTCGTGAATCATGCGTTGGCGGATGGTATCATTCTGAGTGCCGACGTTCCGGGCTGGGGTCGGACCTGTGCCCGCACTTCTAATACTAGTCAAACCTGCAGGTCTTGGAGGTACAGCAGGGCTGGGCAGTGGTGAAGTAATTGCCGAGGTCAAAGATGCAGGTTTTGGAGGTACCGTGGGACGAACACGAGGATGGGCGTTGGTCGATGTGCCTGACGTTGGTGTCGATCTCTGAGTCGACGGAACTCTCTGGATTACCTCAACAAGCGATCGTACATCAGAGTGGGGTCGAGTCGGTGTTGCCGGAGACTGAGAGGCGGCGAGACGCTGAGCCCGAGTTTGGATATGGCGCACGGTTGTATCAGCAGTCTGGACGTCAGCTGTGGGAACTCTCGGTTGAACCGGCGGTGTAGGCAGAACTTCGCGTGGTAGGCCTGGCACTCGAAGAGGTGCTGCCGGGCGGACCGGCGTAGTAACAGGAGCTCGGAAAGCTGGCGCGACATAAGGAGCCCTTGGTTGAACTACATATGCAGGCTGAGCTCTAGGTTGTACGACCTGAACGTTTTGCGGCCTCGGCTGAACGGGCTGAACGGGATCTCCAACCCGCTGAACATCACGCAAGCGATGGTGGTGCTCACCCCCACCAAGTTGTGCGTCGACTCTCTGCTCCGCCGCAGCAAACAGTCGGCGCTCATCCCACTGAGGGCATCTACACGTCTTCCAACGCGCCCTACACAAATAACAAAACTCTGTCCTGCACCGACACGTCATATGATAACATCCCATGTTAAGCTCGATAAGCTGTGAGCAGCCTGGACACCGCGCCCAGCCCTCTGTACGTCCGAGATTGAGAACCTGCTCGGCGCCTTGATCTTGTCGACATGTATGCATCCATCCGTCATATCGACCTCGACAACTTGCGCACGTTCGAGTTCCACAGCCGGGTGCGGAACAGTCATAGACTGTCACCCCAAATATGGTTTCGGTGAGAGGACCTAAGAAACGACTGCACGTTTGCCGAGCGCAGTACACTCGATTGGGAATCCCAAATTCCCTGCTCTTCTCTTGGAATTGGGTCACAAGGTCATGTGAGAGGTGAGGTTGGACTTCGGGGAATGGGATATTTTGCCTACAGCAGCGAGGAGGGTACAGACTTTCATCACGCGTAGCGGACTGAATGAGGTCGGTGACGCATGGGATATCATAGTAATGTCCGCAAGGTGCTCGGATTTCGGATCCGTAAATCGGATCCTGGCAAATCACGCAGACGTGACCTGTTGGCCTGTGGAGTAGATTTCAGTGTTAGTGAGTGTGCGTATGACTACTCTAGCGAAGATGTCTGACCGTGCAGGTGTCGTGGCTGGTGGGTCTTGCTGGATGCGGATCACAGGAGTAGCGGGTGCGGCCGCACTCGCGCTCGTTTGGGGGGCCCCGAACAGTCCATTGAATACGGAAGCAATCCAATCACCCCATGTCTGCTTTCCGTTGGTACTGGTGGTGTGAACGACGTCAGCCGACGATCATCGTCGATAGACATGAATGCATACGCGTTATTTCCGGGTCTGGTGGGGTTCATTGGCCTAGTTGGAGTGTTCTGAGGCCTATTCGAAGAAAGATGGGCCTTATTGAGACCAAGTAACCATCCCTTCTGTACATACTCACTGAGGAGGATTCGGCCGACGAGGAATGCTCGCTTCTACCACAGGCTCGTCCTCAAGCTGGAGGTCTTGAGCCAACGCGAGAGCAAGTGCCCTATCCCCCTCAATAGCTTCCAAATCTCTCGCACCCTGTAGGAACATCCTCATAGCAATTTCGTGGTCTGTCATTTGTTGACCCTGGTGATTCCTACGATCGTAAAACTCTCGAAATTGATTGGTGCCATCGGGACCCAGCTGGGCCAAAATTCGAAGGAGGTCATCTTCGTATGTACTCTGTGGCCTGTTTGATGCCGTCGAACCTCTATTGCGGGGTTGGGATGGCCCCGCTATATTCATGGGTGGATAGAGTGTGTGGCAGAAGGGGGATGGAAATAATGGCTATGCGATTTACTGCAACTTGGCGCCCGTCAGATCTCACGCGCACGGGCCCACAGCAGAGCAGACACGTGTATCTCCTCTTCCGGTAGCATATCCCACTCAAATCCGAGTGATTGGGTAAGTATAACGGAATGGTCACTTGGACGGTACTCACATCGATAAGTGTGGCTACCGCAGTGAGCACAGACAACGGCCATAATAGCACGCCCGAACTGTCTCCTTTGAGAGTCCTCAGTCGACGACACGTGGATTCCGAAAATAGCAAGTATACATCCAAAAAGGGAATATTCCGTCGCCAACAGCAGCAGTTGGTCCGTGCGTGCACACGACGTATATAAGCCCTCGTCAGGCAAAGTGGTTTCTTCATACTTACCTTGATGGCACAAGCCCCTTCATGGACATGGGTCTGTGGGCCGTGGGGACCTTCCATTGCACGGCGACCCTGTCCCCAGAGGGTACCTGCAGTTTGTATGGGCTTTGGCTCATGCACCGTCGCAATATTTTCCTGTCCTGCCATGGCCACTCTGGCTGGGTAGGCCTCTCTTTTTTGCTGTTGCTCCTTCCCAACCCTAACCCTAGTGTTATCCTACATAGACATTATCACAACACTTGTCAACATATACACACCCTTCTAGAAGCATGCACAAGAACTGCTTCATTGAATTTGCATAGGAAAACGAAGCACATGGTTTCACTACTTTACCCACTAGTACTGTGGTGATCACTCAGCCGAAGCAAGGTCAAACATGCAGAGTTCGATGGGAGTCGGCAGTGATGTGCTTGAGCTGCGCCAACTCAGATCCTGAGGTCGATTGCATACTGCAGTCTCAGAAGAGGCATAGGGAATTCCACGATGCCTGCGCGCATTGGTTCAAAACGCAGCTGGACTTAATATTGATGGCAGTGACTCCGTTTTTCCTTTCGCAGGTCGACAAGGCAGTACACATGGCGCAAGTTGGACACGGTTGTCAGTCAACCTGCGGTCAGGTACCAGTCCACCCACGTTTCCGCAGTTGGTAGCCGCAGCCGCATCATCGCTCAGTGCTCAGCACGTATATCAAAGTTGGCATTCCTTCTATAGATAAAAGAGCCTTGCTTTTGTGGACTCATCCAAGTAAATACCCTCGTAGTTACGCCCACTGCTACTCCAGCTGGTCGCTTACAATGATCGTCACCTCGGAGAAGCTCCCTCAGACTCAAGTGTGCACAGAGGACGCAGGAGAAGCTCCGATCGAGGAGTCCCACCAACCTGCGGACACTCCCACCGGTGTAAGTGGATCTGTACTAATCCTTCACTATCAAGGTTGACGAGAAGGACTCGTAATTAGGACTCGAAAAACGATAAACTGGAAGACAATCCACCCGCCTACAACGATCATGCACAGGACACCATGATGCTCAGGGGTACACAATCTGCCGCAGACACACATTCCAAACCGAAGGGAAACCCCACGAATTACCTTTCCGTGGTCGGATCGCATAGCCCAATTAAAGGGACCTATGTCATTGATCCATCGATGCACGTTCCGTCGTCGTACCTCCCACCCCTCGGTGAAGGCGAGACAGAAGGAGATCGGAAGAATTTGCATTTACACACGCGCGATGGAAGCGTAGATGTCGATATTTGGTTGGTAGGCCGTCAACAGTACTCGGACATCCGTAAACGTCGGACGACATTGCACGTGAGTTCGAGAGACGGTTCCATTGCTATCAAAGTGGTGCGTGGCATAATCGATTCTTATGTTGTGGAGGAATAGATGACTAACGCATTGATATCCAGCATGCAATAGATGCTATCCAACCTTTTTTCCTGGATGTGTTCACCAGAGACGGACGAATAACTGTCCTATTGCCGCGTTCGTTCCACGGTCCCGTCGCACTCACATCTAGAGATGGGAGCTGTACACTCTCAGACGAGCTTCTCTGCAACAGCACACCCCTCGGCGTCGCAGACCACACGACCCGATTCTTTGTGGGGGATTTCTCCGCTGTGCCTGACTCCGCATCCCAGTGGGAAGGCTATGAATTGAAGGCGGAGACGAGAGACGGGAGGGTAAGAGTCAAGTACGTGGACGAGGACGGACAGTCGGGTCCCAAGCTTGGTCTTTTCAGCAGGATATTCTTCAAGTAGGGAGTTCCTAATTGGCGGGTGCGTCGATCATGGACTGTCATTCGAGATTCCGGCACTGTAATATATATATGTAAAGCATCGTTTGTGTGACTCGTTGATCCTTGCAGGTACTACGCACATGTATTCTTGGTTGCTTGTTCGTCTTATGCGCTATGTACCGTTTCCGATGAGGGTGTGCTTGTACATCATGAACTCGAATTCAGTACTTGTTGATTAACTACTATCAGTTCATGAGGAATGGTCGCGACTTATACTCAGAGACATTCCCAGAGTGCAAATTGATGTGTTCGTCGCACATACATAGGGCCCCAAATGATTAATAGAAAGGGTGTTCCAACCAGATGGGATACATAGCTGACAAAAGTCGAGAGAAAGGAAACAATAAAAGGCGTCTCCAACCAGGAAATTTTCACTGTTACATGACATCGTTTCGCGAACATACTCAAGGGGTAATCTAGGAGCAAGATCAATCAAAAAGTCCAGAGAACGGTGCACTGGAAACACGAAGACGGGGCACTCCGGATGACCTGTGAAGATACGCCCTCATATCTTTTTTTTCCGCCAGAATCGTTGACTCCAGTCCCCCGATACTAGCGGCAACATCGTTATGGACGTGAAAGAAGGTTACGGCGTCATACAAGACGGGCGTTCGGGGCACGCGGACTTGGATTGGAACGTAGTGCACTCACTCCACAGCAGGCGATGTGTACCTGGAGGAAAGGTGAGAAAGGAGGTATTGTATAGATAGGGTGAGATCTGTTGGGATAGACGATCAGTAGTCCATCAGAAGTGTATGCGTGTCCCTCGAGAGACTTTTCTTTCGGGACGAATGTCACATCTAACGCGTGAATGGCAGAATTGGAGTACAGAGACGTGTTGAACATACCACCGCATTTGGAAGCATCCGCCAGCTAGGTGACCATGGCTGCGAACACAGTGCATACTTAAGAGGGTCTTTGCACATCTGGACGTCCAGCTCGTTCGTAACCTCGCCATCGCCGTCCTTGTGACTAATGACATAGACGAGGGCAAATCGGAGCTCTGTCAAGTAGCACTCGTCGAACTCTCTACATCGACATGAAGTTCTTTGGAGGGGGTAACACTTCACCGAAGTTACTATGCAAAATCAAAACACGGTGTCTCAGAATTGTGCACACAACCACGCAAGTAAGAAGTAGCGCACAGATAGAAGACCTTGTTTAGAGTAACTTCTGATAGAAATGAAAGCAATATGTGGACTATTAGTCAACCAGGGAGTGATCGCTGCATGCCGGGTTCAATATTGGAGAGTTGCGTATGTTTGGCACCAACGGAACCGCCGTGGTTGGAAGGATATAACCTGGTTCATGGTAAGTGGTCGTGGATCAATTAGGTATATATGGGGCTATGTAAGTGCCTTTCCTTTACGGACAAACGCGATGATCTAACTGTGGACTCGTCGTCTGAACCTGTCAGGGCCCCAATCAATCGAGTAACCCTGTGTCCAAAGACAACGCTCACACACGCGGCGCAGATGGTGGCAGAAATGATTTAATAACGTGTAAGCAGCAGCGTCTGGGTGAGCGGAATACGCCGTTGCCGCATCCTATACCCGATTGTCCGCCTTCAATTTGCTTAGGTGTCGTGGACTATCATCGACATCGTGACCCTTCGTTGTGCGACGAGTTAGGGTTAACAGGGTTCTGATACGCTTCTTTCTTGCCGTCCATATCATTTCATGGCGAAGCGCCGGAGGAGCTGTACGCTCAGATGGGCAAAGCTCCTCCCTTGCATCGTGTTCGCCTTTGTGCTCACCCATTGGTTGTTCCAAACACGACATCCGAAGTCGCATGCCCAGCATGTCTCCGTACTCCAGTTCTGTCCTTCACGTGTTAAACATGACACCCATCCTCAAAAGGCCCTGGCTCTTGAGGGACACACATACACTTCCGATGGCCTGCTGATCGTTAATCCCAACGGACCTCACCCTATCTTCGAGCTTATGCGGGATGCGGAAGTTGAGTGGAGGAGAAAACTTGCGCGTGCAAGCAAGACGCTAGCGGAAGCTGTCGCGGAATACAGACGCCGATACGGCCGGGCGCCACCGCTGGGATTTGACAAGTGGTAAGAAATGTTTTTGCATTCCGGGACTACTCCCTTATTTTTCGTACAGGTGGGACTTCAGTCGTCAAGCACGACATCCAACTGCCAGATGAGTATGATGAGATATACAATGATATCGAGCCGTATTGGGGATTGGACCCAGCGGATGTTGCCAAGTCAATAGAAGAAGCAGAGATGCGTGATTCCATGTTTACACTTGCGAAAACATCGTCGAACCATGGGTTGGAGATCGTTTACTCGACATTCGCTGGAACCGACGACTCGTTTCGTGAGCGTACCACAGCCATCATTGATTTAACGCGGGAGTTTGGTAGCGACCTTCCACCTATGCGTATTCCATTTTATCCTCACGACACTCCCACTATGCATACGGATTGGAGAATCAAACAGATGGCCCTAGACGCCGCTAAGAGAGGAACAAGTGCGTACTTCTGATTGCGTAGACCAACTGAGTTCACAGCCCCTCGCTTCAGCGGTCAGGCAGTCTCAATTGCCACCCATCATAGAACGAGGCTGGAAAGAAGGCTGTCCACCTGATTCACCAGCATGGTTGAACCCTCCAAGTCTCCCATCTCACGATCCGTCCAGTCCTGTGATATCGGAATCCCCGAAAACACTTGTTGCGACCCACCAGCTAGCTATGGACCCATGCCAACATCCCAGTCTGTTAGTCACCCACGGGCAATTTCTCGCTCACGACCGGGGCCCCTATCCACAACACACCCTCGTCCCCTGTTTCTCCCATAGTGCGACACTCCTCCATCACGATATTCGACCCCCGATACCCTACGACTGGACGTCAGGTGAAGATGCAGAAGCTGCTGGGGACGTGCCGTGGCCCCAGAAAGTCGACGAACGTCTTGATTGGAGGGGTAGGACGACGGGTATATATGCGTCGCCGACTTCACTTTGGGTGCATGCTCACCGACAGCGGTTAGTTGCCCTAACGAATATGGTGGAGGGCAATGTTAGCATTTTGGATGTTCCCATGGATGCATCGGTCCCTGTGGGAGAACCAGTGCAGACGCCGGTGGCCCGAGTGAATCCGGCGTGGATGGATGTGGCATATGTGGACAAACCGCTTTCATGTGAGGAACGTGCCGGGACGTGTCAGATGTTTGAGAAGATGTTCGAGTTTCGGAGAGTGCAAAGCAGAAAGGAGGAGGGTCGATACAAATTCATAATCGATGTCAGTGTTGTCTTTCGGCCAAAAGCCCCCGCATGAGCTGACGGGATATCGTTGTTAGGTAGATGGGAATGGGTGGTCTGGGCGTTTCAAGAGACTCATAACAAGCAACGCGCTCATTTTCAAGGCAACTATATATCCGGAATGGTGCGTACAATAGCCGATACAATTCCTTCCTTTTGACCTCTCCTTCAGGTACACATCGCGCATTGCGGAGTGGGTGCACTATGTTCCGATCCAAGCTACGTACTCCGACTTGTACGACGCCGTAGCCTTCTTTCGCATCCATGACGACGCTGCCGCCAAGATCGCCGCAGCGGGTAAGGATTGGAGTCGACAATTCTGGCGGAAAGAAGATATGAGCGCATATCTTTACAGGTCAGTCGGAATGCTCTGTCTTCGCGTTCCTATTCCACCGTTCTACTGACATTTCTGATTGATCGTTCGATTTCTCGCTTCTAGATTGCTCCTTGAGTATGCTCGCGTGACGAGTCCTGACCGCGAATCGATGTCACATCAATACGGTTGAAAATTGAAACTTCCCTGGTTGGAAACGACCTCGCGAACCATCAAGCTGTATTCTCATGTCCATGTTCTACTTATCCTTTTCACTCGATCTTTGGCAGCCGTGTATCGGACCTGACTTGGGACACTTGTATTTATGCACGACTTGGACCTGTATGTGTATGTGTATGTATCAGTACGACGAACACACCAGTTTACGCGGCGTCTGGGAAGGTCCCCGAGTATAAAGCTACCCCCGTCATGGTCGACCACTGACAGTCTCAGTGACTCGTGCGACGTTATCCCGAATTTTCGGAGGCGAATGCCAGTAGCCGATCGTTTCTACTTTGATATGGCCATTCATCGCACGCTGTAATCCACCGAAGAGGACCGTTAATGCGAGGATGCAAGGGCTTAGGGTGATCTACATTTGGAACGGCAAGTAAAAACGTTGTGAACACTCAATGAGGTGCCGCTTCGTGCCCTTCTCCCTCGTCCTCTGCAGGTCTCAATTAACACTCGCATCGATAGCTTCTGCACCACCTGGCATAATTTCGGTTTTTCCCCGCATCAGAACCCAACCCCATACAGCCCAGGTCCCCCTTAGTCATGCCACAGTTGGATAACAGGCGCGCGCCAACTCAGGCCTCAGGGAGTCGCAAACCAACAGATTCTGTATTGGTGAACAATAGCGATGACCACACAATGCTAGATTCTCAAGGGTTAGAGCTCCTGTCGGATCTGTTGAAGGACAAATCTGAAAAACTAGAGCTGGAACAAGGGAGTGCAAAGGATGCTATAATCGTGTAAGTAAGATGACTTTTTCTCGTAGCATCTTCTCAGCCGCATATTTCAATTGCCAGGTTAATATTGGGCACACTTGGTGCTGGGAAAAGTTCGGTGAGCTCCTTGCGGAATATGTATTGCACGCTACTCAACCAGATGCAGTTCATCGACAAAGCCACGGAGAATACGGGTAGGGGCGTAGGACATGACCTCAGGTCTGGTACAAAAGAGGTTACATTCACCAAGGGGGTCGCCACTGATGGATCCAATGTGGTTCTGGTGGACACTCCAGGATTGGATACAACACAGTCCCCCGTCGCGATCTTGGGGAAAGTTTCCACCCTGCTTAACGAAGAGTAAGTGTCCCCTATGCTGCTTTTATGACTATTATGAACCCCCTCATGCGTCCGTTTAGATATGGAACAGGAACCAAGCCTTCGGTCGTTCTTTACTTTCAGCCTATATCACCAAACCGTGAGGTCTGGCGTCCACACAAGGTTATTAAGGAACTCCAAGTGCGGTGGGGGTGGGGGGAAGATGCCATGTCCAAGGTTTTCTTTGTTACTACAATGTGGGACGAAATGGAGGACTCGGAGGATGGCGAGGAGAGGCTGAAGGAGCTTGAGGATCGGGGGGCAATACCTACGAGGGTACCCGATGTTGAAGCATCTGAACACCCGAGCTTCTGCCATCGAATTACTTGATGTTATTGCACGATGGGCGAGTAAACAAGAAGAGATCCAGTCGCAAAGGGAAATCCAGGACATGGATCGGACAGGCATGAGAGATATTCATAATTGCGTGAGTATGATGAGCTGTTTCATGCTATCTTCTCAGTCATTCATTTTCATTGCCAGGCTGGTAGGGCAAACCGGTACTGGGAAGAGTTCGGTAAGCTTCTTGAGGAATATATACCACTTGACATTGCTCAGCCGCTGGATGTAGTTCATTGACAGTGTCACCGGGAACACAAGCGAGGGTGTTGAGGCATGACTTGACTCGCTGCACAAACGAGATCAAAGTCACCAAGGTGTGCAATTGATGGATTCAATGTGATGCTGGTAGATACTCCCTGGCTTCAATGATACTGAAGAACTTGTCTGAACTGGAGGTTTTGGAAATGATTTCAAACTGGCTGAATACGTAAGTATCTCCTATGTCTTTATCGTGTCCGCTACAATTTCACAAATTCATTAAGATACGAGACAAGGCCCATACTTTCGGCCATTCTTTATTTTCATCGCATATCGGACAACCGTGTATCATCGTCATCTGGGACCCCGACAAACAACCTTCGAATCCTTAAAACACTGTGCGGGAAAAACGTTATGACCAGAATTTCCTTGGTTACTACGATGTGGGATAAGGTGGAAAACAAGATTGGTGAGGGAGACGTTGACGGAGCTGAAGAAGACTCACTGGAAGATTTTTCTAAGGGATACAACGTGCAAGCATCTGAATACCAGGGATTCAACCATGCAGATAATTGAATCCATTTTGCAACAAACGATGGAGCAAGAAGCGTTCCAGTTGCAGGAAGAAACTTCGGGTATGAAGTTGGAACTATGGGAGACTACTGTTACGCGAGAATTGCGTTGTCACTTGGAAGACCTCGCAGAGAGGCGGAAGGAAATTGTTCGAAGAATTCGACAAGAGGGAAAGGGAACAGACCAGAGGGCTATGCAAGACATTTGGAAAGAATATGCCCAAGTTAAGGCTGGACTCAACTCTGCCTTGACCGAGGCGCGGAAATTGAGGACGATATACATATGCACGGCGTGGATTAGTGAGTCAATTACCCCTTCCTGTTCAGCCTCCTAAATTTCTTTCTTTTAGGCATCATATTTGCCAAAATGTTGGTGGATCGTTGGGCTGATCGTGGTTCGGACTTGGAGTGAGGGTTATGTTTTTCGATTTCTTTGCCACTCGAGTGTTGTGACCTTTGTTGCCACAAGTTAAGGCCGTGGTCCGGATTTCGGACTTACAGCTATATTTATGGACGTATGCAAGAATGCGTTGAGTACGTAGTTTTCATGCGGCGGAAATACCAAGGTAGGAGTCTAGGACCACATAAGCACGTTGGTGAGGACAATAATGCTTATTGTGTAGCACCTTGATTGGATCAATGAACCCGGTTGCGTCTGAAACCAGCACAGGGCGGGAACTCTTCGAGGCACTATGTATATAGTCATTTGCGTGTGTTGGGGAACACTATACTCCTAGGCCCTGGAGCTTGGTTCGTATAATACCACTTGCTTAGGTAAGCTACCCCGCGAGCCGCCACCACTTAAAGAACCTGGGATCGAGATCTGTTCATGCTAACTGGCGTGGAATCCAGCGGCTGGAACACTTATTATATGTATTCTACTATGGAGCCGCTTCGTTCGTCGCCCCCGGTGGGTCCTGGAGGCCGGGCCGGTCAGGCATCGCCAAGACCCAAGACGGTACTACGCTACGCAATTCGGACCGCGTTTCCTTTGGGAGATACTGAGAAATGGAAATGTTGAACGGACAAACTGTTCACCAGCTACATGTCTCGCGCCAATTCTGCTCAGCAAGTTTTCTTCACGCGCCACGTCTCCCTCGTTTCCGGAATTCTGCCGCAAATGTGATCGCATGAGTAATAGCTCGAATGACCGATGAGTCCTGTGTTTCCAGAAAATAGCCATGCTTCCTGGCTTGCTTAGTGACAAGTGCCCTTCTTCGCCAGTTTCTTGATCTTCTCTTCATGATGCTGTTTGACCACTGCTAAGAAGCACACAATAGATCCGACCAGGGTTCCATGGTGCTTCTATCCGATGCTGATATGCCTATGTGATAGGTGTGCAATAGTTTTTTCACCCCCCACGTGCCACACGCGAAGTTGGATGGTTTATCTGTGCCGATGGATGATAGACCTTCCTTCGCCACGGGTGAGCCATCATGCATCAAGGCCTCTACATATGCTCAATCGTCACACCTTTTCTTTGCAAATAATGCTATCTAATATCTGATATGTTACCTGCTTAGGGCATTTGGTATGTCCACCCTTGCGATCAGGATTGTGGCGGGTGTCAGCTTGCCCCCTCTCTGAGCTGTTTCGGACGTCGCATGTGTCGAACAGCGACGCTGACTAGGCGATGGTGTGTGACATATGTACCTACGCTTCATTCGTTCGTCGTAGGAACCGCAGGCATTACACAGGATCGTACCATCTCCGTGAGTAACTTAAGTTATCTTCTCCACCCGTGCTCGGACTAACAAGTGGTGTGATAGAAGTGAGTAGGTGTCTTCGCATTCCCATGATCCTGGGCACGGGTGGGCGTCTACAATCCACAACCAAACTACACCCCCTGTGACAGCTGGCTGCACTTAACTAGATTGTGGGAATGATGCATGATGCTTTAGGGCTGGATGAGATCTTTAGCTGGGATCTTCGGTACGTGTGCTTCTCGTAGTCGAAAACTGCGACCCTATCATCACGTCCATGGCACTCTTTACGAAACACGAAAACCTACTCCGCGGAGGATATCGCAGATGCGACTTCCAGGAATGGACCTCGCAGTTCATGAACACTTTGCGCCCAACAATTCCAAGAAATCAACTCCCATCTTTGCACTCGCCGCACGCACGGTCACACAGCACCCTCTTGCTCCGATGTGCGGTATTCTCATTTCCCTGCCCTTCACCTATCTGTGCTTTCAGGTGCAGAGCCAATCATACCTACCATTTGTGCCATTTACTTCCGCACCCCCGCTATTAAATTCCGTGCCATCACTGAACTGCGTACGCGCCGGTTTGCTTCCGTCGATCGCCGATCGATCGAATTAAAACTAGAGGTCCATAGGGGTATACCGAACGATGGTGTGAAGTATATACAATTGTGTTAGCTACCCAAACCTTGTTTGGCGTCACCTCTGTACCATGCAGTAGATACATACAAGCACGAAGGAAGGGGGAACAACTCGACTCCGGTGTCTGCTTTGAGGCAGAGGAAAGTCAGTGGTATATACGCAATATACGTACGTACATATGAACCCGATGAAAGGAAAGAATCCAGGAAATCCGAGAACGGTCGTGAAAAGTGGTATTTGGTGGATGGTAAAGACCGTGCTGATAGATAGTTTACTAGATTGTAAGGTATGATAGATAGACAACAATGGGGAAATGGAGAGATGCATAGAATAATGGAGTTGGGCGAATGGATTGATAAGGGGAGGACGGCTAGATAGGCTGAGCGATGTTGTTGCTCTAGGATCCGTTAATCCGCAAACGAGGGATAGAACTGTCAAGTGAGGGTCAAACCGAAACTGACCCAAACGACTCGCTCACTCACACTCATGCGCTGTCGTTCTTTCCCACTACGTCATTCGTCCCACTCTTACCCATCCCGTTTGCCTTTACCGCCTCCTCGACAACCCTCATACCTTCCAACACCTTCTCTTCCTCCAACCTTCTACCCACGACCTCTACTCCCACCGGTAACCCTTCCATCTTGCTTGCGTCATACACCCCATAAACCCCTTTCGCAACGAGACCCATTGCGGCATACTCGGGGGAGTTAAGGAAACCGGGAGGGAGAGCGTCGAGAGTAGATTGAACAGTGGTGATTGGGAGAACACCAGCTGTGTAATCGAGCTATGTACCAGCCGATCAAGAATCACACTCAGATGAAAAATGAAATAGTAAGGGGCGAAAAAGTGACCCACGATATTCCAAATTATCATGTTAGCGCAGCTGACCAACGTCACCTTCTCCGCCGTCCCTTTTGGTATCGCCGGACTTGGATGAGGAGCGCACACCAGGAAATCCCACTCATTGCTCTCCCACACTTCTCTCCATTTCGCTCGGTATTCCTCGCGCGCCACGACGAGTGCACGTTCTTGTGAGGGGGATTTGGCGTGCACCGACGTGAGCATGGCGTATTGGACAGGGTCTGATGTGAAGCGAGCGAGGAGGGATTTAAAGAAAAGTGGAAGAGAAAGCAGGGATTTTGTTGCTGTGAGAACTGGGTCGAGTCTTTCGTCTTTACGAACTGCGTTGAAGAAGTCGACACCACCGTCCGAGAAAGCGAGTTGGAAAGCGATCATGAGGCCCTCAAGTATCGAAGGTGGGGTGCTATCGGAATGGAAATTAGCAGGACCGCATCTACGCACGGAAGACTAATGGAGAGCGTGGGCTTACATGTCGATGACATCGTGACCTTGCCTTCGGAGTGCGTCGACCGTTATTTGGAGAGCACGTCGACATGCGGGCGTAGGTGGGGTGATACCTGCGAAACGATAGGGATCAAGAGACTGTCGAATCAAATATGGAAAAGGATATACCGTCATCCCATAAGACACCAAATCGCAATTTCCTCCCTCGTAAATTGACAGGTCTCCACGATAACGGTATACACTACATAACCCGAAGTCCGTCGTCAGTCTCTAGACCTGAGGTCCCTCCCCCCCGGACCGAAAAGGAAGCACGGACCGTATGATCATACTCCCACGGCTTCATAGCAATGACTCTCTTCCAAAACTCCTCCAAATCGTCTAAGCGTCTTGCCATGGGCGAACAGGACGTCTCCAGGCCCTCGAGGCCAGGCAGAGGTGGAACAGTGCCCCATGAGGGGAACCGACCAATCGACGATTTCATCCCATAAACACCGCACCAGTGTGCCGGCAATCTCGCGCTCCCGCCGATATCCGTTGCAATCTCGATCATGCTACCTCTCTGCGCGAGAAGTGCGCCGCCGCCGCCTGTCGATGCGCCAGACGAGTATTCAGAGTTGTACGGGTTGGACGTGCGGCCGAAGAGGTCGGAGGAGGTGTCAACGTTGAGGAGGCCCGGTGGAACGGTGGTCTTGACGTGAGTGAGCGCACCTGCGTCATGTAGGAGTCGGACGATGGCTGCGGAGGACGGAACCGGTTTGTTGGCACGGGAAGAGTAACCTACGGTGGTGTCGTATCCTTTAATGTCAATGCAATCTTTTATCGACACCGGGATGCCAGAAAGTAAATGTTTCTCTTCCAACAGTGAAGACTGGCTCGAGTCAACGTCTACGGTTGCGGGTAGAAGTAGCTGCGGTGCATTAGAGTGCAGAATGTCGGGTATCAGCACAGCAGCAATGCAATTGGATGCTTGCTGAGCTGCAACGACCTTCTTCCCGTACGCTTGTAAGATAGCAGGCGTCGATATCGAAGCGGACGCATGTGAGTGGGCGAGGTCTGAGAGCGACAAGTCAAGGATTTTATCGTCTTCTTCCGTGCACGCTTCGTTATATGAGGGTGGTAACGCATCAAACTGGCGCTGACGCTCTTGTTGTTTGGCCTGGCTGTTTGATACGGGTAAGCCTCGTCACCGGCATACGGACACACTCACCAATCGCGGCGGTGGGGAGAAGGACTGAGACTGAACCACATGGCAGCCTGGGGTGTGACGAGGACCTCAGGCAAACTGGAATATGCGAGCGTATATAAACATCCGATCAAGAGAAGATGCTTCCTGATTGGACAATGTCATCATGGGGGGTAGCGTGGTTGTCTCAATCGGGCATTTCTTCTCCGAGGTACGGGATCGCCATCAATCCCGTTTTGGAGTGACAGATTCCTCCGAAAATAGCGCGGACTAAAACACTACGCCACTACCCCACAGGATTTGATCTGATGAATAAGGACTGCATGCGGGTCTCTCTTGAGATAGTAACCCACATCAAGGTATGAGAAGGATAACAGAAATGAAGCATGCATGCGAGTGTGAACGCAGACAACAACCTACAACAATAAATACCTCTAACAAACTAACAGCCCAAAATGTTTATACGATCACTTCAGCGTCTCCTGTCAAACCCACCGACAACACTAGAACATACTCATGTATCAAGTTCCCATCAGATGTCATGCAAAAATGGTTTTAACAACAAGAATCACTCCGACCTGGTATGTACCTCGCTTCCGCTCGTCTAGGACTTAGCGACTTGTAGCTCGCCAGGTGAGTACTTGCACGGTCTCTCCATACTGACCAGCGTAGCTTAAGTACTAATGAATGAGTGAAATTTCACTTTAGAGTAGTATGTACCTAGTTAGCACTGATCACGCCGACGACCCCTCTCTGACTTTCCCATGTCCCGAATGTAACAGTTCGGGGACAGGCCGCCCATACGACGTAAGCATAGAGTCGAGGCCCTCTTATGAGCTCTCACCACAGAGTCAGCGAGCACCACATATGTAACCTGCATCAATCAATAGCACGCTGCCCGTAGTCCTGCAAGCACAGTAGCACCCGCTGTGTGCTCTGGTGCCAACGTTAGAACCAGAAACTTGGATTTGACCGGGCTTCGAGTGAGAGCGACATCCGGATGATATGCATGTCCTGAAAAGATTCGTAGGTCCACTGGCACAGTACGACATGACGTAGTGCCCCTGCATCTTACACGTTACCGGCAGGACGCCGCCGGTATGTCAGTGGTAGAGCTACTCACCTTGGACCTACCTTGAAGCTTGACCTCGGAACTCCGAGGATGGGCTAGAAGACGGAAGAACTGATTGCTTCCTTACGGTAGAAATACAAGGATCTTTCCGTTTGTGCGCAAGCTCTACAACCCAACAAGGCACGTTGAGGCAATGACTGGCAACCGATGATCTCAAATGAGCATTCGCACCGTCAAGTAACCAATTGCTCGTGATCGCAGTCAGCTCCTCATGCGTACCTTCGAGACACACGCACATAGTCTTGCCTGTCTGCATATTTGTCGCCGGTATCAGCATGGTTTGGCGAGCCGCACATATGCAAGTACCAAGAGGTGCCGAGTGACACATGGAGCGTACCTTAGATATGTCTCAATTGGGATAACTCGTATATACATACACGCTAACTTGAAACCCGTGCTGGGAAGGTGAAACAGCGGAGATTCGTAGGAAACTTCGTTAGTGGCGGGTTCATCGACTCTGTAAAAACTGGTGAGGAAAGCCTGCATGCGAATGTGGAGGTTTCATGTTGAAAGGTCCTGTCAGGGGAATGGCTAACTGACATTCGCGGACCATACTCCCCTTAACCTTCTTCAATATGCAGGCCCTAATCGCGAACCTACCAACGCTTGAGCTACGCACGATTCCAAGAAATGAAGATGAACTGATGGCACAGGTACCATATCATCACCTGTTGACATCGACAATCTAACGGGAAGTACCAGGTACGCATAGTGGTGGATGAGCATAGTAAAGTTGTTGGATGAGGGGTACATGATGCTAATGAAGTAGTCTTACATACCATTCTCTTCATTTCGTTGGGCGTGGCCAAACTACGAAAGCGTCACGGGGGTGAGCACGGAGGTGATAGTCAACAACTAGGTTGGGTTCTTCTTACGGTCGCGGTAATAGTCATGATACTACAGGATAGGGTCATCTTTGTGGTGGGATGGGGACCGGGGGCCTCAGCGACACAACAGAAGGCATACCGAACTCACCTAGTCCGAACTTAGTGCTCCATACCGCCCAGTGGTAACAACGTAAGGTGTACGAACGTGACCATATTGAGAAGCTTTTGCGTGCAGTGTCCGCCGAGTCAAAGCCTGTGAATAACATCCACAATGTCGAGAAGATGTGAGGTACCTTTGCAAACAATGTGAGAAGTAAATCTGCCCAGTTTATCACGAGACCCAAAGTTCCCGTAAGTTTTTTCCATTCTCCCCTCCGCTTTTGAGATTGTGATACAACTCTTGCTCGGGGAAACGGACGAGAAATGAAGATTCGTTACGAAATCTAGGGCGCTGTCGGTGAATGTGTCAAGACCCTAAGTGACTTGGTCCAGCAATACGGCATGACCGCACAGTTCGGAATACACATATTAATTTGCTGGATTTTTAGGCGATCGTGCACTGCACGTATGAAGACCTAGACTTCGGGGGCAAGGCTGACGCCGGTGATGCAGGCTTGAACAAGAAACGCTTGCATGGCACGAAGATGGCGATTTTGTAGTAGACAGCCACCAGTCCCAGTCGATGCCGTCCATATCTTGTGGCTTCGTGGGCAGGCTGGAAGGGGGAGATCTGTCGCCGCCCGCACGATTGCGTGATGGATCCAGGACGTCAAGGGACCTGGGACCCTTTTGCTTCGTGCAGACCGAACGCCGCGAGGAGAAGGAAGTGACGACCTATAGCGGTTAGGCGAGCATTAGCAGGTGCTCGTCCGCCAAGACTACTCTCCCAGGACGGCGCCTAACGTGATGCAACGGTGGCAGCAGCTCCAGCAAGTTAGGTGGAGGAGTGATAGTTAGGAAATGTGGTCATAGTGATCGATGTTTTAGGCGAGGGCGGGCCAGACGCATCACAGAATCAAATCCTGACACTTTTCACGTCGATTGAATTGCATAGGGTATGTTCTTGGTATGTTCCTATGAATTCTTTGCGGTGAGTTTCATTTCAAGTGGGACCTGCAAGTTGGAAAGTTCCCACACTACCGTCTAAGCAGCAAAGATCCCAGGAATGGGTGAACACCTATATACCCTCGTGGACATATATAAATGGTTTGCTCACAAGCATGTGTTGTATCAGGGGGAGCGGTGACCAGGAAGAACAAAAGAATGTAATTATACAATGCATGTAAATACAACCTTAACATACCGAGACCACAGATAGACCATACCTCTCTTAAATGCAAAGCATCAGCGTCTTCATGACATATCCATATCCTGATCGTACTGGTCCGCCACTGTCCGCTCAGCTTGGGGACGTCCCAAGCTATCATCCTCAACGTCGCTCCACGACGAAAACTCTTCTGCTGAAAGGTCAATGTCGGCAAAGTCAGCTAGTGCGGCATATTCTTCGGCATATGCAACCAATTCTTCCTCGGGGTCATGGTGGGTTAGATGCTGTGCATGCACGCTTGAAGGCGGTGCAGATATCAGAGATAGAGGAGGGGTTGAAGATGTGGACATTGCATGAGAGGACGTTCCTGAGTTAGGGACCGAGGCGGTAGATGTGGACGTCGACGGTGGTGGCTCCGCTATGCCAGGGAAAAAGAAGACAAGACCTAAGCAAGACGTCGCTGTATATGAGAGACATCGGGACGAACCTCTCAGCTCGCTCTCCCATACACTGACGTCCTCCAAGTCCGGGTCAAAGGATGACCCAACTTCGAGGGAGTAGCTTAGTCGAAAGGCATGTCTCGCGCGATGATTGGCGCTTTCCACGATTCGTCTGAACAACTATAAGCATGTCACGGGTCAGCAGTCGAGTCTGGAACACAGTCACAGAAAAATAGGGACCTCGTCTTGCAAAACATCCTCGTCCGTTTCCTCCGCGTCACAATCCATTTCATCGTCAAAGTACAATCCGGCATCGCTACTACCCATACTTCCCCTCCGCTCGCTCACGGCGCGTTGTCTTGCTTTCCTTGCGTGCTCACGACATCGCGCCTGGAACCGCTCTCGCAGAAATGATTTTGTCGGATCCTATAGCATTATCAGGACGGAAAGTCACTAGCCTCGCACGACGAACGACAGCTGGTGCTTACAGTTGAGCAATCCAACTGACCCACATTTGCAGTCGAAAACAACCTTCTCGATACGGATGAGGATTCTGGCGTCCTGTAAGAGAGAAGGCTCTTGTATTGTCCCTTTCTCCGCTCTTGTGCAGAAGCTGTGGGCGAAGACATTTGCATAGGCGGAGACGAGCCCACTGGTGGTGATGAGCTACGCTGGACGAGCGGTGAGGAGTGACGGGGTTGGAAGCCCTTGGCGGTCGCCGCTGCACGGGATGACGAGCGTGTGGGTGTGCTAGGCGGGTAGCTAGCGTGCACTGGACTATAGAACCCATCTGAACTGTGTGCGCTGTAGCTGGACAACATGGATGGTGTTTTTCTTTTCCAAGACGTGGTTTCCGACGACGAGACGCGGTCGCGTAGGACATAAATGAATGTAGGCTCCAATTCAATTCAACGGGTGCCGCGTCTTGTTGGTGTCTGTTTACGCGTCTGTAATGGACTATAATAGACTCAGAATTCCGAAGGGCGACAGACATTTACTGAAGCAGGTCTGAGCTCAGGTTGACAACGCTGAGGGAAATCGCCTGCGTACAAATTCAAAAAAGACCATTGAATGGGAGAGGCAAGGGGCACATGAGTAAGGCAAAAGATAAAAACACCATACTCAGGTGACTGGTGACCCATCCACCCTATCGTCACCTCAGTTACATCCTACGTAGTCAGCACTTCAGCGCTCAGATTTTTCCTGTCTCACATAAACTTGTGCTCAATCTCCCAACGAGTTGTGTACTGCCATAAACTATATCATACACATCAGGACCGATAAAATAACAGTTAATACCATGTACGAGGCCAACGTAATCTGACAATTCTTGTTCGTGTCTTAACCGGCGTTTTGAGTATAATTGGTCGCAGCGACGCTATAGATATACACTGTTTAGATGTGCCCGAAGAGATTAAGACACAACGAAAGCTCATTCAAAACAGCGCACCTTTGACACGAGCCACTAAGCTACAGACTCATCACCCCATTTGTCGTCGTCTCAACGCCAGGTAAGCCCTGGGTCGAGGCAAACGCACTCGGATGGGATAGCGGAGGAAATGAAGCTACTGCCCTCCCGGCGACAGATGGGTCTCGAAGATTCAGCATCAACCTACTGATCATCGTCGCTGAAATTCTGAGCGTGTACCAAACGCGCCGTTACGATCATAAACACCACCAGCATGATGTCGAGTATGAGAAACCTACATGTTGGTGAAGCTGGGAGCGATGTTTTTTACATTATCCTGTCCGGCAACGATCAAGACACCCTTGGACAATAAACATACGAAGTGTCGTGACCTACATTTACCACCTAAGTTCAGCTATGTCGATAAGGTGTCTAGAGAAAGTGTCATTCTGGAACTCACTAAAAGCATAATGATGTTCCCTAAGTTCGCGATGGACATCACTCTATCCACCCTGTCAGCACGCGCATACGACGTCTCATTCCGGAACGCACGCAAAATATAGGCAGCCTAATCATCCACGCATCAAGATCGTATTTTTGAGGAAAATCACCAAGGACAGACGCACCATCCCGCAATAAAACATCTGATATGCTTCTCTTTCCTGGTGTCCGGGAAGATACCGATCTCCAAAGTGTCAGTCCAAAGACGATCATGTCAAAAAGCAACTGCCCGCTCCATGCGGCTGCCAAATCTACAAGATGAGTCACAACGTTGCGTCGTTCAAGATGTGGTCAGATAGGAATTGTCGTCGGAAATCGTCATTCGTACAAGGCAAGTAGAATCACGTACATAATCCCCTATCGCACATCAGTGTTTCAATACCAGATGGATCCACGACACACATAGAGCAAGGACTTACTGGTCGAAGGTAAGAAGCCCCTTTCCAGGACAACCGATCAGAAACTCCAGTGTCGGGACCGCAGGCGGAGAAAAGGGTAATGAAGACACAGCCCACTTTCCGTCCACGCGCGTCATCAGCCAATCATCGATGAAAACAATCCAACGATCGGTATCGAGCAGAGCAGACTCACAGCGCCTACAAGAATCCCACAAGCCCCAAAAAATACGAGCATAGCCAATACGCATCGACTCCTTTCGTATAGAGCATATACGCGCATGATCATGACGACTGCGAAGGTTCATTGATGGTGATAAAATGAGGAAGAGCATATGTGCACGGCGGAACATACGTACTTCCACCGACCGCCTGAACGACGATGGCTAACCATCCATTGTATAGGAGCAGAGGATTACACCTGCGAATGTCATCTGAATTCATCATGAATCTGCAACATGACAAAGTGTTCTCACCACTACATCGATATGAGCAGACAAACCAAAAGAGATTGAGCCATAAGTGAAGGACGCAACGCCACAAACCACGCACACTATAGTTCGAACCAACACCTGGAGACCAAAAAATATAAACCGCCAACGGGACATGGCCTAGAACGATAAGGTATCGATTGGCAATAAAAAGCACAAACGGCCATGACCATCGAGGTAGTTTCCAGAATAACTCAATTTCTCTGCCGAGTGTGAGCGCGTAGTCGTAATAGAGGAGCGCTGTGCGAGGGTGGTGAGCGCCGTAGGCTGAGTGTGGGGGGACGCATTGTGGGGAGGAAGCTCGAAAGGCGAGAATGGGATGGGATAGCTTACAGAATTGAACGACGAAGAGAGTTGTCACGATGTCCCTGGTATTTAGGAAATCATCAGCCTCCCGTGAAGATGTGCTAGAGAGTAAATATTTCAATGGTGAAAGACGAGACTCACAGCGACATTGGAACTGTGACAATGCCAACGGGATCGTCAGAGTCGCCAGGAAGCCAGACTGGACACGATAAGTAACGCAAAAACCGAGGCGAGCCGACCTATCAGGGCGCCCACATTAATCACATCACATTGTCACGATAATATATTCGAAGTTGGTCCTCTCGACGCCGGTTGCTGTACGCTTTTCATTGTGCCATCATTAGGTAAAAGATGTGCTTCTTGCCGTCGACCAGGATATTTATGTAGGTCGATACAGCCATCCGAAGTACCTGGAATCGTTCGGTTGGGCGTAGTGAGACGAGGTATCATGCTGGTACCCAATCGTCTATTCACAGCATCCTCGGTAGACCTTTTCCTCCGTCCAGCCTTAGTGCAACTCGAAGTAGTTCAAGTCCAGTACCGTCGAGTCGCGCAAGTCCATCAGAACTAAGTCGCTGATAAAAATCCGGTGCTCAGTTTCACCTCTGATTATGGATGACCAGTGATTGGGTGATGGAAGGGTCAAAAATGGTGGGCGCACTACGTCAGGTTTTGCACCGCATGTATGAGGAGCCGGATCTCGAGGGCAGTGCAGCTTGAACACGATTAAGGAATGCCTGGACGGCACGAGGATGGAGACTTTTGTCCCAGATAGTCACCAGCTCCACAGTCGATGCCACTCGCGTCTTGTGGCTTCGCCGCTTCACGGGAAGGCTGGAAGGAGGAAATCTGTCGTCGCTCATACGGTTACGTGTGGTGGATCCAGGACGTCGGGGAACCTGGGTCTTGCTTTCACTTTGCGAGTGATTGGCAAGGAGAACGCCGCGAGCAGACAGCGACGACCTATCTGAATGTTTAGGCAGGCATTAGCAGATGCTCGCCTCTCAGGACTACCCTTCTGACGTGATGTAACAGTGGCAGCAGCTTCGGCAAGTTGGGTGGAGTGATAAGTTGATGCTAAATCACCGAAATCATGTCCTCACGTCACTTCTCACGTCGACTGAATTGGGGATCTTGCTGCCAGTGAGAATTAATTCAAGTCCATCTATAGGTTTGCAAGTTCCTACATCAGCATGCAAACTATCAAGTCAGTGCAAGTCATCACAGCTGCGCTGGTTGGTGCCTTTCTTTTGCAAGACATGACTCTCAGAGTAGCGCGTCTTGTTGGCGTCTGCTTATGTGTCCGTGTCCAAGAGGGACTATGTGATTTGTCTAAGTGAGGGAGACTAACTAGCCGGTCTGAACTCAGGTTGGCAACGTCAAGGGAAAGTGCCCGTGTACAACCCCCACAAAAGCATTGGATGGGAGACCAATCGTTGCCTCAGCTGCATCATATGTGTGGTACATCGTCAGTGCTCAACGTTGCAACACTTGGCATCGTGCTTTTCTTACACATATCTACACTCAATCCCCCAGTGAGTTATTGTCACAGACCATATTAAACACACCAAGACTGACAAAATAACAGCTAACCCCAAGATAATCTTGTCAGTGACATACATAAACGGCGTTTAGAGTGTAATTAGTTGCAGTGATGTCATGGACATGCATATGTGCACTATAGTTTGACCCGTAAGCAATAGAACACGACGAACGCTCATTCAAGACAACGCACCTTTGACACGAGCCACTAAGCTACGGACTCATGGCTCTGTCGTCGTCGTCTCTGTGCCAGGTAAACCCCGTGTCGTGGCAAACGCACTCGGATGTGATAACGGAGGAAATGCAGCCACGGCCGGCCCGGCCATGGATGGATCTCGAAGGTTCAGCATCAACCTACTGATCATCGTCGCTGAAATTCTGAGCGCGCACCAAACGCGCCGTTAAGATCATAAACTACACCAGCTGGATGTCAAGTACGGAGTGACCTACATGCTGGTGAAGCTGTCTGCAATGTTTTTCACGTTGTCCTATTTGAGAGTGGTCAAGACACCTTTTAACGATATATGTATGAAGTGTAGTGACTTACATTTGCCACCTAAGCACAGCTATGTCGATAAAATGTCTAGAGAAAGTGCGATTCCTGGACTCACCAAAAGTGCAATGATATTCCCAAGGTTCGCAGCGGACATCACTCTATCCACCCTGTCAGCATGCGCACACGACGACTCGTTCCGGAAACGCACGCAAAATATAGGCAACCTGATCGTCCACGCATCAAAATCATATTTTGAGGCGGATATCCAAGGATGGACGCACCATCCCGTAATAATACATCTGTTATGCTTCTTCTCCCTGGTGTCCGAGAATACACCGATCTCCAAAGCGTTAGTCCAAAGACGAGGGCATCAAAGAGCAACTGTCCGCTCCATGCCGCTGCCACATCTACAAGATAGGTAGGTCAAGCCACTATAAACCATAAGCGAGGACACACACGTACACCATAGTTTGTATCGTTTGTAGACCAAAACAAGTAAATCGACATTGGGACGCGGCCTAGAACAGTAAGGTATCGATTGGCAATGAAAAGCACAAATGGCCATGATCGTCGAGGTCGTTTCCAAAATAAATCAATTTCTCTGCTGAATGTGAGTGCGTAGTCGTAATAGAGGAACGCTGTGCGAAGGTGGCGAGTGCCGTAGGTAGGTTGAGTGGGGACACATTAAGGCAGGAACGGCAATGGCATGCATGGGATAGCTTACAGAATTGAACGGCGTAGAGGGATGTCGCGATGTCTCTGGCGTTTAGGAAATCGTCAGCCTCCCGTGAACATGTGCTAGAGAGTCAAATACATGAATAGCGAAAGGAGAGACTCACAGCGACATTTGAACTGTGAATATGTTTCAAAGGTGCCAACGGGACCCTCAAAGTCGTTAGATCTGAGCCAGACTGGACAGCGATAAGTCATACTGCATAAATAATAGGTATCCATACGCATCGCAAAGAGCGAGGCGAACCAACCCTATCGGGGCACCCACATCAATCACATCAAATTGTTGTGATAAACATACTCAAGTGAGTCCTCGCCATCATTAGGTAACAAAGATGTGCTTCTTGGGCGCAGATAGAGTGCAGCAAGTTATTTAGGTTGATACAGCCATCTGCGGCACCTTTGGCAGCGTGCTGCAAATATTGTTGGCGTACTAGTGAGCCGAGCCATCACTAGAATCACTGGGGTACCTACCCAAACGTATATTCACAGCATCCTTAGCACAACTCGACGTAGTCTATGACAAGTTCGACTTACAGAACGCATTGCCTGGTACAGTATAATGTGATGGCAAAACCGGTGCTCTCTGTTTGACGGGTTTCACATGCGGTCACCGCTTGGGCGATGGGAATTCCAGGGTGCGGAGCAGTCCCAAACGCCGCGTGATTTCAAAATAAATAAATAAATCTAAATCTAAATTTTTTCAACATCACGAGTGTTTGATGTCATGCATTTCCGCAATCCCATATCTACCATTCCTTCCGAGAATCCGACGTCTTTGGATTGCTCTGTTTCCTTACGGTCATGACCGATCAACGTTCCCTTGCTGCACTGACACTGACAGTTGATGTTGTCCGCGAGGATGATCGTACGTCGTTAAGTTATGCTACATTGAGGGAGAGTTATATTTTTGCCGGGTTTGCTCATAGTAGGAGCTCTCCACGAGATCGTCTTCAAGGCGGGATGATGATCGCTGTTGCAAGTTCGTTGAAGGAGTTTATTGAACAGTTCCAGTTCCTTACACGAGTTGACTTGTTGTCAATCTGTGATCGGCATTGCATTGCCATGGTCAGTCATTTATGTTTGCAGGGACTGCGAGACGTCTTTGCTGTAATCAGCATTACTTCCCTAACAAGATTTTTTTGCAAAGGTCAAACCAAATACGTTTTCATCCCAAATAAAGTAGTATACGCCAGCCGGGCAATCCAGGATGCAGCAAGGTTGGTCGTGAGTCAGTGTTCTGCCGGTCAGGGAACGTTCATCGCAGTCACTGCACATTCACTGGTAAACTTTCCCACAAACGCAAGTGAACTGAATGTTTGCAATGCCAGAAGTCACGGCTCAAGTGTGCGTGAACATATTAGATACCAAAGCCCTCCAGGCGCTCCTGGACGCATATGGTCAAAGCACGAAATCAATTTTCTAACTATTTCAAACAATAGTGGTGCTCAAGGTGGCTTTGGAAGCACTCTGGAAGTGCTCTGGAAGTGGCAAATTTGAGAGCAATGCCATGGTGGAGTTTGAAAACTATGCCTCCCTATTGATGACACCCTTGATGGTCTGCTCACCTGCAGTCACTCTTATCAAAACCCATGGCTTCATTGAGTGGACAAGCTCATTGAGGAAGGCCTTCTGTAACTGCAACTACTGGTGGTGGATTGTCCTCACAAGTACCTGGGAGTGGGAGTAAAGGGAAGGGCCCAGCATCCAACAAGCAGCTGGTGGCTGACTCCTTGATGGAAAGTACCCAGCTGAAAAACATCAATTGGGATACTCCTTGTACTGAAATACTTGTCCAGTGGCTTCTTAGCCATCCTGCTAACTGCAGGATTCTTTTCAGCAACATAAACTCAGGTGACTTACCCCCATCATTATCATCTACTTTGACTGAGAGACCAGTGGGCCACAACAAGAAGGAGGTCCAAGTGATGATCACCCGAGCTGTTTTTGAGGATGACAGTGTCTACAAGGACATGTACACAGTGAGTGCTGCCAAGTTTCAGGTCAGTGTGGGCAACTGTCTCAATATGTGAGTCTCTGATCATCTGATAAACCCAGGATTCACTAATGATCATCTAGGCTGAAAGTGAGCTATTGAAAGTGCTGTGTGTGATTCAAACAGTCAGGGGAAGGCATCATTCCTGGCCATCCAAAATTTGCCAACCTTCATGGTATGTTACATGACTGATGTACAAGAATGCAGGGGCTTATGTGTACATACAGATGTCATTCTCAACAGTTTTCCTTGGTATGATGACTTACATTCCATTTGGCAGGGGAACCCATTGTTTGATCCCAAGCCCTTCAACTCCAAGCCAAACAAAAACCATGCAGAGGGCTTCTTAGTGGTTATCCAAAACAAGACACTTGGTATGAAGAATGTTTTGGGTTCCAGGGCTGAGATCACAGGTGATTGCATGGGTGTGGGGGGGACAGTGGGGGAACTTGAGGAAGCTGAGGAGGACATTGGAACAGTGTGGAACTGTGTCCCTGTGTCCTGTCATGTTCATTCTTGTACAGTGTTTTTCCCAACCTAACGTCTCTACTGCCACTCCATGCCCACACCTTGTCCCTGCTGACAAATCATCTATGGCTGTGTCCTACACCCCTGTCCTGCCTCCCCTACTCCATGTGCCCCCCTTTAAACATGACAATGTCCTCATCATCTGTTGGCTTGCCACCCAACTCTTCCTGCATGCTGTCTGTTCTTCCCCATTTGACTGCTCCCAATGCTGCCTCTTCCTCTCTTCCAGGTGACTAAGATGGAATTGGAGTTGGAGGCAAAGAAACTTGACATCCAGCTGATGAAGGCCCAGGAGATCACCTTCAACAGCAAGGCAGAGACACTTTGCCTCAAAATTGAGCTTGTGAAACTCATGAAGGCTGATTCAGATGCAACCCCTCCCACTGCATAGGTTTATCTTGTCATGGCCAAGTTTTTACCCACACTTCCCCACTGTATCCATCTCTGGCATGTTTCCCACTATGTACTTGTGTCATATTCATGTTTCTGCTATTCTCTCACAAGATGTACATATGGTGAATGTATTTTTTTCATCTTGCTAATACTACTGTCTCCCACAACTGCCATTAATGGGTTCATTCCTGTCCAAGATGTTGAAACAACTGATCCAATAGCTTCACTCGAAATCACTGACCAATAGTCTCCACAGCCTCCACCACAGCAATTCCATCCCCATCATCAAGGCCACTTCCTTCATTGACTGCCCAGTCAGTTGAATGCTCAATCATATCATCCATTTCCTCCTCAAACCAGATGATCATGTGTGTAGGATGATGCAACAAAGCACCCAGTAAACTGTGACTTTCATATCTTTCTCTGTCCAGATTTTCAGGTGCACTTCACAGAGGCTTTGAAAGCACCCTTTCAATGTGACAAATGGATGTTCAACTCATATGCAGATCTTCCAAAGCTGTCAGCCCATGTACTGTGGCAAGACTAGGTGCATACCTTTGAAAGGTACTTGTTATACACATTCTGATCTTGAGATAATCTCCCACCTTTAGGTTTTTCAAAGGGGACAACACACCATGTCTCCGATGGGTATGCACTGTCCACCCACATCCAATGATCACGTGGAATCAACTGCATAGGGTTTGAAGTGATGCAAGTCCCCTGGAAGGCCCACACATCATGGATGCTTCCTGGATGTCCAAGTCCATAGTCCATGACAAGAAGATTGTGTGGCAAAACAATAAGCTATCTCAGTAAGTTTCTTCTGCTGTTCACACTCAGTGTTTGAGTACACACCTGGCAGTTCAATGAGTACCTAGATTTTCTATCATAGAATGTTTCCCCAAAGATACGTGGTTTCTCAAAGAGGGGAATACTCAAACCATCAGCAGTGAACATGCCATTCCTCCAGGCTGAACAGGTGCATGACTCAGTGAAAACCCACACTCTTTCCATCTCCTGCAAGTCTTCAGATGGAATATTGATGAATCTATCATGCTCATCCAGTATAGCTACCATCACATGGTTTGTACAATTGACAACTGAGCCAATGCTAACACTGGCCCACTGCACTACATCCTCAGGCAACACTGCATTTCCATAATGCCCTGCATGGAAAAGGAAGATCGCCAACTGGACTGCAACTGCCAGCTGATGGTTTTTGGAATTGCTTTGGAGTATCACATGTCCACTAATCTGATCCAGAATGCAATCAAAAATTGGTGGGTCTACATGAAGGCACTTTCAAAGCAGGTGGGGCCAATGATCTGCGAAATGTTCAAGGAGGCACAGCTGAGATGCCTGCATCATTGGCATCTCAGGTCTCTCAAGGATACATGCATGCTCTACTTCATCTCTGAGAGCCATGATTGTGTTTAGCAGCTGAGCATAATGCCCATCGCACTCAGCTGTGGAGTCTGTGTCATCAGAGGTGCTGGATTCAAAATCTGACAGGATTGGAGTGACTGGCGATGGCAGAGTGATGAAGAAGAGAGTTGTGGGGGAGCTGGAGCCTGAACTCAATGATGTTGACATAGATTCCAAGCTGCTACCATCAACTCCACATCATGCTTTTTCAAGCCTTGTGTTATGCCCAAGCACAGTGACTTCTTCAAATGGAATAGGCATGAAGCACGTGAGGGGGAGTCTGCAGGCTGAATGTGTTGTAACCCCTATGGCTCAGTTATTGCTGAAGTCCGACAGTGGTTCACTCTTCTGGTGATCTGCTAGGGTAGTCACATGGAGAGGGAACAAGGATGAGAGCAAAGGGATGAAGCTGAGTTGCAAGCTATTGAAAAACTGAGGATACAAGGTATGGTACATAGGTTTATATACCCCTAAGTATGAGTACTGTACCAGTTGCGTCAGACACATTGCGACGCATATCCACAGTTAATCAACAAAACAATCAGACAAACACATAAGTTAAGAGGAGTCATATAGTGTCATATGATGGGGGTAGTCAGGGGAACAAAGGCTATACTGGCTGTGCAATCAATGCACAGCAATGAGCCAGACACTGGAACTATAATACAACATATAAGCAATATAAACAAGTCAGAAACGAGTCAATGGAACAAGAAGGAGACAAGTCATCCATCAGAGAGGGCAGTGGAATGCTGGATCACAGGGAGGCTATGGTCTCGACAGGTATTGGAAATACCATGACAGCAGGAGATCCAAAAGAGCCTTGCAGCATCCAAACCCCTAGGATGGCAATGATTATGAGGGATATGACAAGGCACATGATGCATGTGACTGCAAGGAGTCAAAAAAGGAAAGACCCCTGATGCGAGCATAACACCTTGCTATCACAACATGAAGGCTAGTCTTGTCCAGCTTTTTGGAGGATGACAAGCTGCAGGATTGTCAAGTCTATGGAGAGGAATATACTCAGACTTCAAGTTGGTTGAAGCTAAACAATTAACTACCTATGGAGAGGAATATACTGTAGGTAGGTAAGTAAGTGTTCCAATATAATGAATGGAAGGAGTCCCACCTCAGACTTCAAGTTGGTTGAAGCTGAGGTGCAGTAAGGAAAAAACAAACTGCTAAGTGTCCGCTTTTGGATTATGTAATGCTGTGCTCAGGTGAACCACAACTAAGGTAAAAGTGATAAACTCCAACACAGCTGTTTGAGCAGATCTTGGTGGACAGATTTCATGGGCATCTGGTAGCTCTTGGATGATGGGTAGATGTTTATTGATCATGTACAATGCATTAATACAAGTTTGATATGTTATTTGACATGTATCTTCCAGGATAAGTAACTACCATGTATTGCTAGTCAAGCAGTGCTACAGGGCCTGGCACATCAGAGTCAAATTTTATAGCAGCAGCAGTGTGATTCCAGAGCACTTCCAAAGTCACCTTGAGTGCCACTATTGATGGAGGTTCCAAAGAGATATTGTGATTTTTCTCTCAGACAGTGTGCATCACACCAATGGCTCAATATCTCTGAATTTTCAGACATTTTCTAGTCTTCTTGGCTTAGATATATCATCACTTAGTTGTCTCAATAGATTCTGTTCTCTTTTCATTCTTCAAAATGCTGTATATGGTCAAAAAAAAGTACAGATAGTAGGTTCCTTCCCAAAAAGTCACAAATAGTCACAATAGTCACAAAAAAGTCAAAAAAAGTCACAAAAAGGCCAAAAATAGTAAAGTGTTAATTTCCTGATGACCATAATGATTTGCAAGCTGCATGAACCTGCCACTGAAAATGACAAGCAAGGCAAGATTGTCAAACAAGTCCCTCTCATGACAAGTTGGGATAGTCAAAAATGGTGTGGAGAGTCAAAACTAATAGTACAGATGATCAGAAAATAGTAGTATGGATAGTTAACATTGAAATTGAAACTACTAGAAATAGTTCTGGTGGCTATCTAGACATTTTTGACTCTCTGTGCATGTAAAAGTACGGACAGGCAAGGATAGACATTGGTTAATTTTCTGAGGTGAATCGTAAAATGGACAGAAAATTGAATGTGGATAATGGGCTATGGGCATCACAGGTTGAGAGAACATGAACATTTTGGGATCGCGGAGGTTGAGCATGAGACGAGAAATCATAATTGAGGAAATACTGTCATCACAAGAATGGGTGAGAATGAGCAATGCAAAGAGTAGAGAGGTGGGAAGGGGAGGATACGTTAGGTATGGTAAGGATGGGGCTGGGAGAAGTCTCACACGCTGGTAAACCCGGCAAGGAGCGATTTCGTTGGTGACTGATGAGCGGTAAGGACAAATTGGCAGGTCAAACCTGTAGCTAAAGAGGACACACCGTGGTGCCTACCTAGACAAGAAAAAGTTCAGAATAAGTGAAAGGCGATGCAGTGCAGCACATTACCAGAAAGGCAGCGATATTCGCGACATTGGCGCTGGTCATAAGTCTATCCGCATAGGTAGATCGGCACTAATCCATAACCAATTCGGCAAGAAACGACACAATACGCACCCGAAATACAATACACCTGTGCATGACGAACGACAAACAATCAGCATGCGTACATACAGGTCGAGAGACCGAAAGGGACGGACAATCGGACATTCATAGCACTCACCATCACGTATGATGACATCCGATAGTGTACGACGACCTAATCTTCCGATATGCAATGTTCTCCATAAGGTAAGTACGAACACGATGGCGTCGAACACCATCTGGCCGCTCCACGCAATCGCCATATCTGTGGATGCCATGAAGTGTATAATTTCCAAGGACAACAATGCGACGAACATTCAGCCCTGCCAACCGGGTGGCGAACTCATTTGTGGTGTCGAAAGGGGAAGCAGAGAGACCCACTGATCATAGGTAATGGGGACATTACATCCATAACGCAACGCAGGGGTTGGTACAGCCGGAGACGTATTCAGACGAGGGTGACAGAATAGCCCACTGACCATATCATCCAACATCGCCCATGAGGATATGAAATCATGATTATCATGGGTAGCTATGACGACAGGCATCACACTTACGCAGGCTATCCCAATGGCAGCCAGAGCAATCGAAACCAGGAAGACGAGCACTCTCCTGCTTTTCTGGTACAGAGCGTACACCCGAATGATCATGATGACTGGTCGCAATGTGAGGCACTGCCCTTGATGGAGTATGACACCGACCTGCTCCCACGATCTGTACAATTAGGATTGTGATTTGCTCGTAGACACCAGCCGCTTTGCAGCTACGGGAGGACATATTAGTTGCATGTAACACTTCCGATGAGCAGTCACTGACAACTGAGAGCACGGAATTATTCCGCATTAGACATCCACGAAAGACAAAGGTATCATGGTCACATACAGTACCATCTTGTACCCAACTTCGTGGCCAGAACGTACCCACCATTACAGGCATACGAGCCAAAATGGTGAGATAACGATTGGTGACAAAGAGTGCGAACATCCATGACCTGCGGGGTTTCGTCCAAAAGAAATCCACTTCTCTCCTCCATGTCAGTAGATAGTCATAACACAATATCACTGTGAGACAAGCGTGTGATCGTGACGTTGGTCATGTACAAACGGACACTCACTGCTTGCTACCAAGTCCGATACAGTGTGACTGTCGGATATGAGTGAATGTTCATATGTCGGGAAAGGTGATTGATCAAGCTCACAGTTGAAGGGGCATGAGAGTAGGCATGCGGCTGTTGAACCTTGAGAGTCAGAGAAGCTCATAGAATATATAAGATACGGCGCCGTGCATAGACCGCTGACCATTGCTTCCAGACCTTGGCGGGAAACTGTTCACATCATGATTCAGGGGATATAATTAACACCGGTATATACAACGGTGCCACCCAATATAATTTCACTTCCCCTCTTGCCGTTCATTGCCTGACATACGCACCCATATTCGTATTCGTATCAGATTGGGGAGAAATCAGAAAGACTGCGCCCACCTCGTTTGTTTCATTGATGCTAGACCAAACTTGTCGAGTTTGCTTGTCTGCAACTGTAGTTACTGTGGGACCGTCCCAAAAGAAGGGTTTTGCTGATGTCTACCTTACTGATCTGTATCTAATATGTTTGCACACTTCGGACAGACCTCGCGAGGTGAATGGCTTCGGGCGCAGTTCGTCCCAGTTCGAACGTGTCGAAGTGGGTCCTCGAAGTTGCCACTCCGGGCTCGAACTGAGTTCGGTTCGACAGCAACACTGACTCCCACCATATATCAGCGTGTTCCGCCTTCGGTGTTCGGAAATCCCCTCTCTCGACGACTCCTTGCAGCTGGAGTAACATGCTGGACCCGAAGTCTCATGAAGGATCTGGAGAGCGAACTCTTCAACTATACTACTGGGCGTTTCCTGCAAGTCTCTTACATCTTGTCTCGTCTGTGTCTAATTCATAATGTGACGTACTCAGTGCCAACGACGCCCTTCGCCTCCGAGAGCGTAGGCGCATCTTCGACATCCCCGGACTCTTTAAAATCATTGCTGAGGCACTCCATTGCAAGACTGAAGAGATCGTCGGCTTTCGAAAGCTCGGAGAGGGTGGCTTCAAACGTACCTTTCTCATCACCTTAGACACCGGCTTCCGGCTCATAGCGCGCATTCCGTATCCCCTCCTGATTCCCAAGGCGTACGCTCTCGCCAGCGAAGTCGCTACCATGGACTTCCTTCGTTCCAAAGGCCTTCCCATTCCCAAGGTCTACGCGTATTCCTCTACGCCAAAGAACGAGGCCGAGACGGAATATATTCTAATGGAGTACGTTGAAGGCACCGACTTGAGCCAGATATGGTTCGACCTCAAGAAAGATGAAATTATCTCACTTATGGGCCAACTCGCGAAGGTCGAGTCTACTATGATGTCCATCTCTTTTCCCGCTGGCGGGAGCATCTATTATGCCAGAGACCTGAAGAATCTGTCTAGGAACGAAGGCATCCCACTCGAGGAGGACGAGGGCACCTCACCCGAGAAGGAGCGATTCTGTATAGGCCCTGATGTATCGGTACCGTTGTGGTATGGGCGAAGGGAACAACTGGACGTATTCCGAGAACCATGTACTGCGCACTTCTCCTTTCTCTCCTACCTCTTCTCAACCAATCGATCGCCATAGATAAAGACGCCAAATCGGTGCTGGTCACGGGAGCCTAGAAAGAGCTCGTCCTACCTCGACCGGTTCGGCTCACCGAGGGCACCTTACCAACGCTTCCGAAGGGAGTACTATAACTACAAGAAGCAGCCACCGTCGGACCACGCCGAGAACCTTCATCGCTACCTCCGTCTCGCACCGTCTCTCGTGCCAGACGATGACTCCCTCAGCGCTTTCTGCATCCGCCACCCCGACCTCACCGACAGCAATCTCAAGGTTTCGACAGATTCCAGCGGCTTGCAGATCCTTAGCATGTTGGACTGGCAGCACGCCACTATCCTGCCCCTCTTCGTCCTCGCCGGTATGCCCGACGTCATCCAGAACGAAGAGGACGAAGTCTCTCGAAGGATGGTCAAGCCTAAACTACCGGACGACTTCGACAAGCTAGCGGAAGAAAAGCAAGAATGGGAGATGGAACTCTTCCGTCGTCGTCTTGTTCACTATCATTACATCGTGAGCACAGCGACGTACAACAGGATCCACCGTCAAGGGTTTTGTCTACCCGTTGAATGACTTTACGTCGCCGCATCTTCATTCATGCAACTGCTGCGTGGGAGGGTGAGACGATCAATTTGCTGGACTCCCTAATAGATATAGGTGTTTGGCTGGGAGAGTTTTGCGAAGGACGGCACACCTTGTCCGGTCGTGTTTACGGAGGACAAGATAGCTGCGGCGGTGAAGCTGTATGAGGCGCTGGCGAACTGCAGATATGGGTGAGAGGATGCTGAGGGACAATGTCGGCTGCGGGGAGGAGACTTGGGTGCCCGTCACTCAGTACGAGGAAGCCAAGGCAATCGGTCAGGACATAAAGCGGAGAACATTAGAGGCATTCGCGGAGGACGAAGAGACGACGGAGGAGGCATACGCTATGATCGAGGCGAACTGGCCCTTGGACGATATGGACGAAGAGTTAGAGGAGTACAAGTAAGGATCCAACTCTGTATACCTATTCTGCGATGCTATTGTCTATCTACTGTTGATACCGCTCAGGCTCTTTCGCAAGGACTGTCAACGGAAACTCCTTCACGTCGTTGACGTCGTTTAACCTCTTTAGCTCGCTGTTATCGCGAATGTTAAATGAGTCGCACCTGTCCACTTTTCAATGAATTATACTCGTCTGTTCTCCTTCGAAGAGCTTATATCTCGATTCTATCCTACCACTCGTTTCATTGGAATGGGACTCGACTCCAACTTTAAGGGACAGCAACAATGCAATATCTATTAGGCTCAAGGCCGAGTGCAGTCCCAGTCCCTTTTTTAGTGAAAAAGGGCGCTATCAGTCTATCACATATCTTCGTGCACCCAAAAGCACAAGGTCCTAATGACTTTGTATGGTGTGTTAAGGGGCGTTTTGCAACTCCGGGCAAGTCACCGATCCCGCAATCGATGCTCCTCGCGTATATACATCAAGGCTGATGAAATAACAACCAACGCGATGGGTGAGGCCAAGGCAATCTGATGAATTCTGCTCGTATCCTATGTAAACGGCATTTGGAGTGTGCACACCTTTGACAAAAGCCACTAAGCCAGCGCAGACATCACGCCATCGTCACCGTCGTCTCAACGCCAGGTAACCCTCGTGTTGTGGCAAATGCACTCGGATGTGATAGCGGAGGAAACGCAGCCACTGCTGGCCCGACAATAGATGGATCTCGAAGGTTCAACATCAACCTACTGATCATCGTCACTGAAATTCTGAGTGTGCACCGAACGCGCCATAATCAAGGTCATAACCTACACCAGCTGGATGTCGAGTAGAGGGAACTTACACGTTGGTTATGCCGGAAGCGACGTCTTTTATACCATCCTATCCGAGAGCGATAAAAACACTTTTGAACGGTACATGAGGTATTGTGACTTACATTTGCCAGCTAAGTTCAGCCGTGTCGATAAAGTGTCCGAAAAGAGTGCGATTCCTGAACTCACCAAAAGCGTAACGATGTTCCCTATATTCACAACGGACATCACTCTATCCACTTTGTCAGCATGCGCATACGACGTCTCAGTCCGGGACCCACGCGAAATATAGGCAACCTAATCATACACGCATCAAGACCGTATTTTGAGGGGGATAATCAAGGATAGACCCACCGTCTCGCAACAACACATCCGATATACTTCTCTTCCCTGGTATCCGGGAATACACCGATCTCCACAGTGTCAGTCCAAAGACGACTACGTCAAAAAGCAACTGTCCGCCCCATGCCGCCGCCATATCTACGAGTCACAATGATGCACCGTTGAAGATGCGGCCAGATAGGAATCGAATTGTCGTCAGAAATCGCCATCCGCACAAGGTAAGCCGAGTCACGTACTCAATCCCCTATTGCACATCAGTGCTTCAATACCCGATGGATCCACGACACACGAAGAACGACAACTTACTGGTCGGAGGTGAGAAACCCCTTTCCAGGACAACCGATCGGAAGCTCCTGTGTTGATGCCAGAGCAGCAGAGGGAAGAAGAGGATGATGAAGACAAAGCCCACTATCCGTCCAAGCATGTCAGCAGCCAATCATCGATCAAGACAATCCAACGATTGATATCGAGCAGAGTGGACTCACGGCGCCTACGGCGATCGCACCCACTACCACAAATAAGAGCACAGCCAATACATGCCGGCTTCTTTCGTATAGTGCATATACGCGCATGATCATGACAACTGCAAAGATTCATCGATCAAGATAAAATGAGGAAGAGCAGATGTACGCGACGGTGCATACGTACCTGCACAGATCATTTGGACGACGATGACTGTCGCTCCATTGTATAGGAGAAAAGGATTGCACCTGCAGATGGCATCAAACGAAGGCTGAATCCATCATGAGTCTGAAACCATGACAAGGTGTCCTCACCACTACGTCAATACGAGCAAGAGGGGTTGAGCCGTAAATGACGGGCACGACACCACAAACCACGCACACTATATCTCGAACCAACACTTGGAGACCAAAAGTAATAAAGCGCCGATGGCACATGGCCTAGAACAGCAAGGTATCGATTGGCAATGAAAAGCACAAAGGGCCATGATCGTCGAGGTTGTTTCCAGAATAATTGGATTTCCCTACTGAACGTGAGCGCGTAGTCGTAATAGAGGATCGCTGTGCGAGGGTGATGAGTGTTGTAGGTTGAATGGGGGGGAGGTATTGTGGTAAAGAGAATGTCGGGAAAGGCAGAATAGGATAGGATAACTTACAGAATTGAACGACATGGAGAGATGTCCCGATGTCTCTAGCATTTAGGAAAGCATCAGCCCCCCATGAACATGGGCCAGAGAGTCGCACTTCAATGGCAAAAGAAACCACTTACAATGCCATTGAATCTGTGAACACTGTTTACGGGATCGTCGATGTCGCTAGAGAACCAAACTGGAGATATAAGTAATACTGCGTGATTGATATCGATACGCACCACAACAACTGAGACAAACCAGCCTGTCAGGGCGCCCATTCACATCAAGCTGCCATGGTAAGTACATATACTTCATCCTCAGGTTCTTCCAGCACTGGTTGTTGCACGCTATCGGGCCATCGTTATGTAAAAGCACGCGTGTTTTTGCCGTGCCTAAGAGTAAGACAGGTACATACTAGCTGAGTCCCGCCTTGTTGACGAAGTTGTTTAGGTGACCGGTCGATACAGCCATCTGCGGTACCTTATGATTCCTGGGAACGTGTTGCAATCGTCGGCGTAGTGCGCCGAGGTGCCTGGTTGGTGACCTTTTCCTCTGTCTAACCTTACTTGGGTGCAACTTGAAGAGCATCGTCATTTAGACCAGACCGGCGTACGTACCTGCCAATTCTTTATACATACAATCAACTCCCTCGGATAGGCAGGTGGGTATGGGTTATGAGAGAGTATGGGAATTTGAGAAATGGAAAAATGTATGGGTTATTTATGGTATGGGTTGGGAGGGAGTTGACTGTATCAACAAGTCGAGTTCAGAATCATCGACGTGATGGCAAAACCGGTGCCGGCTATTTGGTGCGTTTCATCGATCGTCTTCCGCTGAGTCTCTGGTTCGCCTAGAGGAGACTACACTTCTAGTGGGCAATGAACAAAAGAAAGAAAGAACAAAGGCTTGCAACAAATGATACCGAGGCACCCCCTTTGATAATTGTACGCGTTCGAAGGCTATGTCTTTCAAAAAGAACATGGCGCCGTCGGATCATTCCCCGGATCAAACTCCTTATTGCCCACCTCTAAGATTACTCCAGTATACATTTGGTATACATACAGTATTAGGTATCCTCTGTGAACCGCAAGCAGTACCGCCTGGAGCATATTGTAATCAATATAAATATTAAGTATGCTTGCCCCATATCCCCTCGAAAAATTACTTTGTGGTGCATATGGCCAGGAAATATGAACGCACGGAACTGGAAAATCCCTGTCGGACTCATGATATATGTGTCATCGCTATCCCCTTCAGCTTCCGCTGCAGCTCTATCCCTGGCTCAACACCAGCTGCATTGTGGCAACCCCCCATTGATTCATCACCATGATATCCCACACACCCACCTACAGGGTGACAAGGCCTTGATGTATGTGGACATGAACATGACCATCCCGCTTCCATAACTGTCGTCAAGAGCATTGGTGAATCGTAATATGAACAGAAATTTGATGAATGGTCCATGGGCGTCGCAGGTTGAGAGTACATCAAGATTTTGGGATCACGGAGGTTGAGCATGAGGCGAGAAATCATAGTTGAGGAAATGCTGTCATTACAAGAATAGATGAAAGTGGGGGTGCAGAGAGTAAAGAGGTGGGAAGGGGAGTATGTATGTGCGTTAGGCATGACAAGAATGGGGCTGGGAGAAGCCTTACACGTTGGTAAACCCCGCAAGGAGCGATTTCGTCGGCGACTGATGAGCAGTAAGGACAAATTAACAGGTCAAACCCGTAGCTAAAGAGGACACACCGTCGTGGCTACCTAGACAAACAAAAGTTGAGTAAATGTGAATGGCGACGCACTGCGGCACGTTACCAGAAAGGCAGTGATATTTGCGACATTGGCACTGGTCATAAGTCTATCCGTGTATATCCATCGGCACCATTCCATTACCAATTCCGCAAGAAACGGCACAGCACGCACCCGAAATACAACGCACCTGTGAACGACGAACGGCGAGTTATCAGTACATGTGCATCCAGATCGATAGACCGAAAAAAAAAACAAGCAGACATTTGTAGCACTCACCATCACGTATCAAGACATCCAATAGCGCGCGGTGTCCTAATCTTCCGATACGCAACGTTCGCCATAGGGTAAGTACGAACACGATGGCGTCAAACATCATCTGACCGCCCCACGCAATCGCCATGTCTGTGGATGTTAAGAGGTGTGTGATATCCAAAGACAACAATCCGACGAACGTTCAGCCCTGCCAACCAAGTGACGCACTCATTTGTGGTGTCGAAAGGGGAAGCAGAGAGACCCACTGATCATAGGTAATGGGGACATTACATCCATAACGCAACGCAGGGGCTGGTACAGCCGGAGACGTATCAGACGAGGGAGATAGAATGGCCCACTGACCATATCATCCAACATCGTCCACGAGGATATAAAACACGATCATCATCCGTAGACATGACGACAGGCATTACACCTACACAGCCTACTCCAATAACAGCTAGAGCAAATGAAATCAGGAAGAGGACTACCCTCCTGCTTTTCTGGTACAGAGCGTATACCCGAATGATCATGATGACTGGTCGCAGTGTGAAGCACTGCCCTTGATGGAGTATGACACATACCTCCTCCTATGATCTGTATGATTACGATCATGATTTGCTCGTAGACACCAGCTGCTTTGCAGCTACGGCGGGATGAATTAGTTACCTGCAAAACTTACAATGAGCAGTCACTGACAACTAAACGCACGGAATTAGACATCCACGAAAGACAAAACGCATTATGGCCACACACAGTACCATTTTCTCCCCAACTTTGTGGCCAGAACGTACCCACCATTGCAGGCATACGAGCCAAAATGGTGAAATAACGATTGGCGACAAAGAGTGCGAACATCCATGACCTGCGGGGTTTCGTCCAAAAGAAATCCACTTCCCTCCTCCATGTGAGCAGATAGTCATAGCACAGTATCGCTGTGAAACGAGCATGTGATTGTGACGCTGGCCGTGTACAAACGGACACTTACTGCTTGCTACCATGTTCGATACGGAAGCGACCTCCCTGTCGGATGTGAGTCAATGTTCACATGTCGGGGAAGGTGATTGACGAGCTCACAGTTGAAGGGGCATGAGAGTGGGCGTGCGGCTGTTGAAACTTGAGAGTCAGAGAAGCTTATAGAATGGATATGTATAAGATACGGCGCCGTGCATGGACCGCAGATTATTGGTTTTAAACTTTAGTGGGAAATTATCCAAGTCGGAAGATATATATTGGCACCGGTACAACGGCGTCATCTCTCCGAAAGTTCGCTTTCCCTAATTTGACGTTCGTTGCTGTACACACGCAGCTGTAAGTATTCGTATTAGATTAGGGGGAAACTAGACGGCACCCACCACATCTGTTTCACCGTGCTCCGAGCCCGAGCCGCATTACTCCTTGACTTTAAATCATGAGAATTCCCGCACCCAATGCAGCTGAACGTTTGTCCTTAGGGCGCCAAGCATTTGTTACTCCCCGCAAGAGAGTATCGGTGAAATTGAAGGACTCCATTCCTGGCTACGAAATGACCCAAACAAGAGAAGTGGAGAACATGAACATCCGAGATTTCGAGTATCCTCTAATATTCATCTCAGTCATTGCCATTGATTTAGAATGTGCAGTAGGAGACGGATGTGAAAACTTTGCACAAATGACATAGCAGCGCAGCATCGAGGCTTGCGTCGCCTGGGACTTGATCATGTAGCTTGAGGCTGAAACAACTGCGATCATAGGACTCGCACAGCACCACTGTCACGGACCATTTTCCAATATCTATCTAAAGAGTGTGTATACAACAACATGAATGCCGGAGGCTGGCAGCAAAATGATTACTAGTAGAGGGATAGGATATAATACAATTGTCCATATCATGCCCCATCCCACCCCAACGCGACTTCTCCCGTCGTCTAATGAACTATCTCATACTTGGATTCCGCACAGATCTCCAATCTACCCCCGCAAACGGCTCTTCCTGCAACAATAATCGACGCATCCGACTCGATCCCGCGATCGAGTCGATGTCTAATAGACTGATATTCACCTCTGTATGCAGAGGGTATGGTCAGCAATGCTACAGATATGATTAGTTGACCCGAGGACGACGTTGGCGTTGGCGATTTGTATCAAAGCCAAGGCTAGCACCAAGTTTCCAACGTCGTTCCCCACGCTAATACCAGCCCCAGGCGCCAGCACTGGCGTACGGAAAGTGGAGGGGGACAAGAGAAATCGGACGCGCACTCACCCTTCCCTTATTGGATCCCTCAAATTCAACATTAACCTTGATATCAGAGCCGCACACAGCCTGATATCACCAAAATCCCCAGAAAAGGTCACATACAACCCAACACAGCAATCCAGATCACGGCGATCAGATCAGACCAGATCAGATGAGGCCAAAACACAAAGGTAACAATCAGTATGAAACATGGCGCGAACGAGCTAAACTTGCATATTCGTAGGGCTTGAAAGGACCGATTTCATATTAGGCTATCAATCGTTCATAAAAGATGTGTGAGTTCGTCGTTCGTTGTCGATTCTGGAAGTGTGGCTCACCCGCCCTGCCTAGAAGAGCTCATCAGCTGTCATGACAGCGGGAGAGAGGTGAAGAGGTAAAGGGAAAGGGAAAAGGGATACTCACGATAAAAATAATGATGTTTGCCACATTGATGGTAGTCATCACACTTCCGAACATCGAGCATCAGATACGTTCCATCTCGTTTCAACCAAATCAACTCACGCGAAGTACATTGCGCCTGTGTACGTCCGTAGAACCAGCATTGATATGGACGTTAAAAAACGACGCACCGTCACGCAACAAAATATCCACTAATGACCTCTTGCCCATCGATTCCATGCGCAACAGCTTCCACGTCGTCAATACGAAGACAGTCGCATCGAAGATGAGTTGTGTGCCCCATGCAACGGCGTAATCTGCGCATGCATCATCATGATTAGAACATGTCGCTCGTACGTGGGAATCGGCGGATTTAGGTTGGGAGGGGGCATTCGTAGAGGGAATGGGCATATTACTTACGAAGCGATCTAGGTAGGAATCACGTGCAAATGAGATCCAGCTAGTTAAACCGAAAAATCTAATCGAAGACGAACTGCTGTTGAGAGATGAAACGAAGACACCCATGGCCTTGCACGGGCGCCGCAGGAAGGGAAGAATTAGAATTGACAAGGAGTGCCCACTGACACTCGTACATGAGCATCCCTGTCGCTACATAAAAATGAAACAACACGATCACACACCAATGCGACTCCTGCACCAATCCCTATGAACGAGAGGAGGAAATACAAAACTCGCCGACTTTCGCCGTACATAGCGTAGACGCGTAGTGTCATGACGACTTGGAGGAAGAAGTCAAAGTGTTGATGAAGGACTAGAGGTTCGGAGGACTCACTGGAACCCGTGAGCTGGACGATTCCCATCGTGAGTTGGTCTGCTAATAGCAGACTATCGCACCTATACCAATGTCAGGGTTGGGGGAGCAAGAGGTTTCGTGGACGCAACCGACAACTAAGTAGATGATGAAAAAATGACCAAAATCGGCAGCTAGGACAAACATACGGGGCTGTAAGGTCCGAATTTTGACGCAAGAAAGTTAGCAGTAAATGACGGTGGCACGCGACCCAGCAGTGTAATGTATCGATTGGCGAAGAAAAGTAGGAATGCCCATGATCGACGAGGTCTCGACCAGAACAATTCCACCTCATCTGCGAACGTAAGCACGTAGTCGTATAAGAAGAGCGCTTAGGGTAGACGCATGATCGATGAACAAAAAAAACGGCTGATTGAGGAATCAAGTCTCACTGTAGGCTACGATATTGAGAGCTGTGGCGACGTTGCTGGTCCATGGACGTTAGTTCGTCCGGCGACTCGAGTAGGAGGAAGTTTACTCACAACTGAGGCATTGACAGTGGTGGGGCATGTAAATGGGACAGCCCAAAGGAGGAGGGTACAAGAACCAGATCAGGTGGGTTCTTTTATGACAGAAATAAATATCAAATATCAGAGTGGAACTTGGGATGACGATTTGAAGCCGCAGCAGGTTGTCGAGAAGACATACTTAAAACTCACATGAACACGTATGTACCTGTATGTACGTACCTCCGACGCCGATGAACCTCCGAGGGACGACGGTACAATACGGCTGGCATGAATATATTAGACAGGGTTGCGTGCCTTCCAAGATACACTCCGTGTTCGATGCTACGGGCGTCAATCAGGGGATAATAATCTGAACCTGGACCTTGGCAAGTAATCGACTTAGAGTGACTGCTCCCCAACACGCACGAACAATTGTCCCCTACTTGGGTAAGCCAGATGGATCAGGAAAAGTCTCATGGACTGGGTGTTGCGAAGGGGGGGACGCGACAGATACTGGCAGCTACAGGCAGGTGCTTCATAGTTCGGGCATGTCGGAAAGCCGAAGAGCGGAAGCCTATAAGTACATATTACATAATATTAATTTGTACGATATGATGACTGTACATATATAGCAAGGTGAATGATCGAATAAACAATGAAATTTGAATAGGCTGCACCTTGTTGAAGACATGACGCGTTGCAAGAAAGTGGCTCGCCATGTCCACCTAGCACTGTGTATCATATTTTGGTTGAGAGGAGTCTACGCAACAACCGGTTATCGTTGAGTCGGGGCTCGTCGGACCCGACCAGCGCTTGAAGAACGTCCTCCAGCGATGTCGACGGGATATATCAGGATAGATAGGCTATTGATTTAGGCATTCGAAACATTGCGTAGACATCCACACCGTGCATGCCTTCAAGATCTACAATCCAAGGGAATGATCTCAAGGCTTCAAATGCGGATGATCAATATCCAACAATCGGTTTCGGCCACATAACGCTGTTCCTGGAGCCGACGGGACGCAACCGGCGCCGGACGACGGTAAGCAGAACCCTTTGGCATGCGACAAGCACTGCAAACCGTAAGTCGCGGTGTACTAATATGTCCTTCAATTTATACAGTGACTAAAACCAAGCACACGACATGTTGACGAATGTGTGTATAATATTAATCTGTCAGTGGTCAGCGAGCCCCGGAACTCACGCGGAGTCCAACAGCGGCGGTACATACTGACAAGTTGTACATTGTGGACCTTGTCCCTGGCGGCGACACGGTTGCGGCTGTGCTTACTTACCAGGGATGCGATAATTGATGATCGATGATCGGGGGGTACTGTCGCAGCCTCACTTTGTTTCGACACGACCAACCGCCTAGCTATGTCTTTCCCCAAGCCTGATGCCCGTTGGGGGAAGATACGGAGCACATCTCCTTCAACGGCCACGTTCCTCCGTGTATACGTGATATGCAACCGGAGCGCCCTACCTAGAAAATACAGGCTGCTCGTGGCAACACTGGTTCATGATTAGGTCGCGTTATGTATTTGGCGTTTGCCAAGCTCATCCACAAAATTACAATGCTGAGCACTGAGCGGGTATGACACTCTGTTTCTGAGAATTGCACGGCGGCCGGTCTACCGGCGGCGCCTTGATTTCCTTCGGGCCGGGACGCCTTTTAACGACGTGTGTCCTCCTCCTTCTCGATCCCTCTCTTGTGAAAGCTGATACTGTCATATATCCCCTTAAATGGTACGTTTAGTCGTACTAGTGCACTGCAGAAGAGATTAGCAAAGCAGATTTAGCACTCACCAAGTTCGAAAGCAATCCCGAACCGTGACTCTATGCATCCGTAGTTTGCACGACGGCGAAGGCCTGCTGATGGCAGTGGCGATACGCGATACCTATCCAGTTCCGACCCAACTCGTCCGAGTCGGGCTGACGTTAGCTGTGCCATTCAAAAAAACTTCGCTGAATTGACCACGTTGATATCGTCCTGTTGGTCGAGTCTGGCAAGTTTTTCTAGGTTTGCGTCATCCAACCACCTCGCATGTAAGTGTGCGGGATGGTTGATTGCGACGTTTACAAATGACGCTCTATATCTATATCGAATCACCTTCCCCGAGAGAGTTCAGTAAGGATAATGGACACATGGGAACAGAGGTATAGACACGATCTCCGACGGCCCTGAATAAAGTCGTCCCAGGCATATACCAACGTCACTACGAGACACCCTACTTTTCCACTTCTAATTCATGTGTTTTGAAGGCAAGTAATATATGGTTATCGTCGCTCGAACGGCGCCGCAGATCTGAGGGCAGGACATGTCGGGTTGTACGTACATATGTACTTCTGGGCCTCCGGCGCCCCCTTTCAAGGTATATCACCATGACACACTATCCGCTCCCACATGGTTTTTGCCCCTGAGTGAGTTTGAGACCCATTTAGGTGTCTGCAAACCATTTCCTGCAAAATTACCTTGATCACAGTTCGATTGGCGAGGGCCCTTTGCGATCTCTGCGCCAGACGTTCAGAGCTCATCAACGGACGTCCTACAAGATCGTGAAGCTCGTGAATCAGATACTAAGCATTGGTCTATTCGTACAGTGCGTTTCGTGATATACATGCATAACGTGATCTAGCATTCATATCTGAGTGGGCGCCCACCGACAAGGCGCAGCAACGAATAACGAAGAAAGTAAACAAGAAAAGCGGCGGTATAACAGGAATGCGAAGCAGCTGCACAGAAGCGCACAACGCAAAGATGACAGGCGGAGAACACCAACAAGTGTCGTGCCTTTAGCATACGAACGATAGATGGCCTGATTTTTATGGTCCGTACTCTGAAGGACGTATGTCGGGCGTAGTCGTGATTAAAATACTGCCAGGTATTGCATCACGAACTGGAAATGGACGTGACGCGCTTGGCACGAGAGATACGGTTTGCAGGGAAGGATCGGTCCATTCGGATGACTCGTCTCGCGCCACGTACCGAGGCGGATGGGTGAAATATGTGCCGAGGAAGGACTCAAGTCCTGCCTCCTCAAGCACCCTCTCATGTGCTCTTGATAACTGCAACGACAACCCCTGCCGTTACGCCAATCGCAAGGACAAGAATGAGCAGCGCCCAAGCACACCGCTTCGCCCACCTGATCTCAGCCACCCTCATCATGCATATCAATTCCTGGCGAGCAGCTTCTGGTTTGGTGGGCTCGAAATCGGCAGGAGCGTGGAGTGGCGAGAGGAGAATCATAGCCCCGAGGATCCAAAACGGGGGGAACACTGATGTAGAATGTGAGTTACGTGTAATGTAAGGAGAAATGCAGGGGATAAACTTACAAAATCCGAATTTGAACAGGTACATTGCGAGCGTGGCAGGTTCGCCGGCTGCCACGGTATATGCTGGCAATTCAGCACCGTCCACGTAAGGAGGGGGAGCTTCCCCATTCATAGCAATCACACCCACGCGAGAAGATACAGACGGGTAGGCATCATGTCTGCTCTCTCTTGTAGCACGTGGACGCGTGATACCGAAGAAGTCATCGATGGGGTCTGAGGTGGGGGCCGTCTCGTCTGCAGGAGCAGGTGTGTGTGTCGGTGCAGCAGCCGAACGGGCTTGTTCGGGAACAGCTGGTAAAGGTAAAGGTGTGTGGTACCCAGTGATCGTCTGCGCCTCGACATCAGTATCCATCGAGGTCTGCGAGATACCACGCCAGTGACCGATGACGGCAGAAATACGAGAGACTGCGTTGGTGTTGGCGTTCATGTTGGTGGATGATAATATCGAAGTAGATGAGATTGCGAGGTGGATTCGAGGCTGGTGGGGATCGAGGAGGGCATCGTTGGCCCTTGATATATACCCGCCCAGGGCTTCCACCGTCGTAAAGCAATCACACAAAAAATGACAGGACTGGCAATCGAAGCTCAAAATTACCCTTTATGGTAAGTAGACCAGCAGCCCAAAAAGGCGAAAATATCGCTACAGTCACTCATTCCGTCGTTCCTCGTCGCGTCTTTCAGGTTGTGAGACATATGACAGCACGAAAGCCCATGTGTATGAAGAAGTCCGCTAGATTTGTGAACGGACGCGTTATATCTATATCGAGACACGGGGATTGCAATCAGTTCCAAAGCAATCATACACTCGGCAACTCAAAAATACCAAATATGGTATATCTTGTACTTTGCGATTGCCGCCAAGCTAACAGGCCTGTGTAACCTCTCTTTCTCAACTCCTATTTCTGCGACCCACACGAATTCTGGCAGCCGGCGAATACTAGATGGGACTGCTCGAAGGGCTTCGTTGGTCTAGGAAGACCACTAACATCTCACCTACGGATACGGTGGTGTTGTGAGTGTAACGATACCATCTTCGACGACGCGGTAACATTGAGAGTGAAATTAGCATCGTAGGTCCTTCTGGCTCAGGAAAGAGTCGGGTAATACCAGCGCTCAGTAATTCATTGCTATCGCTTATTCTGCATTCGTCTGTTGCCCGCTCCAGTTTATGGATATCCTCTTGCAAAACGCAAACGTTCGTGCCGTTCGTAACAACAAAGGCCAGAGACCTGGCACTACGGAAGTTTATGCGGAAAGGTGCCGTTTCGAAGGGATGCCGAGTGACATCGTTCTTGTGGACACGCCATCATTTCACACGTACGAGGACCCGGATGGCGAGGAAACCTTGAAGAAATGGATGGATTCAAGGTAAGATGCTATATTGTTCCAGAATGTGGATAACCTATCATGTCAGGTGCACGAAGTGCAAAAGAGCTGTAATCCTATACACGCATGACATCGCATCGAACCCACACGACGAAAACTTGGTCATCTCGAGGCATCTCGAGGCCTTCAGACGTACGCTTCCTCGAAATCTCACTGTTGACACTGTTCACGTCGTTCCAACTATGGCTTTCGGGGCAAAGTTACCTGTCGAGAAGATTAGTGTTTTAATGGACACGACTCCAAAGTCCAGGCGGACGATGTAGGCGCAACAATGTCCAGGACGCCGTTTAACGGAAGACCCGAAGTTGCATGGGACGTTGTACGGGAACTCTTGAATCATTGCGAGGAGAGAGAATGGAAGAATTTGGGTGCAACAATCGAGGTCCAGAAAACCAGATTAGAAGCTGACCTTCCAGGTCAACCCGAGCACTATGTGGCTCTTGTCAAGCATGCAGATCTTCTTCTTCAACGGTACCAGAGCCAGTACTGGCACTTGTACGGGGAGAAAGAGCGGAAAGATGATTTGGACGAGATCATCACCCTTAGGCGAAAGGGTGTTGGAGTGTGTTCCCTCAGAACATCCAGACCACCGTTCAGCCGTCGTCAGTCTCGCCGATATCCTTTCTGAACGTTTCGTAAGGGAAGGAAGGAGGAGGGATTTGAGCGAAATAATTACCCTACGACGTGCTGCGTTGGAACTCTCTCCTCCAGGGCATGAAGGACGCCTTGAATCTCTCGTCCACCTGACAGGATTACCTGGTTCGGCGCTCCAGGCTGGACGATGAATTAGACTGATTTGACGGAAATTATCACCCATCAGCGTGCTGTGTTGGAGCTTACTCCTTCAGGACACCAGCAACGCTTCGCGCATCTCGTCAACCTAGCGAATAGCCTGGACCAACGATTCCAGAGAGAGGGCATTACCGCCGATTTAGAGGAGATTATTCCTCTCCGACGAGCTGCGTTGGAATGCTCCCCTCCGGCGCCTTCCGATCAATGCATATCTCTGATCAACCTTGCGAACTGTCTTCGCGAGAAAGTTGAAACAGTGGGTGGGATAAAGGAATTAAATGAGGCCATCGCACATGCTAGTACTGCATTGGCACTCTCCCCTCCAGGATCTTACAGCTCTTCTCGTGATTGTCTTGCGAGCTGTGTCGAGCTGAAGATCCAGAATATACAGGCTCGGACAGGGGGGGCAAGCTCCCGCTCGTCCAGTAGTATCAAAGAAACAATCTGGAAGATCGTCGGCGAAACCGTCAAGAGTATTCCGTTACGATTACTAAACACCCGCACTGGAATACTGTGTAATCGGGTTGCGCAGCTATCCAATTTCGAGGGTAGCCGCGAATACAAGCAGCTACTTGCATCGGCCTCCAAGTATAATGGCCAGGAACTAGAAGCACTCATCCGGAAAGCAGTTATTTCCTTCTTTCAATTCGTCACACTATCTCACAGGTGGGGGGATGACGAACCCTTGCTACGCGATATCGAAGGTAGAAATGTCTATGGGCTGGAGGATAAAACTGGTCTCCCAAAGCTTCAAAAATTTTGCCTCCTTGCCCTCAAACACGAATATGTGTGGGCGTGGAGTGATACATGCTGCATTGATAAGGAAAGCAGTGCGGAAGTGCAAGAAGCCATTGGATCTATGTTCTTCTGGTATCGCCAGTCGGCACTGACGATCGTGCACCTTTCCGATGTATTCGACAAGTCATCGTTCACTGATAGCGCCTGGTTCAAACGGGGTTGGACTCTCCAGGAATTGCTGGCTCCCCGTGTGGTCTTGTTCTACACACGGGACTGGTCGCTCTACATGAGCTGCAGATCTTCGAATCACAAAACAGACAGTACCGTACTCAAAGATCTCCAAAAGGCATCAGGGATAGGAGAATGGCATCTTGAGAACTTCAAACCTGGGATGGACGATGCACGATCAAGGCTCCAATGGGCATCGGGACGTCGTACAACCAGACCGGAAGACGTTGCCTACTCGCTTTTCGGAGTTTTCGATCTCCATCTACCAGTCCTGTACGGCGAGTCTGCAGATAAAGCTCTCGGACGACTCTTGGCGGAGATTATTTCACAGTCGGGAGACGTCTCGGTTTTAGATTGGGTCGGAGAGGCATCGTCGTTCCACAGCTGTTTCCCTGCCAACCTCACACCATACCAAACAATGCCCTGTGCACGTTCAACTCCGGGAGACCTTTCCGGTAGCGAAGAGGATCTCGAAAGCGCACGGAAATTGTGGAGTAGCCTTGCCGACCTGCCCTCTCCCTCGATTCATCAATCACACGCTCACGTTGACTTCCATCGTCCACAAGGTTACTGTGATCAAACCAGCAGGAACGCCGGGCCCTCAGACTCACACGTATGAGATCCACGCATCGGGTCTAACGCCCTTCCAGCTCACATTGTCCGAGTCGCTCGGGCTCTGTAAAGGTCCCGACGCCAAGTTGACATACATTCTTGTCCGTCCTTGGCACTCCAAGTCGCTTGATGTGCTCGCGAGCGACGACACGCATGCTCCATTGAAGTTGTTACAGCAGCTCGCGCAGCCATTCAATGCGCTCCTGCTAGTGAAATCCCGTGGTAGACAGTACAAGAGAATTGCAGCTGATTGCACAATCAACTGTCGTACCCAGGATCTGCCTAGGTATCACTAATTGTGAAATTTTGACCCTCGATATCGTATAAGTTATGTCAGGCTATTCTCCTGTCATTACACATTGTTTCTTCTAGGAACAGATCTCACTATGTATCTAATACCAGCGCCTATGCGAACGACTTTGCTTTTATGCCCCACGCCACGGGGGACGATAGTCGGCGTAGTCGTGATTAAAGGTACCGCCAGCTATGCTTCAAGAGTAGGAGCGTGACGCGCTTAGGGCGAGAGATACGTATTGCGGGTAAGGCGACGTAGCACACCGGAACGTCACTTGACATGGGAAGTGGCGGAGGGAGCATTGCGACCGAACAGGGGTCGATCCGTTCAGATGACTCGTTGCACGCCAAGTACCGAGACGGGCGCGCGGGCGGGAAATAGCGCAGAGGAAGGATCAAGTCCTCCCCCCTCAAGCACCCTCTCACGGGCTCTTCACAACTGCAACGATAACCCCTGCCATTATGCCGAGCACCAGCACAAGAACGAGCAGCGCCCAAGCACACTGTTTCGCCCACCTAATCTCTGCATCCCTGATCATGCGTATCAATTCCTGGCGATCGGCCTCAGGTTTTGTGGGCTCGAATTCAGCAGGAGCGTGGAGTGGCGAGAGGAGAATCACAGCACCGAGGATCCAAAACGGTGGAAATACTGGTGTGGGATGTGAGTTATGTGAAATCTAAGGAGGCGAATGCAGGGGTGCACTTACAAAATCCGAATTTGAACAGGTACATTGCAAGCGTGGCAGGTTCACTGGGCACCACGGTATACGCTGGCAACTTAGCACCATCCACGTAGGGAGGGGGAGCTTCCCCATCCATAGCAATCACACCCGATACGCGAGAAGATACGGACGGGTAGGAATCGTGTCTGCTCTCTCTTGTAGCACGTGGACGCGTGATACCGAAGAAGTCGTCGATGGGGTCTGAGGTGGGGGCCGTCTCATCTGCAGAAGTAGGAGTGCGTGTTGGCGTAGTGGCTGAACGGGCTTGTTCAGGAACAGCTGGCAAAGGTAAAGGTGCACGGTATCCAGTAATCGCCTGTGCCTCAACGTCGATATCCAGCGAGGTCTGTGAGACACCACGCCAGTGGCCGATGGCGGTAGAAATACGAGAGACGGCGTTGGCGTTGGCGTTCATGTTGGTGGATAATAACTAGTGTTATCGAAGTAGACGTTGTCGATGAGATTGCGGGGTGAATTCGAGGCTGGTGAGGATCGAGAAGCACATCGTTGGCCCTTGATATATACCCGCCCAGGGCTTGCGCCGCCGTAACGCAATCACACCAGCGATTGCCTGTGAACCCACAAAAAAAAAGATGGCTGGCAATCACAGCTCGAAATTACCATGTATGGAAAGTAGACCCACAAGCCAAAAAAGGCGAAAATGTCCTTGCAAGCCACTCATTCCATCGTTCCTCATCGCATCTTCCAAATTGCGAAACATACCACAGCACCAGAGCCTGTGTGTATGAAAATATCCGCAGGACTTTTGGATGAAGGCAGTATATCGACGTGGAGGGATTGCAATCGGTTCCAAAGCAATCATCACCCGCCAACTCAGAAATACCAAATATGGTATATCCTGTACTCTGCGATTGCCACCATCAAGCCCGTCACGGTTCCTGGCAATCCATCCCTTGATTGTTGCTTGATTGCCCTCACGTCATTTGCCACTAAGTTCAAGAGCTACACACCACGAAGTACGGTTGGTACTGAGCGTGTACGTGACTCAGTCGCTCGAAAGTATTGAACGTTTCACTAAACTGGGGCTCAATCGAACAAAGCCTTCGAACCTACTGTGTCATCACTTGGTCTATATAGGGTCGAGAGCTAATCGCTAGCAGTCAGCAAGTAAATGATTCTTCGGTTCGGACTGTCGATTGAGTCAATTCGTCGGTATGACCCACGAGACGTTCTTGGGTAAAGTTAACACCTCTGTCGTTCATAGTAAGTTGCAGGCTTGCACCTGTGAGCGCATACCCCGGAAACGAAAGATCCCCCCGTAGCCAAGTGGCTTTATTTCTCTTGTGTCCTACGAGGGTGCCCAGTTACGAAGTAGTATAGCGACTGTCTCCATTTCCTTTTGCTCGACTCTCCACCTACCTGTGAGTTTGGGAATGTTGGTGTCGGACACGTAGGACGAAACTGCCTCATGTTGACAGAGAATCGTGGGAATGCTCCGGTCGTTATAGGATGCTGCAGGTTCACTTCGAGATACATAACGCAAAGGTAGGATAAAGCATATACATCTTCGAGCGATCCGACTTACACAGCTGCCCGAGTCAAGCTAATGTTCTCTTCACCCAAGTATCGCGTGTAGACGAACGGCCAATTTAATAGGTGCGTAGGATGGGATTGGTGCCACGGGACCGACGCACCCGGCGTTCCTTTTCGATTCATGAGGTATAGTCGAAAATGGTCAGTATCACCGACATCGTTTTAGCAATGCTTAGGGCCCGAACAGTAGTGGAATTTCTGCTTCCTTATGCAAAACATATACAAACCAACTCTGTGTGGAGTTCAGCAGACTTCTAAGTTGATAATTGTGGACTATCTGCAACTGTGGTGTTTACTGATCAGGTGATGAATCACAGCTACCATGTATGCATAATATGATATGCCACCTCGACAAACCAACCTTTATCACAGGCTAAACCATTCTGTGTCCCCAACTTGCCACTCACATCAACTTCACAGCAAGGTGGAAGGTAGGGGTTCTGGGTCAAAAGGAAAGGCTCTGTCAATCAGTTTGAGCTCTGAGCCTCAGCTGAAGTTGTGAGCTGTATGGCCCCATACAGATGTCAAGATGCTTCTTGATTTTGTGGAGGAAATCTGACCCAAGGCAGGTGATCATATGGTCTTTCAACTAGGGCACTTCAACAATTTGGTATCTTGGTTACCTATCCAAGCCAATGGCTACCATAAAACTGTGAAAAGCTGTTATGACAAGTGGGAAAGTGTGCCTTTATTGATTTATCCTTGTGTTCAATATCACTCATCTCATACAAAGCTGAAATGGGATTACTATGCAGCTTTAGCTGTTGCAAGGGGATCAGGGCTTGCATATTCAGCAGCAAGAGGTGCTGATGTCATAACTGAGGCAGGGCAGCTTGTGATGGATGATGTCGTTGAGGTATGTCTGAGATTTTTTCCTGGCATGGCACAAAAATCCTTGACCTTCCCCTAGAATTGACCAGATACTGCCCAATACCAAGACACAGGCTTCAAATACTTCAATCATATGTGAGATCTTGCCCTTCCTGACAAGGCAAGGGGCACCAATGCACACCATGCTGCCAGTGCCCAACCCCCTGCCCAAAGGTCCTGGGCTTCTACTTTCATGTCATCCAATTTTCCCAGCTCCATTGCACACCCTGTCATATCGCCTCAGCTTGCATCTATGCAGCTCCCCACACCACCATCATTCCCACAGCCTGCCATGCAGCATCAGCTACCATTCACACATCCTCATATGCAGTATCAGCTACTGCCTGTGCAACCCACCACACAGTTTACCTTTGTGCAGGATCAATCCAGGTTCCCTAATCAACATCAAATCACACAGACTCCCTGGAGTGTGCAGCCTGCTGTAAATGTTCAAGGTATGCCTGTACCACAGGGTATTTCACAGGCCCTGTCCAGTGTGCCACCTGTGTCCCTGCCTGGCCCAACAGTTTCCCCTTTGTCCATTCCTACATCACCACCATCCTCCACAATGACATCAGTAAGCACTTCCATCAATCCATCATCTAGTTTGTCATCTCGCAGCAAGAAGCACAAAAGCAATGCCACTGCTGGGCTCAACACCACATCCACAGTGGCTTCCCTGGGAAGTTCCAGTGGTTCTCAGAAGCAGCACTCACAGATGGCTGGCCTTGAAGATGCGGTGTGGGATCTAATGTCCAGTGTGCAAGACAGTACCTCCAAGATGCTTGCCACCCTCAACAATCCCAAGGGCTGAAGTCTCAATGAAGCATGCACATTGATGTTTGAGCTTGAGAAGAACCTTTCGGAGCAGAACCTAGTCCACTTGCAAATGTTGTTTGAAGAGAAATCCTCCTATGTTGTGGGTTACAAGAATGCTGCTGCTCAGTTGGCAACATACCAAATGTTGTGGGTTAAGATGAGGCTCAAGGCTGCTGGCTATGAGGTTCCAAGAATAAGTGAATTTGGGGGGGAAATAAGTAGTTCATCTGTACTTGTGTGTCTATACAGCAATCACCACTGTTTTAAAATTGCCATGCAAGCATGAAAATTGAGGGTGGATAAGACATGGATGAAATTTGAGGGCAACATAGTGGATACATGGATATTATGCAAAACTAGCTACTGAACTACTGAATCAACCCCTTCTTGCAAGCTCAGCATGATAATCTTCCCACATTTGTGCTGCAATTGTGTCACACATGGCATTCATCTGACTATGTGACCCAGCATTCAACGGAGTATCTTGCAAGCTTCCAATGTCTGTTTCTTCAGATGTTAAAAGTGGCCTGTCATCTTCATCAAATTCATCAGGATCTGGCATGTCAATGTTGTCAGGATCATGGAGGTGGATGATATTGTGAACACAGCACACCACCACAGGCAAGTGGGACTGGATTGCCATGTCATATTTGGGTGGGAGAATAAGGGTTTGAAAATGTTGCTTTATAACTCTGAAGTTATGCTTGATGTTGTTTCAGAGCATGGCATGGCGAAGGTTGAAAAGCTCTTTGCCATCCCTCAGCCTGTAGGGAATGAATGAGAATCAAATGCACATAAAAATGTAGTGGTACTTACCATAGATTGGCTCGCCCCCACTCAGCCAAATGATAGTGTTGGCCACAGTATGGTATGAGTAGCTGTGGAGTTGATGGATACCCTGCATCAGCAAGGTAATACTGCCCATCAGGAATAGCAAAGTCCCACAAGCAGGCATTGTGGTAGACAGTGGCATCAGCAGCTGACCCTTCCCAGCCTCTGAGAACATGTTACATTTCACCCCTGTTTTTCTCTCTTCTCTTATGTTTACCTTGTGTTTGATCTGTTGGACTATCTTTCTTTTTCGAGCTGTCTTCTTGTTGATCTGATGGCTCTCTATTTCCACCACTAGTGTTATCTTCTCATCACATGTGTAGAATGTGTGTTGCCATTGTTCAACCAATGGCATAGTTACCTCATTATGTGCAGATGCCTCATGGTCCATTCCCTGCACAGTATTTAGTTTGTTGGCTCAAGTCCTGGAAACCCAGACTTGAGCTGCTCAATCATATGCAGTGCTCTCAGAACTTTGCCCTCAGTGTCCCTAACCCAGATCACTCTTACTGGTGTTGCCCCAAATCCTCTGTTGTTTACAGAGGTTACTGCAGCCATTGCTCAGTAGAAACCCATAGTCTGCATTTGAGCTCTCCCTACATCTTGACTTTGGTCAAGTGTAACAAAAGCTCAAGTCTACCAGCCTTTGGCTGAACCAGTCACTGCTTAGTGCACCACCATGATCCCCTGAAATAATTGGTGTTGGACACCATTGTGACCCACTCATGAAGAATTGTCATCTGATGAAGAACAGGAGAGCACTGTCACTGACACCTCCTCCAATGAACCTGAACAACCAGATAGAGGATTTACCTCAGGTATCCTCTTGAACCTCTTCATCCAGTCCCTTGCTACACTCAGTACTCCCATCCCACCAGTACCTGCCACCACTGTTCCTACACCCCTGCCTCTACCAATGACTATGATGTCTGGTTCATCATTGAAGGCAATGGGTGGCACTGTTGCTACCAAAGCCACTGAATTGAAGATTGGTGTCCCATCTGATTTTGATGGCAACCAAAAGAATGCTATGAGTTGGCTGTACTCTGTACAGACCTATCTCTTAGTAAATGAAGAGATTTATGACAATGACACCAAAAAGGTTGTCTATGCCTTGTCATATATGAAGAAAGGTGTTGCTCATTCCTGGGCAGCTACCTTCCAGAAAACTTCTCTGGAAAAGAACCCCCCAAGTTTCAGCACCTTTGCTGATTTTACAAAAGACTTCAAAAGTTCTTTCACCTCCTCCAACACTGCTGGTGCTGCAATTACCAAACTATGTGCCATGAAACAGAAAGAATCAGTGGAACAATATATCACTGATTTCAGAACTGCTGCTGCCAACTTGACCATCATGGAAGATGTCACATTGATTGAGTTCTTTTCTCAAGGACTCAAACCTTTCATTGCAAACTGAATCCACATGATGGAAACCACTCCTACTGAGGTCACTGGGTGGTACACACAGGCACAAAAGTTTGATGCAAAATGGAGGAAAGTAAATGAACTTTCTGGAAAGACAGAGAAGAGGATGTTCTACCCCAAGAATAACCTTGGTGAAGAAAAAGATCCAAAGACCATGGACATGGATGGAGTGAGACTCTCCAAAGAAGCAAGAGACTGTCACATCAAAGAAGGAAGATGTTTTGGTTGTGGAAATAAAGGGCATCTCTCTTGAGAATGTCCCAACAAAGGGAAAACCCCCCAGAAGAAGGTAAAGAAAATCCACAAAATTGTGGAGGTTGAAGAAAGTGATGATGAAGAAAAAGTTGCTGGTCCATCCATCGCTCTGGTAAACATTGCTAGAGCACTTGGAAAGGGTGTTTTAGATGGGAACTCTGTGTTGATGCCAAAAGTTCCCAAAACAAAGGACAGTTCAGTTTCTGTTGCCCTGGTGCTAGTATCTTCTACTCCAGATTGTACTATGCAAATTCCCATCTCCCTCTACACATCAGAAAGAACTGAGAAAGTCATCAAAACCACTGCACTGGTTGATTCCAGTGCAGAAATCTCCTGTATCGATTGGGGATTTGTGCAAAAGCATTGAATCCCTATGCAGTGACTCGCTGAACCCATCCTCACAAAGAACACAGATGGAACCCAGAACTCCAAGGGAAAAATCCTGTTTTCCACCACCCTCTATTTTAAGGTTGAAGGGATTGTCCACCCAACCTTCTTCCATGTCATCAACTGTGGAACAGAGAACATCATCCTAGGTCTCCCTTAGCTTCAGGAAAATAACCCCATCATTGACTGGAGAATGGGAACCCTCTCCATTGATGAAAAGACCAATAGGTCTAAAGAACTGAAACACAATATCTCTTCTGTTGCAGTTGAAGAACCCACCATAAACCTTGTGTCCCCAATGGAAAAGAAAGGGATAAACAAGTTTATGGATTACAAAGAACCAGAAGATGAAACCATCCATGCCCACTTCATGATGTTGGTTGGAAAACTCATAGAAGAAAGCAAAGAAGATTAATCTGAACAATAGTCTTCTTCAAAAGATCACCATGGCCACTGAATTGGCCCAAGAACATAAAAAGAAATCAAAACCTGTTCTCCCTGAAGACTACAAGGAGTTTGCTTCAGTTTTTGAAAAACCCTCCGATGGAGTCCTTCCTCCATCACAGCCATATGATCATGCTATCAACCTTGCTGAGGACTTTGTCCCCAAGGTGGCAAAAGCATACCTGCTCTCTCCTTTGGAAAGAGAGTCTGGAAAAGTTCATTGAGGAGAACCTCCATGAAGGAAAAATCTGCCTGTCAAGATCCCCCCAAGCTGTGCCCTTCTTCTTTGTAGGGAAAAAAGATGGCTCCCTCCACCCCTGTCAAGACTACTGATATCTGAACAAAAATACCATGAAGGATGCCTATCCCCTTCCTCTCATTTCAGATCTCATTGATAAACTCAAAGGAGCATCTATCTTCACAAAGATGGATGTATGATCAGGCTATAACAATGTCCATATCAAAGAAGGCAACCAATGGAAAGCCACATTCATCACACACAAAGGGCTTTTCAAACCAACTGTCATGTTCTTCAGGCTATGTAACTCCCCTGCCACCTTCCAGTGCTTTATGAATGACTCGTTCCAAGACATGATCACTGAAGGATGGTTGATCATCTATATGGATGATCTCCTCATCTTTTCTACCAACCCTGAAGAACACACATGAAGAACTCGCCAAGTTCTTGAATGAATGAATGAGTTGTCACTTCCTCTCAAGTTGGAGAAGTGTCATTTTGATCTTACCAAGGTTGAATACCTCAGAATGATCATCAAGGAAAATACCATTGCCATGGACCCCATCAAGGTTCAAGGCATTGCTGAATGGCCAGTCCTGAAGAAGGTCAAAGATGTGTGGTCCTTCTTAGGATTTGCAAATTTCTATAGAAGATTTGTCCCATATTACTCAGACATTGCCTGACCTCTGATAGACCTCACCAAGAAAACGGTCACTTGGGATTGGTCAAAGAAATGTCAAACTGCCTTTGACATTCTAAAACAGATCTTCATGGCACAACTGACCCTCCAAATGCCTGATACTTCTCAGCTGTTCACCATCACTACCAATGCATCCAAGTATGCAACTGGAGGCATCCTCCTTCAGGAAGACTCCAATGGCCAGTGGCAACCCTGTGCCTTCCTCTCCCAGTCATTTAACCCCACTGAAAGAAATTATGACATCTATGACAGAGAACTACTAGGAGTTATTTGAGGATTGAAAGCTTGGAGACACTATCTCCATGGCTCTCCATTTCTGGTCAAGGTGTTCACTGACCACAAGAACTTGACCTACTTTAAAGCACCCCAGAACCTGAACCATTTCCAGGAATGCTGGCTACTTGATCTCACAGACTTTGATCTGCAACTTGAACATGTCCCAGGAAAAGACCTGGCCACCCCTGACACATTATCCCACTGACCTGACCATATTCCTGATGATGATGAAGACAACAAAGGAGTTACCCTCCTCCCACAAACACTGTTCATCAACCTCATTGACATGAACCTCACCCAAAAGGTAGCAACTTCCTCCATGAAAGACCCCATGGTCCAAATGGCACTTTGTGCCATAGAAAATGTTGATATGCCACTCCTGTTCAAATCCCATCTCTCTGATTGGTGATTTGATAATGGAGTGCTACTCCATAAAGATCAGGTTTATATCCCAGATGATCCCTCCCTTCGCTGAACTGTGGTGTCAAATCACCATGATCACCCTTCTGCAGGACACCCCAGTGTCCTGAAGACCCAACAGCTCGTCTCATCCGAGTTCTGGTGGCCTGGACTTGCTTCCTTCATCTGCAAATACATTGAAGGCTGTGCTGTATGCCAGCAAAACAAGGTTAACACCCACCCAATGATCTGCCCCTCATGCCCATACCCTTGACCTTGACACTCAGAGCAATCCTGGGTCTGAAAATTTTAGTATTGCAAATGCACAAACTATGCTGCACCAGTGGCATGACCCTGCCCTTGAAGGGACACTCCAACATTGGTGGATGCATTCCAGGAAAAATATCAAACCAGAAATCATGTGGTCTCAACTTCATAGGTGTTTTACTCCCAGTTTTGAATCACTGCTGGAATATGGGGTTCATCAAGGCTGGTATGACATTGATAATACACTCCAGTGGTAAGTCTTAGCACGTATCATTGTGAAGTTTTGACTACTGACATTGTTATACTCAGTATGATTTTTTGGTGGATTTTTATACCCTGGCTTCAAGAAGAACTCAATGGTTATCAGTGAGTGTGTCAATCACACTATGAAATGGCATGATCATCACAAGGTAACTGCTGCTTACTTCTAAGTTGCTCAGCATGTCAATTGACACTGCTTATAGGTACTCCCTCATGGTGTTCCCAAATTAATGTTTTGCTCTCCACAGGACTATGGTGTGATAGATTTCAAGGTGAGTTTGTTACACATGTAGTATGACATCCATTGACTAACTCTACTTGTAGTTCATGGTTGACAAGGCCACATTGACTCATGTTCACAAACTATACCTCAACACAGGCCACCCTGTGTTTGATTTAGTACCACATCCATTGAATGGACACATAGAAGAGTGCTATCACTTTTGAGGATGACAAGCTGCAGGATTGTCAAGTCTATAGAGAGGAATATACTCAGACTTCAAGTTGGTTGAAGCTGAGGTGCAGTAAGGAAAAAAATAAACTGCTAAGTGTCCGCTTTTGGATTATGTAATGCTGTGCTTGGTGGACCACAACTAAGGTAAAAGTGATAAACTCCAACAATCACTGCCTTGGACGTCCAGCCATCACTCGCTCGAGTGTTTGGGATGTTTACCTCAACCTCCTGCATGCACTTCAGAATCACACACTTTTGCCGCCCATTTTAGATTCGCTGCCCATAGACATTGATGTGGATGACTCATTACCATTACTCGGAGGACAACGTGAACTTCCTTTCAAGAAATGCAAAGATGGCTATTGCTACATGGGTGGTGCCGGTGGAGGCCTTGGTCTAGGTAAGTTACTACTAATCAGACTCAGATTAAATGAAGCTGAGATTTTTTCAGATGATGATTGTGTCGACGAGTTGGATGATGTAGAAGGAGAACTTGATGTTATGGAAGAGGGCCCCAACGTTGTTGTCTCGGACTTTTCTGATGAGGAGGTAGATGATAATGACTCCAGCGGGGATGAATCAGGTTGAGTATATAGCAACTGACTACATACTGTATGTCCACTGCACGTCGGTCATCTGTACTACTGTGTTGGTCATTTGTACTACCATTTGCCCGTCATGTGCCCTACCACACGTCCGTCATCTGCCCTACCGCACGTCCGTCATCTGCCTTACCACACGTCCGTCATCTGTGCTACTGCACGTCCAAGTTCTGCGTGACTGCGTGACCAACGACTGCACTACCGCGTGACCAACGACTACACTACCGCAGTGTCTGGTGTCCCCCTGCTGACAGAACTTCGAAACTTTGAAAAACGTACTGCACGTTCGACATCGGCACAAAAATCACCTGCCAAACAAAGCGCGGTTGTCTGGCTTTCCATACTGTTGTGAGTTTTGGCCAATTCTGGTCTATCATTATGAAGGTCGCTGTAAGTAATGCTTATGCTCGCAACACTGGTTTGATTACCGGCATACTTCAGGCTTATGCACCCCTGACAGGCGTCAGAGGGCACTCGCTACAGTCGTCCTCTGACAGTTCTACGACCCTCTCCTGATACCTCACCAACTAGCTTTCCCTCCTGATTCAATGCCTGATTCTTTGCAGTGGCCCATTCGACGACCTTCTCCACGAACCTGTCAACCTCCGCCTGCGTATTTCCAGCATGTACGATCACGCGCACCCTCGACACTTTAACAACCGGGTAGGTGACTGCACTAGCATTGTATCCGCAGTCGATCAGGTAGTGCGACAGCTCGACGGCGTGAGGGCTGAGTAGGGGAATCACAGGAGAGTACAACTTGAGTTCTGCACTTCGCCGGGCGGCGGCGCGGTCCAAGTCAGCAGGGGTGAGGGTAATGATTTGCGCAGGGAAAGGCTGCAAAACATTTCCGAGGTGGGTCTGGGCATATTGGACGATGTGGCTGAGTTTGTTTCGGAGCTGAGAGGTGCGCGAGGAAATGAGTAACGAACAAAAGAGAAAATCTCTGCTTTGGACATACCTCCTGTCCTTTTGGTCCGGAGATGATGTCGAGACAGGAGTTGATCACATGGACATCCATGTGGGCCATGGCAGTGGTGTATCCAAATGCTTTGGCATAATTGACCAGGTACTTGTGCACCGTGGTTGAGGTCAGAAGAACGGCTGTCCAAGTTCAAAGGTTTGAGGTACAATATTCAGCTTATCAGGGAGTGTTGAAAGGAAAAAAATTTAAATCTACGGACGGACTGACCTCCTCGATGTCCCCACGCTTTCCCAAGTGTATGCATCATCGTGTGGATGCGCCCCTTGAGACCAAGAAGGGCGACATATCCACGTCCATCGGGTCCAAATATTCCTGAACTATGGGCCTCGTCGACATAGATATGGGCATGGCCTTTCGGCACTGACTCCTCCACAGTACGCACGATATCCTCCAAAGGCGAGAAATCTCCGTCCATGCTGTAAACACTTTCAATAGCGACGAACACCATCCCCGACCCTTGCACAATCTGTGCATGGTACTTCTTCAAAGCATCCTCCAAGCACTGCTTGAACGCCGTCACGGAATTATGCCTAAATTTGTATTGTTTATCTTTCGGGATATGCGAAAGACGCACACCCTCGCGGATCGAGCTGTGTACGAGTTGGTCAAAGATGAGGACGTCGCCTGGTTGTGGTACCGTAGACCAGAAGACCTCATTGGCGACGCAGCCGGAGGTACAGAGCAGTGCATCAGGGGATTGGAAGAAGTGGGCGAGACGCTCTTCGAGAGCACGGTAGCCTTCGCTGTTGCCAGTGGCGAGGCGGGTGCCTGTCGAACCGAAGAGGCGGGGGGCAGAAAGGGCCTTGGACAGGAAACGTTCACGGAGTAAGGGGCTTGTTGACAATGAAAGGTAGTCATTAGAGAAGAAGTCCGGGGTAGGGGATACGAAGGGCCCGTCGATAGCAAGGAGGGGAAGGCCAGACTGTTTACGGCGGGTCAAGATATTATCGAGAGATTTTGTCAAGGCTGTTTCCTGAGCAGACATCGATGAACCAGAATACAGAATACAAAATTGGAGTGCTTGTGCGCGAAATGGCCCTTTATGTAGTCCGGAAGTGAACTCGGCTCGCCGCAGCAGATCTGGCGATTTCACAGCACCGAATTTTCCGGACTGATGAAATGGGCGTAAAGTATCGCATTAAGATGTCACCGTAGTTGTAACGGGGTTGACCATGTCTGGAGTTTTCTAAATTTGTCTGTTAGTTTACCAGGTTAGTATGTAGAACGGGTCATATGTCGAGCGTACACGTGCGGCAGTAACAGTATATACGTAGTAGCTCTTGGTAGCCTCTTGCAGACGCTCATCCGTGTGGAGTCTTTGTTGGGTCCGGAAGTAGTAACGGAGAGATGGCGAAATATGCGGCCACATCCACGCACATCTCGGCTCACGGCGCACTCGACACGCGTATATGTTGACTCGGCGAACATTCAAGTATCATATCGCCTGAACTATTCTTGATATGATTGCTATAAGATGGGATCTTCTTAAGACTGTGAGTGAGCATGAGAAGAGAAAGGAACTGCGCGCGGCCTCACACGCCTCGCATCAGCATTCACGCGAAGGGGCAGCTCGGGACACACTGACGATTTTGGTGTCGACGATGCAAATAGAACGGGATAGTTGCGGATGTCTGATCTGTTGATCGTGACGAATATATAAGTAGTTTGCCGCAGGCCGGTGTACTATCAACTTACCGGAGTTCAACAGGAGGTGCAAAATCACGATTCTACTACAACGCAGTCGATTTCTTGCCCATAAAAAAAAGGAGCGAGATTTGCTCAAGATATGTCAATTTAAGCAAATAACCCCCTCAATAAAAATAGGTGTATATAGGGACCCAACAAGCCGACAGGTCTCTACAGACCTCAAGTGGAGCATTGGTCTAAAAAAAACAGGATATGAGTATGAGTGTGAGGTCAGTAGATGGCAATCACGCTGTGGCACAATTCAGGCGCCGCTTCGACATCACAAGAAGCGATCAGGCCGACATCTTGTCGGAGTGACTTTCGGAATGCAGACGGCAGAGATGCCATCTGTGACAGTCGGTGACAAAACTTTGCAACTCCGGCTCCAATTGTGGTCATCAATCACTGCGGAAATGGGATTTTAATCGGGTGTGGTGATAGTTGGGTGATAGGCCATAGTCATACTATATCCTAAGAGTAGCAAATGCTAATAATATGTCTGAGAATCATCATGAGGTGTTCTCATTTTGAAGTGTAATCTGGTTGGATTCACAAACTTATTGCCATGACAATTCCAACATTAATCAACTATATTCTAAGCAGATTACACTGTGATTATAGGATATGTACATGAGTTGCATCATATAAATCACATTGATCCTTGCCATCTTCACTTGTGCTATTCAGAATAATAAGATCAGATTATATTCAGAGTGCCTACTACATGGTGCACTTCAAAAATGGTCACCCCCCCTGGGTGCCACCCTTGCTTGCTGCTCCCCCAGCCCCCTCATCTGAATCCAGCACATACAAACACATCTTCTGTTGTGAGTCAAAGTGTGGAAAGGTGGTGAAAACCAACCAAAATCAACACCAAAGACAAATATGAGTGAGTGGTGGTTTACCTCTGTGGAACCTGGAGGGCAGAGAAACCTAAAGTGGGGGAAATTTTGATGGCAGGTGCTCCTAGCACAAGTTGATGATGAGTTATGCAGGAGAAGATGAATGAATGCTGACTGAGAAGGGGATGCTGAACAGAGTGAAGGTGTTCAGCTGAAAGTACCTGGGAGTAATAGACTTTGATAGAATATGCTCCTGGTGCAAGTCAATGACAAGTTACACAGGAGTGGATGGATGACTAAGCAGACCTGCTGACTAAGTGTGGATGAAGCTTCAGATAATGATGGAGGTAGATAGACCCCTTTGTAGAGCCTCAACTACCAATGATATGAATGAAGACAGATAGACTCTTCTGAATGAGCCTCAACTGTTGACAATGAGTTATGCTGAGCTGAGCTGAACTGACTGCTGAGTGAATGGCTTCTGGTTCACTGGGGGTGTAGCTAAGTACATGGGGGTTTATATACTGTGGGGGGAGAGCA